CCTCTTCTCCTTAATCTCGCTCTTCGCCGCACTCGTCTTCGGCAACGCACTTGTACAATCAATCATATTCCTCCCCGTCACCCCCATCATCCCCATCTTAACCATGGCCACCACAAACGCATCATCCCACGCCTTCTTGCTAACCCCAAAGCTTGCAAAAGCCAGCGCCGTCGCCGGATTCCTCGCAACATTCCTATCCGCCGGCAAGGTAAACGGCGCGTTTCCCCGCAGCGTCTCGGTGTAGTACTTGATGTCCCAGACGCCAGGAGTGGAGTCGAGAGCAGCGCCGGCTTGCGAGGGGTCGACGAATTGCTGTTTGGCGGTTGAATGGGCGCCGAGGAGGGCGGCGAGGTCGGTTGGGGTGAAACCTTTGGATGCTTTTGTACATCTTATTAAAAACATGATTCGTCGAGAAATCTTGCACTAGTAAGGGGGAAACTTACAGAATAATCTAACAACATCATTTCCTCTAGCATCGCCTCGCGGTAGTATTCTCCAGTCGTTTTCGCGGCTCGAGTCTTGGCGCCCGATTCGCACGGGAACGGTAGGCCCTTGAGGACATGTCTTGACGGCGTGTGCGGCGGCGAATTGGATGAGGTCGCCAACACCGACGTTGGTTTGAGAGGCTACGCCTGCGAGGTTGCTGCAGAAGCGCTGAAGGCCGCGGCTGGGGGCTTGGGCGCATTCGTTGGCTAGGATGAGAGAGCCGTCACAGGCGCCTGGGAAGCAGTCGTGGAAAGCAGCGCGGATGGCGGCTCGGGCAGCATCTGTGCATTCGCCGTTTGCGGAGAATTGTTGGGTGAGAGTGGCGGATATTTGGGTCCAGATGGCAGGGCATTCGCTTGGATCATCTTTGTTGTTGTTGTTGTTGCCGCCGCCGTTGCCGAAGATGTTGTTGAGTAGGCCGAGGACATTGATGAATTGTCGCTTTTGTACTGGAGGTGGATCTGCTACTATCCACTTCTCGTCTTCACCAAATGTGTCATTGTTGTAAGCCTGGACTGTGCTGACAGCCGCTAGGCCAGAGACCAGAATGTTGCGAATATACATTAGGTATGTAAGGTGAAAACCAAGATTCTGACCAAAGGATTGTTTGGGGATGAGAAGTTGGAATGATTGGGACAAGCTGTAGAGCAAAGTAATGAAAGAGCGTGATAGTGTTGATACTAAATACAAAGATGTCCGAGGCTCATCTACTTATACCTAGCGATATCTTTCGGACGACCGCAGGGGTCGTACTCACGATTGATGTTCATCCATGACATGGCACGAGTAGATCTGCATCCGAACCCTGAAGCTTGAGGGTAAGTTTTAGAGAGAATTCTGAAATAGAAACAGATCTGACGGGCCGCTAGTCAGGCAACGACAACCCGCTGTTGTTTTGAAGAACCGTTACCCGCTAACATGTTTCCAATATGGTAATGCATGCTTTAGTCCGGCAAAGGATAGCCGATGTGTAGATCGTATCCGGACATGCAGCGTGATTGCAACAACTTAGCTCACAGGACGAGCTGGGCACGTTTGGGAGTTTGAGTTAGCAACGTCTTACTCGCCAGCGTCTAATGGCGGTCGTGTTGTGCATCTCTGCCGTCAGCTTAGAGCATACGTCACACGCTTCCGGAAATCACTATTCTAGAATTACTTAAAAACATGTTCCAGAAGAAAAGAAGGGCCAATGGTATCATTTTTTGGGAATCCAGGAGACGATGTACTGCTTGATTGGAGGTGAACCCTTTCCGTGTCGAAACAATAAATTGCTAAAGAAAGACGTGGGGATAATGTCTATTGTTTCAGGATAGATTTAGACTAGCGAGCGCTATGGAGCAGATCATCATCGGCAATAAACGAGGATCGCCACGACCCTAGGTTTTGTGCTATAGACGCCATAAGTTTGAGGCATTGGGATTAAGATTGACCTTTACCAGATAGGGATTAGCATACTGAGGTTGTTTATCGTAGGCTAGTCAGCGACGGATTCCAACTTCTATAGCAATCTTCTTCACTGGTGCTTTCTCCATGAGATATAACCTAATGTGCTATTAGGTACAAAGAATATTGGAGTTGGCTGCAGGGAAAGTGGTACAGGGACTCAAGTGGGTGTTGTGGTGGAAACGCGAAGTGGAAGCCTTGAGGAAGATAGTCAAAACGGTAGTCCCCTAGCGAGAACCTTATTGCCGAATTGCGCCCTTGCAATTAGTTCTCGCCCCACTAGTATCGCTAACTCAACGATGGTCTCCTGTACAAGCATTTGGGCCGTGCCGGGAGCCGCAAGGCTTGGTAAGTTGGCAGTATCAGTGTTCGCTACTGAGGAGATGTGGCAGACACACCAATCATCAACCTCAAGCGCATGTTCACACCGGTGGCGAAATGTGATATCTCTAGAAACCAAGAGTGCGAGAGAGGACCCTACTGACATAAACTGAATTAGATGTATTTGTATACTCGCCACGTGAGACCCTCGCTTCCAGCTCATGCAGCGCGGAACCGACATGCACGCCCTAAAGAACGCCACCGCCTCTCAGTGGCTGAACTGTAGCCCTTCGAGGTCTTTTGTGCCACTTTGCGAAAACGCGCCGCCAGTCATTGAAATGTGGTGAGGCCTACGTAGTCACAAATCCATTCGAGTCAAATTTAACTCCAGTTGCTACGTGCATGGAGTACCACGACAACGAATGCGATAACGCTAGTGCTTACGCTTGGTGCAGTTGACAGGACGTGTCAAGATTTGTGATGTTTATAGCAGATGTGACAGAATGGAGTAGATGATTGGGGATAAAGAGAACACCCAGTACGTGGTTGGGAAACGATTTGGGGCGATACTAGGGGAATGTGACCTCTGAATGGAGGTCTTGGTGTGCAACGATACCGTGATAATATTCAACCCAGTTCTTTAGTGATGACAATAGCATGTGTGTTAGTGGGGTAGGTCAATGTTGAGAGCTTACTCAGACAGAGATTGATTGTGTGCGGCCGAACTCAACTAACTATATTTCACGTGGCGACTAATTCGTGACAAATTTCCGTACTCCATGCTAAGTGGCACGTGAACGACCATGATTGTAGACTATGAGATAACTAAATATATGACAAAGGAGTTAGTGTTTCACGAAAACAGCTTCGTACTACTTAGGCGTGTACGCACCGCTGAGGTATCTCAAAAACTGAATGAACGGAGTTTTCGCTTAGACATTTTGCTAAGAAGCAGTTCAAGTTGTTGGCCATGTTCATTTTCTTCCAGTGTAACGTCCACTCCTACGTGTTGTGAGACTTTAAGAGGGATTAGAGCTCAGGTAAAGGGCAAAAAGAGTTAAGAGAGATTAACAGTCTCTATTCAACTTAGACAAATAGCTATTACGCTAAGATAGTGTTCTACGAGCTCATATACGTGTTGATAAGTTAAGTCTAACTAAGAAAGATAAGAGTGGGCTATAGTGGTCCAAAGTAGGTCCAAGGGGTCAAAGTAGGCTGGGTTTTGACAAAGAGTATCTATAGCGTATACCTGCAATTTTCTAGAAGCTTCTATGGCCAGATGCTTAGCCTAAGTATGGCAACGTGATATTAGCCGTCACCGCCGTTTGCGCTGCCTAAACATGCTGATGCAATACAACGGCTCTAATCTCCGTGTCAGCACTTCTTCGGAATATAATTAATTAGACTTTTCTTTCTAATCCATGTTACTCCATCACTAACGTCTGTCCCCCCACGATAGATATTGCAACGGCTCAGGCAAGACTAGTTGGATCAGTATCGGCAGTAGTGTCACTTAGAGGCATACAGGAGTGCGTGGGACAACAAATAAGCCTTGTACGAAAGGATATTAAAAGCCTACAGAGCTAGTTATAAGAAGTGTCTTAATATATATCTGTTCTAGTCGGATCCGACCTGGATCCGACCACAAGAACGAAGGACTGCTCAAGAGGGTGGCAGATATTTCGTCCGATCTAGCCCTGGGACAGGCGCCTGGAGTATGGGTCCTCGGTTGTACATCGGTAGTGGCCTTGTTATAGATTGCAACGGTAACTTTAAGTATGAACCACATAAGCAACGATAACCTTAAGTATCAACCACATAGGCAATAAAGTAAGCTTTGTTGTCTTATTCGGGCCCTTTTAGCAAGGCAGTTAGCCCGTCATGGTTATGTGCTAGGACCCGCCCCTCACACTTAGTTGCCAATAACCTCTCTTAATGTAATGGGCTGCTAATAACCATTCTTAATGTAATGGGCTGAACGCTCTTTGGATAACTCCTCGATGAGATCTTAGTCTATTCCGCGCGTGCGCCATGCGAACGACGTTTAGATGAAGAGCGTAGTATCTGGGTATCGCCCAGAGCACCCGGGTTCTTCTTACTGCCTGAGCAGTGCTCGTGTCATTTTAATTTAAAGATAAACTTAATACAAAGGCTTCAATAATATAAAAGGAAGGCTACCTCTACCATGTTCTTAACTGCTATTCTATAGCTTACTTTCGTTGGCAACTACTCTAGTTACTCAAAGAACTCTTTGTCAAAATTAGTCATTATGAAATTACTCGCTATCTTCACTATGCTCTGCACGACATCAATTGCGATAAGACTTGAGCACCCAGACGGGTCCCACACGGAGCACGAAGACAATGACTTCGTCGCTAGAGCCTACCCTGACTGCTGTATAGTCGGCACTAGTCAAGGTCCTTGCAACTGCCCAGTCAACTGTTATTATGATGGACCAGGCCCATGTGGAGTCAGTCTAACTAACACTCGATAAATCATATATTATCTAAACAAGCTAATACCCCATCATAGGGCTGTTGCTACGGAAATCGCCTGTGAAAGTTATCGCTAGATCAGCTGTAGCGCTTATCGAACATGTACAGAGAGGGTATCGGCCACAAGCTCTACTATGGTATACGAGGGCTTGGTCGTCCATTAAGTCAGCACTTCGCTAGACGGTAGAGACGGCGTGCCATAAGTAAGAAGTGGAAAAGTTAATCTGTTATTTTTAAACTTCTTAAATTGAATACCTATACTACTTCGATGCTACTCTTCCTTATATCTATAATTAAGTCGGCCCGTACCATAGGCACAAGAGCTGCTCGCAACCCTGTGCACTGGCATAGTAGCAATGTCTTTTTACTAATATAGTAGATATAATTACGTACTAAGCCTGAAATAGCGTCGCTATACTTACGCTTTACTAGCGAGAAGTAGCTAATATTAAGAGGCTATGATAGATATGACAAGTGCGTAAGTATATAAAGAAAAAAATATTCTTCTTCTTATAAAGATCTTCAAAATTAACGGAGTAGTGGTTCCCGTAGCTATTAATAATAAGTAGTTGATACCTGTAATAGGCGGGCGACAGCCTGGCGCACGACTATACAGTGCGCCCATTTCGCCAAAAAGGCTGGCACAGGACAACAAAGCTTGGTGTTGTCTTGGTGTAGTCAGTACTTATCGCCGTCGTTGTTATCTTCCTTAGATCTTAGGGGGTAGCCCATTACAATACTCATCTACAGTATAGCTCTTTGTATAGGTATTAAAGTACTCCAACTAGGCAAGCGTAAGCTAATTGTTCGTCTAGCTATTAAGACCGACTCTAAGAACCTAGTAGGCTGGCAGATGGGTATGGGGTTACTTGGCCGGGTTGGGGTAGGGTATAGAGGGTCACAAACCTAAAAGAGAAGACAGCACAAAGATATGGAAAGAGTGAAAGAAGGAGCCTATGTCAAGGGCCTCATGAAAGACAAAGACACATAGGGACCAATGACGACTACGCACCCCGCATCCCACGGTCTTGGTGGAACGCCACCATGAGACAAATCATGTGTATCCCACGGAATCCCACGGTGTCCCATAAAGTCCCATGTGTAGGACAACACGAACCATATAGAACAATGTAGGACATACCAAGTATATAGTAATAGACACCGACCCCTTATGGCTCGATGTGTTCAACTTAAGTTACGAGTACAAGTACTGCAATACACTATCTACTGGAGAATCCTTTGTTCATATCACTCTGCTGCTTATATTACTTCCACTCAAGATCCATACTCTTAACAGTTGTCTGAAGATTAGTGTGAAGAAGAGTTATAGGGGCTAATTGTTGGTAAGACAAACTAATTCTGTTGTAAGATAGAATGAGTAAATGTCAATCTATATGAGGGAAGAACTTATGAGAAGTTGACCACAACAAGTGTAATAATGAAATCTAACCCATTCTTATACCCACTGCTCCAAGTCCTGGTATCTGGCTAAGCCATTAGCATCTCCAATGTTGCTGGCATTACGAGATGTCCTGGCACACAACATCCGAAGTAATCCCCACCCCAAGCTTCGCCCCGCATAACGACCCGCTCTCTATTCGGCCCGTACTACACTCAGTTTAAAGCTCAAGATATAAAAAAAGAGACTATCCTGTACAACTACCCTCACCTCCACACACCGTCCCTCGCATCCACCATGCTATCTCACCTGCGCAAAGCCCTCCCACCCCTCCTCCTCCTCCTCTTCCACCCAAGCACCCAACAGCAACCCCCAATCCCCCAACCCACTTACCACCCTTGCCAATCCAATACCTCACACCTCCCCCCTCAAACCTGGGACTCCCACATGCACATCCTTGACCCAATCCGCTTTCCCTACGACGCCTCTGCCCCCTACAACACAAGCGTGCACTCCCTCTGGTCCGCCCTAACCTTCTCATCCCACCTCGGAATCTCCAACATCGTCATCGTTCAGCCCTCTCTCTACGCAAACAACAACACCTTCCTGCTCACCCAGCTACGGGCTATCGGCCCGGAAAACGCGCGGGGCGTGGTGCAATTTGCACCGGATATAGCGAGGGGGGTACTGGAGGAGTGGCATGGGCTGGGTGTAAGGGGTGTGCGGTTGAATTTGCTGGATAGGGCGAAGGGGATGAATGATAGCGTGCTTGCGGGGTTAGTGCAGCAGTATGCGGATGTGGTGAGGCCGTTGGGGTGGGTGTTGCAGATTTACATTTCTATGGATAGGATTGCGGATGTCGAGGAGACGTTGAGGGGGTTGAATGTTACGTTGTGTTTTGATCATTTTGGGCATCCTGAGTTGCCGTCGTTGGAGGAGGGGGAGGAGAAGGGGTTTGATGTTTATTCGGTGAAGGGGTTTGCGGCGCTGATAAAGTTGATTGGGGAGGGGAGGACGTGGGTTAAGTTTTCGGGGGCATATCGGGTTGATGGGAGGATGGTGGCGTTGAATAGTGTGGCGAAGGAGATACTCAAGGTTAGGACGGATAGGATGGTGTTTGGGACGGATTGGCCGCATACGAGATTTGAAGACTATGATATTCGGCCGTTTGTGGACAGGTGTCTGGAATGGGCGCGGGAATTCAACTGTGTGGAGCAGATGTTTAGTTGGAATGCGAAGACGCTGTGGGGTGTCAAGGGTTGATTGTGCAAGAGATGGATCTGTAGGCCGAGTACGATTGGGTGTCACCCTGAGTTCGTGAGATATCATAGCCAGCTGGCTGTAAGTCTTGTTCTACCAATAGACACCTGAAAACTCTTAAACTAGACTCATTGAAGGCAACAGTCATCCACCAGAATATATGCTAACAACATCCAAACGCCGTCGCCATGCATATCTGCATATCATGCCAGGTATCCAAATTAATGCCTAATGAACAACGCCGATTACAAACTCCAATCGAACCTCGTATTCCTCATTTCCCTCCAAAGATCCTCTTGATATCTGCAAACTTGACTGGTTTAACAAGATACATATCTACACCTGCCTCTTGAGCATCCATCTGATCCTGTGCACTCGCTAATCCTGTAAGTGCTACAATATGGCTCTTGGGTAGTCCCATCTTTGCCTCATATTGACGAATTTGCCTCGTACTCGTCAGACCATCCATGACCGGCATGCTCAGGTCCATGAGCACAAATTCAAAGGGTCTACTTGGTGAACCCGTAGACCTAGATTCGGATTTGAATGTCTCAAGAGCTTCAAGACCATTGGTAGCTTCAACATAGCGCAGATTCTGTCGCTTAGCGAACACAACCAGGAGTTTGAGGTTGATAGCGTTGTCGTCTACCAGAAGAACGCGTGGATTGAAGTACTCGCCATTTTCACTATGGCTGGGACTTAAAGGAGTGATGGTCGAGGGGAAAGGCCTTGGTGGGGGTGGCGAGGGAAATCCGACAGAATCATCATCTTGCTTCGTGGATGACGACTCGGGAGGTCTGTCGCTGTTACTTCGGCGGGGCAGGTTTCGCTCTGGGGCGAGAGACTGAAACTCTGGCTGTACGACGGAGGAGCTCATCGAACGGCTAATGGCTCGCTCGGTACTGAGCTGTGAAGCGCGACTTTGACACGATAAGAGGGTTCGAGCAAGTTTTCGAGGACCGCAGCTATTAAATGTTAGCATAATTAGTGGTGCTAAGGAAGTCATGTTACTTACGGCTGAGTAACAATTTCAGCTATCCATCCTAGCGTGTCAATCTGTCTTGCGAGCTGCGTCTCAACTGCTGCCTTCTCGGAAGTATCTGTGCAAACGCAGACCACACCAAGCGGAGACTTCTTAGACCGATTGGCTGTTGCCTTGTGTATCAGTTGGAAGAGCGATGGAGAGTCGGTAAGTAGGAAGTCGACGTCGACCAGCGAGGTATTGCTATCGGAGTTTTTCGACTCAACAATGTCCATACCAAAGTTCTTACAAGCGTTCTCCATTGACTGTTTGGTCCTCAGACCACGTTGGACACCGTCCGTTTCGGTCATGTCGCAAACGATACTAGCCGATAAGCCCTTCAACTCTTCTGGAGCGCGCAGAAGCGCATGGTCCTGGTGTGCATTCTCCTTGGAACCGATTGGCAGGCGTATGTTAATCTTGATGGTGGTACCGGAATTTTGAGTGCTTTTGACTTCGATCTCACCCTTGAGGGATTCAACAATTTGCTTTACAATTGAAAGACCCAACCCGGTACCGGAACTGAAAGGATCTTCCTGGCTAAACGGCGAGAATAGCTTCGTCCGTTGGTACTCTTGTGACATTCCTCTTCCAGAGTCTTCGACGCTGAGACTCAGGTTCATGAAATTAGTAGTCGAACCGTTTTGTAGCATCTTTATGGCAATGAAACCAGAATCAGTGTACTTCAAAGCGTTGCCCACCAGGTTCATCACGATTCGACGGAGGGCACCGGGCTGAGAGCGCACAATCCAGCTGACATAAGGGGCCACGATGAGCGATACAGCAACAGAACCATGTGTATCTCTGCCTTCTACATCGGTATCGACATTTGAATTTTGTTTAGAGCCTTTTGCAACTGCATTTTCAGCTTGGTCGTAGATGGCAGATCCACGAATGTGGTGTGTTTTTCTGAACGTGTGGCCGGCGCAGACTGTGTCGCAAACTTCTTCCACCAGTTGAGCCAGGTCGACGTCAGAAGTAACACCAAGAATGGAATTGTCGGCCGGGAGTCTCTTGTTTCGACCCTGACTTCGATGTCTTTGGACAGCGTTCCCTTTCTGTAATTTGTTGATCTTCGCGTAATCAAGCACATGGTCAATGGTATCCAGTAGCGTCTTTCCGCATGTTTCAATCGAAGATACGAGAGATTCTTGGTATGCAGATGCCACTGTCTCACGTAGAAACTCGACCGAGCCGAGGATACCATGGAGCGGCGATCGTAGCTCGTGTGAGATGGATGCAATGAATGTTGTCTTGGCACGATCAGCCTTTTGCGCATTGAGGCGCGCTACTTCACTGGTGACTGAATTCCCAAAGGCCTGTAGGTACGGCAGTTCGTGATCCGGACTCATCAGCCTTCCAGCTTGAGCTGTCCAGATGAAGCTTCCTGCAATCCATCTTTCCGTACTGGGATCCCACAAAGGCAAGAAAATCAAACTGCGAACCTTCGGCAAGACCTTCAAAAACTCTGTGGGAACGAATCGTTCTCGCTTCTTTCGCGGCTTCTTTGTACCTGCTGTAGATGCGTTCACAGTGCGGTCCGATTGCTCGGTTTCGGAGCGCTCGGATCTCTCATCGGATGAATTGACGCCGATGCCGTCTTCATTGAAATTGAAAAACTTTCCGTAAGGGTAACGGTGTATGTATCGCTCCATAGCAGCCTCGGTGAAGCTGAACTCAGAGTGCACCAAACTCGCGTTACCTTCCCGCAAAGAAAGGCCGGCTACAGGGCACGGTTTGCTATCGACGATGTTAGGATCCGCTGAACCATGTGTATTGACAAGGTTCTGTTTTTTCATTCTTCGCGACGTGGTCGAGTCGCCAGTATCGGTGTTGTGTGTCGCACTCTCGTCGCTGCTCCCAGCGTTTCGGTTGTAATCGTAGAGGTGAGTCCTTATGCCGGCTGCAGACGTATCGAAGAAGACGACACCATCAGCATCCGTACTCTGCCGTATAATGCGAGCTGCGCGGTGAAAGATGCGGGATGCGTCCGACTCGGAATCGCGCTTGCGCTGCGCTTGCCTGGCGGCTGTGGCATGTGTGGACGTAGAGTTGCTTTCAGGCTCTTCCTCGTCTAACGTCACCAAGCGCGCGTTTTCAGTCTGCCTCTCCATAGTGCTGGATCGATTGCTGTCCTCGCGCATGTCCTGGGCAGACGAGCGCTCGATGAACTGGGTCAAGCCTCGTACCATGCGCTCCCCCTTATTCCGGTCCATGCTGTCTTTGGCCAATTCCAGGTGCTCCATGATGGCGGCTGCAACATCTTGCATGAAGCGCACCTCAGCAGCAGTAATGCCTGCACGAGGTCTTTCATCAGATACAGCATATACACCAATGCGGTTTCCAGCCTTGGTGACAATGGGAACACCTGCGTAAAACCTCACACCAGGCTCGGACGTAACATAATCTCTCTCAGCGAAACGAGGATCCAATCTGCAGTCAGGAATGACCATGCATTCCGCCTCGAAGGTATCGCCATTATCTTCCTTTGCGATATATGTCGATGTGAAGGTGTGGTAACAGACAGCGTCTACCTTGTTCAGTATAGCGTTGCCTAGCCACACCTCGTCCTCGGGCGCTTCGGCGACAGGTTTGAATAGCGAAAGGGTGCGAGTGGCTTCAGCGAGGATGTACTGTCGGCTCGAATCGATCAGGGAGACCATAGCCCGGCGCGTGTCAAGACGGAGCGTAGCCAGCTGCGCAAAGGCAGTCAAAGAGCGATCGCGCGACGACTGCGGCTGATAGCCAGAGTAAGTCAGAGGCTTACCAGAGCCGTCGGCATCTAGCAGGCTCTGGCCGTCGAGCCATGGGCGGTAATACCTAGGGGACAAAGTCAACGGCAGCTAGCCTAGAGTACATATGCATAACGACTAACCTGTGGAGATCACGCTCTCGGATTGCTTCATAAGAATAGCCCATGGTACTTTGTGTTAGCGGGGGGGTATCTCAACATGGCATTCCACACGCGCAATAATTCACGTATCCCAGGGCAAAGGCACAGTGGCGGGGGACATGCGACGAGTTGTGTTAACCTACGCCATCGACGATTAGCTGGAGATTGATGCCGCGGGCGACTCTTTTGAGTGAGTGATTAACTCGATGCGTATTAGAGGCCCCGACCCTGGCCAGTCGAGGTTCCAAGATTCCACGGTCATTTTGCCATGGGTACAGAGAATCCGATGAAAAGACATCTGCGGTTATCGAAGCATGACGTGCCATCGGAAGGCGCGCTTAGTGGCTCTGCACCCGCAAATCCGAGCATACGCCGATCTCCCGCAATGCCGCCGATTTACACTGAACAGAACCTGCACACCGAAACACACCGCGCGACAAGGCCCGCGACACAGGAGACGCAATGTTCGAACTGCCGGATGCGAAGCGGTAAATCTTGACCAGGAAGCCACCCAGCACCGGCTACATCATACTGACCTTGCCAAGGGTGCGCCGCGATGAGCTCCAGTCGCCCACATCATCACCACGCTCTTCGCCGGATCGAGACCTCGAAGAGCTTTTGCGGTCCAAGGCTCACAGCCAATTTACGTATACAACGGCCGAAGAAGTTGTTGAAGATGCTGCGCACAGCGATGACGACGAGGCGGAACTGCGACTCTTTGCTGCACCTTCAAATGCGCCCGCGCAAACACACAAGATCCGTTTGTCGTCCCCCACTGCCGACAGTGGAGAGCCGGGCCTCATCTTGAAGAAGCCCAGAAGCTACTATTTTGCCGATGAGCCCACAAGTGACGAGGAGGCTACCTTCCGGGCGGCAGCTATCGATGGAAAGGGCGTCTTGGAGCTGTCACAGCTGCCTTGGCCGGGTTGCGCCTTGCCGTGGAAAGTGCGCAAAATCTCGCCAACAGGGATGAGAAAAGAAGTCCTCGTCGGCCATCCTCCAATGCTCGCCACGGTAGAGGAAAGGATACACAAGCGCACAAGAAAGAGCAAGAAGACGCGAATTGCGATTAGAAAGAAGGTGCAGGCGAACAAGCAGAAAGAGAGTGAGCAGGCACGGCTTGCGCAGGAGAAGCTAGAGGCGGAGCGCGAAAAGAAGACGCGTAGGAACAGAGAAAAGAAGCTGAAGAAGAAGGCAAAAGAGCAGGCCAAGAAGGCGGCAGACGGAGAGAATGAAGAGACCAAGGAGGTTGCGGGAGATGCAGAAGAAGCATCTGTGACTAACCCTACTTCCGCTCCCGCGGATGACGCCATGACCTAAACTCAACTATGTGACATTTTTAGGTTACAACAATCACGTGGATGCTGACTGAGCTAAGAATACGCCTTGGACGGCTTTCTCTATGATACATGGTTCTCAGTCATGATATTGCCTTTACCCGCTTCCCCTTGAAGCGCGCCGTATGCAAACGATGCCTAGCATCAATATCTTTCCCAGTCTACTTGACAATGGGAAACCTCTGTAAATACTAGAGAGTACAGAGGCGGATACAACTCCGGTACAAAGCCCCACTCCTTCCAACGCCGTGTCCACACTGCTCCTTCCCGATTGAAGGCCGTGCATGTTGATTCACATGTGCACACAGATGCCATCAATTTCTGGCTAGATGTGTATCTTGCGCTCCTCCCTTCTTGTATGTAACAGGAGACGAGTTAGTAACGTAGAAACACAAGAATACCAAACTATGCTTTCGAACACTCCACTTGTCGTATCTCTTTCTCAATTCTATCCGTCACACTCACCGCTTCCTATCTATCCCCGCAACCAACTCAATCCCCTTCTTCCGCAACCCTATGACCTCTGCATTAAGCCTTGCCGCGCCATACTATAGGCTGTGCACTCAGCCTTACCCCGCCCCACCCTCCATAGAAATAAAGATGTTGCAAGTTGAAGGGGAACTCGCTCATAGACTCTTGCGCTATCTTTCTATTATACGCGATTTTGAGTATAGCTTAGCGTCCTGTATCCCTAGCTACGCGTTGTGTCAGCTTCGGCCTTGTCAACGTTGACGTGCGAATGGTATTATACTTGTAGAGTCTTATTACCATACAGGTTTATCTCTGTTACTTTGCAAAGGTAAGTTTAGGAATTGTCAAGAAGACTTAACACTCTACAACAATGTCATTATCGCTAAGTGTAAGCAGAAGCTGATAGGCAAGCGGATCGTATTACTTTAGTATTCCGAACTGATACGCCTGAGCCAACATGGAACCTTGGGAGCTTCTGTGCGACGAGCCGCAACCTGTGAATGATTCGGAGCATCTAACAGAGTTTGCATACGAGCCGTTAATATCACCCCAAGGGTGTATTCGCCTCATTGACATCCTCGAGCTTTCCACAGATGGCACCATCATATGCTCTATGAAAGAAAAGCAATTCTACCTCAATGAGAGCAGCTACAATGCTCTTTCGTATTGCTGGGGCCCGTCCAAACCTCTTTATCCAATCATCATCAATAACAAAGTCCTGCATATCCGAGGGAACCTTAGGGATTTTATGTATTATGCGCGCACAGCCCACGAGGATGCTTGTCATGATATATGGATCGATGCTATATGCATCAATCAATTAGGCCTTGCCGAGAGAAATATCCAAGTCAGCCAGATGCACCATATCTTTTCCAATGCAAGCGCCGTCTACGCTTGGATAGGAAATTGGGACACTACATTTAGCCCAGCCTTCCAAAGACTTGAATACCCCGATGTAGAGAGTAAGCTAGCTATTACATTTCCCCCTTCTAGCGTCCATTTATGAAAGCTGAGTATATTATAGTATATCGTCCCATTTCCTAACATTGATATAGTTCCCGAAACCCGCAATAACAACTCAATTGTAAACATATCTATGGAGCTTTTGTTCGCACGGGACTACTGGAGCCAGATGTGGATAGTCCAAGAAAATATCCTGGCTTCTAACATTCGCCTCCTCTGTGGTAGCAAGTCAATACCTTGGAACACTCTATCGGTAGTTATCGCACGTTCTCAAGACAGCCATCATCGAGCATTGGGCGGTTTATCCTAGAAATCAAGCAAACTGCAGAAACATGAGCGTTGCACACAATTTGGTTCGCTTGTTTCTGAGTCGTGCTCGAGGTGATAGCATCGCCGATCCTCCAACCTTGTATGAGATCTTTAGTTAGTTGGGCCAAGGGGAATGTGCGGACGTTCGTGATAGGGTCTACTCACTACTCGGGCTGTTCCCCGAAGGGCCAAGCCTACAGGTCGACTATCTGATTAGTACTCCGGCCCTTTTCTTCAACGTGCTACTAGCACTTGAACGCGAGAGAGGATTCAGTGACTGCTTGGTCTTAAGACGTGCTCTGGGTCTCGCTCATCAGGATCTAGAGGACTACTGCAGCAGCCACAAGCGGCAGCACAGTAACTCTGAGGATATAGTGATCCACTTGGTGGAACTCAAGTCGATCAAGGAATGGAGCAACCCAATAGCTCCAGAAATCAACTTTACTCCCTTACATGACGAATTAAGATCCAGCGATTATATCTGGGAGTTTGCACGCATGCCGAAACTCAGCCACGCACTTATTCTGAGAGATGATTCTAGTTCCGTCAGGCATGCGACAGGAACAATGAAATGCGTTGCGTTGGAACTAATTCATGAGTCCCCAGAGTCTTGTAATAGGCCTTGTCGCGTAGACCAGTGGTCACATCTTCGACTCAGCGTATTTCCTTGAGAGTCATTCCAACCCGCTACAGTAAGGAAGCAAAGCCTGGGGCCATCATCGTCTTCACTAGCCATCCATATCAGCCCATCCATGCTATTATTTCTTATCAGGTGGTTTGATATCACTGTCAATTGGTATACGCTTCGTGCCGGCTTGGATAGCAACAGGAATGAATCACCGTTCTCAGAACGATCGCACTGGAAGGCCACCGGGCATACAGAGATGCGTCGCCCGCTCCGACCCCAATGCCTGTAGTTTTCTACCATCCGTCTCAATTCGATCAAGGCTACAATTCTTGAGACTCCGATATTGGAAGCCAGTAGAATTATTCCGTGCGACTGTGAGCCATCAAAAAATTATTTTGAAAAGTTTTCGAGGAGTGACAGTGAACAATGGAATTCTTTCCATATCCACTATTGGTAGAGAGGCTGAGTGTGATGTTTCTTCATGATCCCAGACGATGGGGACCCGCCGGATCCTCCCAGCAGTGTGCAGCGAGGTTTGCATTATGACCAAAGGTTATCATCATCATCATCTTTTTATTCGTCAAGGCTACTCTGGAAACTAGAACTCGGAACTGGTTGCACTCTCTGTAGATACAAATATGTATCTAGGTGACATGCCGGTGGTTGCGCGTCACGACTTCTTGAAGATTTGAGTAAGACATTTCGAATAGCATGACGGATACAACGTATACTAGAAAGCGCCCTTCAGCCCTTTAGACAGCTGATAGCGTAGAAAAAGTGAGAGAATTTTTGTACATGCTCACCTTTGTAGAACAATGTCGCACTCGGTAGAAGTTGTAGTCGTCAAAAAGCTTGTTTCGTGGAGTTTCAACATTTGTAAACGTGATCTGTGATCTGCAGTGCATGACGGCCCAGGCACATGCAAGGCATCGACGGAATCTGTTGGAAAATCGATCGCATAATAGAGAGCTTTTCAGCGTTAGCCAAGAATTCGCAACATGTTAGCGTAGAAGTCGGGTTTCACATAGAAAGAATCTCCGGCTCGTATGTGGCAGAAGGTGATGCAACAGTGGCGGTGGTGCCCATTGCCTTGAGCGTGCTCGCTCGCTTCTGCGACCCAAACGCCGAGTCAGTTGGAAACAGGGACCCAACGTGACCCTTGACACCACCACCTACTCACCTACACCAACTGGCCCGCATAAAGGTGCTCAAGAGCAGTACCGAACGCGCAAACCTTGGATCGGCACAGCTCGTCAGCCCACCATGTCGTCCTACCTCAATAATCTCCTCACCAACACGACATCGCGCTACAACAACCTGCGACGACAGATCCTATCCGACGAGGCAGATGGCGATACAGAGGACGACTCGCACCTCTCGCGAGTACTTCGCGCATATTATACAGAAAAGGGCAGGCCCTTCCCCCAATGGCTTCCACCAGACCCAAAGGGCCCCCAGCCCACGACTCCGACGCAGTTCGCATCTTCTTCGTCGCTACGGCAACAGGGACAAGCACCAGCGATGGGCAGAGGAGGCGGAGGACTCAGCGATCTGTGGGATACTCCTGCGCCGCAACAGCAGGCACAAGAACCACTGTCGCTCCGCCGAGGTGCAGGGGGACGGGGCGGTGGAGGGCGCCCGATGCAAGGCCGACCCATGGGCAACTCGATGACGCCCGAGCCTCAAGTACAGGGACGACCATTGCCAAGTCAAAGGGCTGGTAGCTACCAGAGCTCGGTAGGAGGGCGTTCTCAGGCCGAGTCTTCATCACCACCACCAAGCGCAGGAGGGGGCACATCGGCGCAGGAAAGGCTCAAGGCTAGGCTATGGGGGAGGTCCCAGAGCCCAGCGCAGCGCGGACCAGCTTCGGATTCTGGCAGCGCCAACCCATCTAGCCCGCGCAGCCCATACGACCAAGGAGGGCGACCACCATACCCGGAAGAGCGAAGCAACAGCTATGGAAGTAATGGCAGCGCTGGTGGACGGCAGCAGGGCTATTCTGGCATGTCGGCAAACTCGCCTTGGACTGGCAATGCTGATCCATATGCGCCACAGAGTGGTGGAGGATACGGGGGAAATGCACCGCCACGCGGACCACAGGGCGGACGTATGGGCTTGCCGAGTGGACCGCGCATGCGCTGAAGGCCTTTTGAGTTCTTGGTGGGTTGAGCATGGCGTAACGGAGTGGTTGGTTGGTACTCACTGGGAAGGCAAGCATGGGTCTGTAGACATTTGGCAGCATAGTTCAGGTTTACTGTACAGGCAGGTCCTTAATAATATCCACCTATTCAACGCAGGGCCATAGCAAAGCACCGATTCCAGTTTTCGACTGTTTGCGCGCGTCATGTCGTTGTCCAGGTCGTGCTACCACTACCACCACCTGATTCGATGAGGGGCGACGGTAGCGGCGACGCGTTCCCCGCGCACAGCCACACTCGTCATCCGGCGAGCTGAGCCTAGCCTGCAAGCATCACCTGCGACTATACGCCGCCGTCCAAGCATGTGCACCGGTTTGCCTAATACCTAGATTATCTTCTACATACTCACCAGCATCTTGGACCTACACCCAAGTCTCTCTCCATCTAGTGCCACTGTATAACCCTGGCGGTCTTATAGCCCCGCATGGCTTCCCAAGCAGAGGCGCCACCCTCTCCAACCGCGAGCTTCTATGATATGAGTGATGATGAAGAGGGCGAGTACAACACAATTCGACATACCAGCAGTGGCAAAGGCGTAAAGCTGCTGTATACAAAGAGCAAAGTTCGCACAACGACATGTACATTTGGCCATCTGCACATTGTACTAACATGCATAGGTATACGTACATCCCTCACCCTCGTCTAAAGACAACATCCCTGGCTTCATTGCCCTCATACAACAAAAGTCAACCCGCTCCTCTAACGATGCACGTCCTACTCCATCCTCGTCTGCTCGAAGCGTCAGCGCGTCCTCACTACTCCTTTGCTGGATCCCAGAGTCGAGCCTCGGCGATGCATACGATACCTACGTCAAGGTCGATCTATCAGACTCCTCATCACCACCTAAACAGTCGTATTTGGTGCCACCACCTCCTACACCTTCCACGCACTCTGTAACTCCCGGTTATGCATTTGCACTGCCCGTCAGCGAGATATATTCGGTCTTGATACGACCACCAAGTATAGGATGGTGGTTTGGGAGCGTGGTTGTCAATACTCGTGCTGGTGACAGTTTTCCTGCGCTGTTCTTCCATGACAGCGAGTGCCAGTCCACTATCATGCAAAGGAAGAAGCTAGCAAAGGAGAGTTTTGATCCGTTTGGTGACGGAGGTGGCATGTTCTGGGGCGGCGACGAGGTACTCAGATGGCTCAAACGATACGTCACAGTTGAGCGGTCGGGAGCCGACCCGAGTATATATCTCATCGATCCCTCTGAAGAAGACAAGAAGTCCTTTGGTAAAGATGTGGCGCCGAGAAAGAGCACCGAAGGTCAAACAGGCGCATCATCTTCGCAACAAGGCGGACAAAGAGACGCAGCTATGGATCCAGTAACAAAGGCACTCAAAGAGGCGAGATGGAATTTCCTCGAGAAGCTCAGCCAAGTCACTACATTTACAAGAAGGACTGCACAAGCCGTTGCAGACAACCCTAAAATCCCTCCTCAGGTTAGGCGCTTGATTCAGAATCCAGAGGTGCAGACTTTACAGGAAGAGTTTGACAGTGCACGGTTATATCTGGCGAGGTGGGCTATGGGCATCGCCGAGCAAAGTGAACGAGAGCGAAACCAGCGGATATGGACAGCCAAAGATGTCTTGGCCATGGAGGAAAGCGACGTCGGCGACTTTGAGATTCTAGACATGGACAAGATGACCATGGCCGATCGAAGAAAACCAGTCACCTTGGAGGAGTGGAAGGGCTTTTTCGATTCCAGGGGACGGTTGCAGCTGATGCCAGACGAAGTCAAGGACCGTATCTTTCACGGCGGCCTGGATCCCGACGATGGCGTGCGCAAAGAGGCATGGCTATTCCTCTTAGGTGTTTACCAATGGGAAAGCTCAGAGGAAGAGCGACGCGCCCACATCAATAGCCTTCGCGACGAGTACATTCGACTCAAAGGCGCTTGGTGGGAGCGGATGGCCGAGGGTCAGCACACCCTAGAGCAAGAAGAATGGTGGAGGGAGCAGAAGAACAGGATTGGTTAGTTCCCGTGTTTGCTTTCGATCGCTTGAATGTCCACTGACTTTCCCCCATTCTATGGGGTCCGTTGTGTAGAGAAAGATGTACATCGCACAGATCGCAATATCCCCATCTTTGCTGGCGAGGATATTCCGCATCCTGATCCCGACTCTCCATTTGCAGATGTTGGCACAAATGTCCATTTGGAGCAGATGAAGGATATGCTGCTTACCTACAACGAATACAACAAGGGTCTTGGCTATGTACAAGGCATGAGTGATCTGCTCGCGCCCATTTATGCAGTCATGCAAGACGATGCAGTTGCCTTCTGGAGCTTTGTGGGGTTTATGGACCGTATGGTGAGTTTTTCAATGAATAAGAAACATTGGAATGCAGGGGCTGATTATGAAATAGGAGCGAAACTTCCTACGGGATCAGTCTGGAATGCGCAAGCAGCTCATGACTCTTGACCATCTTGTACAGCTCATGGACCCTAAGCTGTACCTACACCTGCAGTCCGCAGACTCGACTAACTTCTTTTTCTTCTTCCGCATGCTACTTGTTTGGTATAAGCGAGAGTTTGAATGGGCAGATGTACTGCGGTTATGGGAGTCCCTATGGACCGACTACTTGAGCAGCAACTTCCATATCTTTATTGCATTGGCTATACTGGAAAAGCATCGCGAGATTATCATGGCGCATCTGAAGCACTTTGACGAGGTGCTCAAATATGGTAAGTGGATTGGCCCCTGAAAGTGCCCGTCATTGCACACAGCAAACACTGACATTGTTGTAGTCAATGAGCTTTCTGGTACAATGGACCTGGAGTCAACACTCGTCCGCGCCGAGTCTCTGTTCAAGAGATTCCAGCGAACAGTAGAAACTATTGACAAAAAGGGCAACTTTCCCTCGGCACCACAAGCGAGGCAGCGGAAGCCAGCCGCTGGGGTGGCTGGTAGTTCAGGCTCCTCATCGTCGGCCAACCAAGCGACGACCTCTGGTACCGATAAAGGCAAGCAGGTTGCTGGAGATGAACAAGAGACGAGAGTGATCAGTCCAGAACTCCGCGCATTGTTAAGTCGAAAAGTAGAGAAACTCGATAAAGATAAGGCGGCAGAGCAGGGTAGTGGCGTTGGCAAGTAGAGGTGGTGAAGGGTTGTTATCGTTAATTCACGAGTGGCGTTATGGGATGGCTGGATAGTTTTGGGAATACATCGGGGCATTCACTGCGGCTGGCGCGTTTGATAGGCTAATTCAGAAACGCCATTGATGATATCGTATCTCCACGCTCATTGCGCACCCCGCACTTCATCTTTCGTCATCACGTGGTGCCACGTCTGCCCTCATGCATCATGTTTTTATGTTTCATTTTCAAGAATATACCTGCTGCGTCCTGACCGCGTTTTCACCTTCAGTCAAAATCGGTTGCGCGGCTGTCGCTCATGGGCCTGACTCGCGCGTTCTGTTTTCTCCAAACAGTAGCCTAGCACTTCACAACTCTATTAATCACCAACGCTACACTTGTATGATATGAACAAACCACGTGCGGCTGCACCCTTCTCACTTCATGAAGAGAAAGAGCTTGCCAGTGAAACCTTCAATGAACTATATCAATCGCTTTATCGACCGGCACTTGTCGCCGCGTCCGCGTACACAACGACCCTCTCAGCCGCCGAAACCCCTAGCGAGCTCCCATCACCAACAAAGGATACGCTTGCGCCCTCATTCTCACCACAAGCACAAGCGACGCAAACGCCGCCGGGAGATGACGGCTTTCAAGGGACCTTGGTCTAGCGACCTTGACTCATTCAAGAAGTTGGTACACTCGATACCAGAGCAGTACAAGCACTCTTTCGCTACTTCCTCAAAGGCAACGCTCGACAAGATTTGCGATCCAGGCGTGCTACATGTCTGGGAGTCGAACTCTGACGTCGACAGCTTACTGCAGCTCGCCTCAATCATTGCTAAGCTCTGCAATCTTGGAGTGCGCAAGAGCGCCGGCGCGAATCCCAAGGATGGCTGCATGGTAATTATCGCTGAAGAGAACAGCAGTGGGAGCAACTATGATCGCATCTGCGAGTATGTTGGTTACCTGACTGGAGCTAAACTACGGAGCCACCTCGAAGACACTGTTGCCGCGTATGGCAAGATTGTTGTGGTCAGGGGCTGGGACAACAGTGTACTGAGTGGGCAGCGCGAGGCGCTTGAGAAGACTGTCCGACGAATCAACATTGCGATTGAGCGTGTGTTGAAGATGGGGAAGTTTGAAGGCAAGAAGAGGAGGATTGTGTGGCATCACAATGCAGTCATACCATTCTTGTTGCATTGGATCAACACCACGACACCAGCCTTGCGCTCCACCATATCTGCGATTACCATCACTGGCTCACTGGACTTCTCCATTGGCATTGGGCCCTCTATCGCCGGTCGCGCCAACAAGGTACCTGATCTCGAGCGTCTAGAACAGTATGCGAAGAAACTTGGTGTTCCTGTCGTCTTTCTCGACTCATCGTCACAGCTCATCAACTTTGACTACTTGGGTACATACATGTACTACTACGCCTACTACATCAACACCTTCCTACCTTCCTCCTTATCTCGACCACATCTCGAAAAAGCCCAAGACGAACTCGTAACCTTTGCGTTCCGACTACGCGCAGTCAGCGAAGCCAAGTACGGCATAGAAGCAGTCAAGATGGTCCAAAAGTACCTCGACCCACGCACCGCCAAACAATGGGCGCACAACTGCATCAACAAAGACAGCTACGAGAAATCCAAATGCCGCGCCGCCGGCAAAGACGAATCCATCCACCACGCCGTCCAACTCGCCGACTGCCCCTTCGCCCGCTTTTCCCCCAACCCCGGCGTCCCGTCCTTCGCGCGCCTCGCCGTCGGTCCCGCCTCCACCTCAACCCCAGACCATTACACCGCCGCCCCCGTCAGCATCGCATTCCGCAAATCGCAATTCCGCCCCGCCAGCCCCTCGACCTTCTACATCCTCGTCCCACAAGCCACACAGGACCTCGAAAAAGTCACAAACCGCATACAGGGCCTCATGATGGCGGTCCTCGAGCGCGTCCGCCGCGAAAAGGGAAACCCAGTGCTCGGCGACGCGGAAAAAAGCATGTGGCGCGATGTTGTCAAAGCGTGCACTTGGGCGCTTGATGGCAGTGAGGAGAAGATGCCAAAGGAGATGGTGCGCAAGGTACGGTTTGTCAAGCAGAAACTTAAGGCGGGCACGTGGGGATATGCGGTCAATGCTCCGGCTGCGAATGCTGAGGCGGCGGGTGGAGGGGCGGCGGGGAATGGCGCGGTGCAGACGGGTGTGGAGATGAATCGTCCGTATGCGTTTGATCAGGGGAAAGGGCAGAGTGCTACCCCCGGGTATTATCAGGGTGGGGTGCAGCATGTGCTTCAGGCGCCGGTGGATGGGGCTGCTCAGGTTGCGGCTACGCAGGTTTATCCTAGTGTTGGGCTTGGAGGGCTGAGGGGGAGTGGGCGTGGGTTTACTTGAGGTGTTGCTTCCTTTTGCACTGAAGGTATGCTGGCATTGTAGTTGTTTGCTTTTTTCTTCTTCTCTTGTTTTTCTTTCTTCTTGTTTACACTTTTAGCGTTGTTGGACATGCATGAGCATTGAGCATGTGGAGTTTAGGTCATGACCTTATGATTAGATGATGCATGGATGGGTATATATCTTACGAGTAATGACACTTATGATTGAGTATGTTCTGGATTCTATGCGGCTTTCTACGTGCTGGTTATAGAAATGGCAAATTGAAGAAGTGTAGTTGAGTACAGTTGTCTGATTTGGGGGGGGGGGGGGTTGAATTGGTCTGCCTTCTATATTTTGCCAATGCTAGTTTTGAGGACTTTTACCTGTTATAGGCATACAGCTGAATAGTGCTGGGTTTTAGATGTTATAGCCCAATGCACCTAACTGCATCATTCTCTATCAGGTGCTTAGTATCTTCGTCGTGACATTGTACATGGACTGTACAGCAATTCTTCACTGCTATGGTAAAGTAACACCACAGGCGTTCCCACCCATTCAGGAATTTTGCAAAGGACAACCATGAGACAGTGAATTATGCTAAACTTACAGGATCGTTGTGTATTTACAAGAAGCAAGATACTAAAATACATGATATCTTAGAACATGAATCTCCAATGCAACCTCGCGAATCTGGAGGAAGTCCTCTGTTGATGGGTCATAGGCTTCTCTGAGTAACCTAGCTCGCTTCTTCTTCAGGTACACTATTTCCATCTTCAGCAGCCCTTTGTTCATATCATTTAGCATTTTTTTCCTCATCGTCTGCATTATTTCGAACCGCCTGTGACATAGAGTCGTATATAGATGCTGAGATCCATATTTCTCGGCCAGTTCATTGTATGCTCGTTGGTATAGCTTTGTTGCTTCCGCACATCGATAAAGTCCGTGCAAGGAACAGGCGAGATGGCAGGTACGCATCAATGTATCGGGATGGTGCTCCCCAAGCTCCTTGGTAGATATGTCTACTGCTTGTCGGTATAACTTCTCTGATTCCCTATACCTACCTTGATAATATAACATCTTCGACATATCATCCATAATACACAGCATTAAGTCATCGCTCTCTCCTAGCTCCTTCTTGCCCCTTTCTAGGACTTCTTGAAATAACTTTTCTGCCTCGCTATACCTGTTCCGAAGACACATGAATGAAGCTAGATCCCTTGTAATCGAAAGCGTTGAATGATGCTTCTCTCCTAGCTCTTTCTTGCATCCCTCTAGAGTTTTTTGATAAAGATTTTCTGCCTCATCGTACTTGCGTTGACAACACAGCCCTGATGCCAGATATTTCATACTCTTCAGCGTCATGGGGTGGTACTCCCCCCACGCCTTCGTGTTCGCTTCTAGTACTTGCTTTTTGAGTTTTACTTCCTCTTCGTGCCTATTTTGATGCTGAAATACTAGCGCCAACTGACTCATAGTGCACAAAGTTGCCGTATCACTAGGGCCCAAAATCTTTTCCTGAGTGGCCAGTATCTTTGTTGCAATCTGTGCTGCAGCAGTAAAGCTCCCTTTGTCACACAGGTAAGATACTAAACTTTTCAGCACTAGGGCCCATAATAGTGACGTCTCTCGAGTAGCTGGCTTGCTGTCAATAAGTGGTTCCACGTGCGGAGCCAACTGCTGCCACTCTTCCCAGTTTCCATACTTATGATCTGGTAATACGTTCACCGTCAGCTCTATAAATTCTCTCTCCCATCGCCCTGTATCACCATATGATGACAGCCATGATTGCGTGCAGAGTTTCACTAGAGCGTGCATCTCGCATGTGTTGTCTGCGGTCGTTGATACTAAGGAGTATGTCTGTAGAGTAGCCAGGTCCTCGCCAAACCCGCCATTATCATGATCATGTTCATCATCATCATCATCTACTTCTGCGCTAGTCGTCTTTACTCTGTAATTTCTGAATCGCCGCAATATTCGCTCCGGTATGCCTCGTGGGCTGAAGAAGCTCATGAGCGACAACAGGTCAGCTGCCGATGGTCGTTCGCAGCGGATCTGGTCGAAGGACATTTGCCAGGTAGTCAATATGGAGCTGGAGGCACTCTCGTCTCGACGCAGCTCGATTGTATCCCACTTTAGCAAACTCTCTCGCTTCTTGTCGTTTGTCTGAAAATCATCTAGATAGCGTGTTACTGTCATGTTTGCACGTCGATTCATGTACGCGGACGCTTTTATGATGGCAAGAGGTATACATCCTAGTGCCTGTAGTAGCTTTATAGCGCTCTCTTCAAGGGGCAGGTTGCATAGTTTGTTGCGCAACAGCTGGAGACCCTCGCCTATGCTCAGGGCAAGCACCTCGTGAATTCTGTTGTGGCCGCCTACTAGGCTAGAAGCGGCGTCTTTGTTCCGCGACGTGACTAATATCGCTCCGTTACGGCTCTGGGGGAGATAGGTGGTTAGGGAAGCATGGCTATCAGTGTCTGTCTCATACCGCTTGCGCTTCCTTGATGGGAAAAAGGTCTCTACATCATCAACATTGTCCAAGACCATGAACCACTGTCCGTTTGCCTCTTCCCGGAGCCAGTTTCTAACCAACTGTAAAACATTCTCCTTGGGGTCATTCCTGCCTGGCAGCTGGAGCTGGTCTGCGATATCTTTATAGGCTTCCTCGAACCGGGCGCGGGTGCTAGCATGCACCCAAAAGACGAATGTCTGCGGGCTCGCATCGCGGATAAGATGGGCGTATTGCATCGCTATTTGTGATTTGCTAGGATATGTCAATGTATTGGTACTTCAATATGCCTACAATACGTCAACATACCCTACGTACTCCGCCAAGACCCACCAGCGCTGCTCGCGCTCCGTTTCCCACACACTTGTCGCGTAGCCATGAGAAAATATCGGGACGGTCAACATAGTCTGGATCTGGTGCAAACGGCACCATAGAGAAAGGTCTGGGCTGGCAATGAGATGCTAGCAGACCGTTATCCGCTCGACCAGGCCCAAAGTTGAAGTTCATCGTCCCACCAGGTCCACAGTGTGGAGCTGGGATGGCGATGTGAGCATCCAGGGGTCCGTGGAACGTGCTGGCCATGGTGTAGTGGAGAAGCGACTTTGTAAAACCTTCTGATCAGAGAGAGGTAGGGAGACAAGTCAGACGACCTGTAGCTACGTAGACTGCCTGGATAGGAATGTGCCAAGCGAGAATCAGCCTCAGCCTTGCGCTCTCACAATCTCTGCAGTGTCTAGTACCTCCAGCTTCTTTTCTATGGTATCTTTATATTTAGTATCGAGATTGATATATTAAACATGCACCTTCTACGACGCAACGACCATGGCAGATACGTCCTGCAAGAATTCATGGGCGAAACCATTCCCCGTTACGCCATCTTGTCTCACACCTGGGGACCAGACAACGACGAAGTCACATTCGCAGATCTTGACAAAGAAACAAGCACATATACTTCCAAGCCAGGCTACAAGAAGCTACAGTTCTGTGCAGATCAGGCTGCTCGAAATGGTCTATGCTATTTCTGGGTAGACACCTGCTGCATCGACAAATCGAGCAGTGCAGAGCTCACCGAAGCGATCAACTCCATGTTTGCCTGGTATCGCGACGCTGCTCGATGCTACGTCTATCTTGCTGACGTTTCAGCCGGCACCCCAATTAGTAGATCATCAGACCAACAAGAATGGTGCCCTGCTTTCCAGCAAAGCAGATGGATGACAAGAGGGTGGACGCTCCAAGAGTTATTGGCTCCCACATCGGTTGAATTCTTCTCAGTCGAGGGCCAGCGACTTGGTAGCAAATACTCGCTTTTGCAAGAACTTCGCAGCATCACTGGAATAAGCATCGAAGCTCTTCAAGGGAGTCCGTTGGACGGATTCAGTGTTGAAGAGCGCCTGTCGTGGGTGGGGCAACGGCAGACGAAGCGCGCAGAAGACATGGCATACTCACTGCTGGGTATATTCAATGTGCATATGTCACTTATATACGGGGAAGGTCGGAGGAACGCCTTTGCCCGACTGCGCAGGGAGATTAACTTATCCACAAGTGGAGGTCCTTTGGACAAACCTCCAAGCGACATGCCGAACTACCAAAACCAAGCTTCGATGACGTACAATGCGCCTGTATTCAATGGGCCCATATCAGGGCATTATGTGGTACCAGGGACTCATGTCACGGGCGGTACTGTGAACATTAACTTTGGAGAAGAACGCAGTGTTCGCCACTGAAAGAGAAATTCAAGTTTAAGGTCTAGAAACGATACGATCACACACAATGTAGAACCTGATACTCATGTTTGTAGAAGGAAGAATACTTGCGGGCCATTAGGCCTGATGCGTCGCTCGCTGAGCAAAGACACAATAGAGAAGCTATTTGAGCCAGATAGGCTTCCAATCCAGGTTCACACTGCCTCTTGCAATTTCACAATTCATGATGCCATGGAAATAGACCTCGCCAAATATTGTATACTCCCCCCTCATAGGAAGTGGCCTTAGGAAGAAAGACGTTGTCGCATCTTCCAAGATCCACACTTCATCGGCCGGCCGTGACACACATATGGCGATTCCAAAATAGTAGTTTGTGGTTCTGAAGAAAGTTCGTTTACCTAGCCCGATCATACGTTTGTATCGTCCGACCAGGGTATTGTTGATCTGGGAAACATTGGCTTGGTCTAAGTCGCCGGCTGATGTTAGTGTTTGGAACGCCGCCTTATTGACAGGAGCTCGCCGCAACGCATCCAAGTTCCCCAACATCTCCTCGTAGGCATCTACGGCACTAGGGTCGGAGTTATGATCTCCTGTTATATTGAGGCACCACGTCAACCAGGCGCGGAACTCATCCCCAGTACTAAACGGGCTCCTCCAGGTGCAACATAGGGCTTGGAATTTTGGAGCATCTTTGATACTGAAGACTTCAAGATTAACGGTCAGGTCATCTAAACCTGGCATCTGGCGGGGTAGGTAGAGTAGCCGAATCTGGGACGTCACATCGTCAAGGGTCGGTCTCCAAGCATGAGCTGTTGCTGTTATCTTGATCATCGCACCGCCAAAAATTGATTTCAGTTAATCTATCTGAGATTTCAACAATGTGAACGTTGAGGATAGGACATATACCAAGTCGAGCCGTTGGTGACATATGACCCCAATCTTTTTTTGAATATGACTGCCAACCCCATGACTTAGCACCTGGAAACCATCCATTTCTCCACGTGCCTTGTCGAAGAATGTATGTGTATCCGATCACTCGAAGGCATATAAGAAGAAACCTGTGATACGCCCTTACGAGAGCGCTTCCTCATCATCGTCAAATTATCCGCGGTAGTGTAATATTACGGTTTGTTTAGGCAGTGCCTTTCGCCCTGACCTAGCAGGTACCGAAAAGAAACTATAGAAAAGGAGCTCATAATGGGGACTGGGCAGGGAAAGAACTATTTTGAGAAAATGAGGTGGACTCAAAAGGATACAAAGCGTGACGTTCAACTAAAGATTTTCATGGTAGTGATAGCACTGATGCTAGTATTGATCCAATTTCCAGCATAATGACTAGAAGACAGTTTTTTCACCGAGTATACATAGCAGAGAGAGCAGCATTGACGCTCACTTCGAGTAGATTGGAAAGTATCACATGTCATATACGACCGCTTGTAGTGACGTGAGATCCGAACTACGCATCTTAAAAACACACCAATTCATGGCTGGAGTAGTTCCACAGGAGATGCTTACATCTACATACCTGGCGCGCGTGTTATCTCGTAGGAACACCATTATGGATTCCGGACTTGTGCGAATGCGCAGTCGAGGCGCGAGTCTGTGTTTTGCTCGTATGAACGGATTTGCTGCACACAATGCATTGCGGAGCTATTCTTTTCACGTCTTTTGAATTCCCTCCAGCACTCTAATGGGACACGAACAATGCCCAGTTTCTTTGACTTCTTATTGTTTGATCAACAGTAACAATGGCATTCAGCACAAAAGATTTCACATTAAGCAAAGAAGCCAGTTTTCTAAATTTGACTAGACAATATTTCTGCAAAAAGACGCCATGCTCTCGTCATACAGGTGTCGACATTTCCACAATCCCTTTCGACGATATTTGCGCACGTCACTTTTGGCATCAGTACACAGAACTGACAACAAAGATTGAGACATGGCAAGAGAAGGTCCAGAACAACGTAAACAACGCCTGATAGCCAACGGCATCAGCAAGAAATGGGACATCAAGCGGCGAAATAGAGGGCCTCGGGGTATCACAAACACTGGTAACGACTGCTATCGCAATGCAACACTGCAGCCATTATTCCACTTTCCCCGCTTCATCAATTGGATCAAACAACACAATGGTGGCGGCGGAAGATGGCCTTGCAATTCTACTGATCGAAATCGAAGCCTTGACTGCCTCGATGCTATGACGCAGGGCATTCTTCGAGACGAAAGCTACAAGAACATAACTTTGACACAGAGAGCTGCTTGTGATAAAAATCCCAACGGCGGCACAATTAGATCTTCAGACATGGAAAAACATGATCCAAAACATTACAGCGGATGCCTTCCTTGCCTGCTGAAGGCGATTGTTAAGGACTATTGGAGTAATGACCTGGTCGACGACACTGCGCCATACCATCCACAATCTTTTCCATACAGCCGCAATTCAGTGTTTAAATTGTACCAACTTTTCCAGCACCAATTCTGCGAAAACCCAGATAGATTTTCTGATGAGCTTGATGAGCTACGAAGACGTAACCCGTCTATGAGCCAAGCGGAAATCGACCGATATACCCGCGCAGAAAGGCGCAGAAACATGACTGCACAGCAAGATGCCGACGAACTAGCCGTCCGGATCTGGGACGGCATTGAATCAAGCTTCAACCTCGAGTACGTATTTCCTCCATCCCCCCCCCCCCCCCCCCTTCCCAATTCCCATCCCAAACTAACAAACCCGAAAAAGAACAGCAGACGGCCGTCACCGCTCCTCCCAATTCACCTCCCTCTTCAAACTAACCTCCACAACCTCCAACACCTGCACCGCCTGCCACACCAAAAGCACACTCAACCCGGAAGACAGCATCGGCCTGACCCTGGACCCCCTCCAACGCGGCCCAGACACCATCTCGGCCGCCATCTCGCGCACTCTACACTACGACTTCGCCCCGGGCATCCCCTGCAACGCCTGCCGCGCACCCCTCACCTACGCCAAACGCACAACCCTCACCGCAACACCCGAGTACCTGCGCATCGGCCTGAAACTAACCCGCATGGACCCCGCTACGCGCTCGAAAGGGAAAATTGTGAATCCCATCGGTATAGACGAGACACTTGATCTCACACCTTACATGGCAAATCAAGACACAGATACCGCCGCGCCGGTGATCTACAAATTACACTCGGTAGCGTACCACTCTGGACGGGACATCTCGGCAGGACACTACGTAGCCGGTGTCAGTGGAGTGCGGATGCCAGGGCAGAAGCCGCCGGCGCCGCTGTTTTTGGTGGATGATGGGGTGGTGAGGGGGCGGCATGCGAGGGAGGGAGTGACGAGGAATGTCATGGCGAAGAATCCTATTTATCCTGGATCGGGGCGGTTCGATGCGGTGGCGGTTTGGTATGAGATTGTGGCTGGTGCGAGGGATAGGTTGCCGAGCGGGGTTTCGGCGGCGGATAGGTTGTGTGTGGAGGAGGGGAAGCGGATTGTGAGGGCTTTGGGGGACAGGAGGAAGGGAAGGTCACTGTAGGGCTAAAGTTGGGTTTGGTCTGGGTATGTTGAGGTAGATAGAAAGAGGGGTTTGGAGACATCAAACTCTGGATGAATAATGTAAAAATTTTGTATTCTGAAGAGTTGGGGGAAAGACAGTATAATGTATTTGCCCCAATTTGCCCAGCCATTCCACCAATGTTAATATACGGTTTTGTGCCAACTTCCCCTCAAGATAATGAACTTGAATACACAGTGAAAAGAGCAACCACGAGCGGAGTAGCCTTAGCACTTCCACCCACCCATATAACCCACAAAACTTCTTCATCCACCCCAGGTCCCGCCTCCATCCCTCCCACTCTGCAAAACAAGGTATAAACTAATCGTGCAATCTCCCCTCTTCTTCCCCCCATCATTTCCCCTCCCCCTTCAAAAAGATCCCCCACCTCCTCCTCAGAACCTCCCAACTCTCCCTTACATCCCGTCCCTTTTCCCTCTCTTCACGCTGAATCCTTGTTGCTGCGGCCGCGAGACCGATTGAGATTGCAAAGAGGGGGTCGAGACGTCTGTGGTAGTTAAAGTAAGTAAGTGAGAGTATGCCACGACAGCAACACAAACAAGTCAAAATTATTTCTGTTTCTGAAGAGAGGTATGATTTTGTTTTTGAGAGGATGAGAAGGGAAGGGGGGGGAAAAGCGTACTTTGATATTATATACTGCGCCGGCATAGCTCCTGGGTGCTTTTTGCAAGTTTTGTTCAAATGTCCAAAGTTCGGGATAGTACACAGTGCGCAGGAAGGGAAAAAAACAAGCGTTGGAAAACCCGCGCTTAAAGTCGTACAAGCGTTTAGCTTAGAAGAATTTAAACTTTGGACAGCTTCGCTGGTTGATGCAAGTGAGTTATTTTAAACTTCTCTCTCTCTCTCTCTTCTTTTGCCAGGTCGGGGTAAGTAAGGAAATCTTTCCAAGATCCCCACCCACGGGCCCTGCATTTGTGCAGTGGGGTCCGTGCGCGGGGACCGGCTTCTGGAGCCCTTTTGCTTTTCCCCACGATCCCCCGGTTCCGGGCGATACGTTATGCAAGGCACTAGAAGAGCTAATGTTGCATGGAAACTCCCCTTTCCTTGTATGGCAGGTGTTCCATGTTGCATTTGCATGCTTCTCGCCTTGGTACGTACAGAGTGTGGCCATGTTTGGTGGGGGGCTGTGGTGGCACGCGGTTGCCTATCAGGTGAGCGATGTCGTCATGTGGGTTTCAGACAACGGCCGGATGAGCCGCAAGTCAGGCTGCTTTGTCAGGTACGCATACTCAGGCACCTTCACGCGATTATACAAGACAATGTCGCAGAGCATAAACAGGTGCATCAAGGCGTGACAGATCAGGTCTGGTGCATTTGGACTAAAGCTGAATCATCGAATTACACAGGCATCTCGTGAAAAGAAGCCAAATCTGCCCAAACACCTCTCTCCGAAACGGCGAATCTTGCTTGTACAGATACGACTTGTCGTCGTGCCTTTCCGCCTCGGCTTTGCTGTAGCGGTCCTCGCAGGCTCTGGTGAAGGTTGACTGGCCCAGGGTGCTGCGAGGCTTGCCGTTGCACCAGCCGTCTGCCATCAAATCAATCAATCATCCTAACGGTATACTGTTGCGTGAATATCAAGAAATCCATGATCCGAAAACGCCCGAGTTCGCCGCAGCCTCGACAGCCGATAGATAAGGGGAATGTGAGGATGGAGCGAGCCCCTTACAGAGCCTCGCCAAACGTGTTCTCTCCTGAGTACCTGTCATCTTGTTAGCACTGAGTTCTGGCCCGAGACGCTGGGAGGCAACATACGTAATGTACAGGAAACCGTCCTCGTCCTTGTGCTCCTCATATATCGAGCTCATCAGAGCGGCAGTGGGTGGCAGAACCTCATCGACGAAGATGAAGATGGCCTTTTCAGGCGAAAGCTTGATGCGCTTGCGGATCACGTAGACGAACTGGCCTACGGTCAAGTCGGCGGGTACCAGGTACTTCTTCTTGTCGATGGTTGCAATGTCAGACTTCTCGACCTTCTCGCAGATGACCTAGGCGCTGTTAGCTGACTTGCCATGACTGACGATGGAGCGATGTCTACGTACAGGAATGCGGTCGTTGTACTTCTGGCGAATGCGCTCGGCCTCGGCCTTGCGCTTCTCGAACGGGTGCTCGTCCTTGAACTTGGAACGCATGGTGGGGGGTTGTGAGTGGTGTATGGATGTGGGTGTGGGTGTGTTTGTGTGTGGGGGGATGAGGGGGCTATATGTGTAGTTTCGCAAAGGGCGTAGAGTCGTGGAAGTGGTGAGGTTGAGCGTGGCGGAGGAGGAAGTAGGACGGAGGGCGTAGGTGCGGTGTGGGAACCTTAAGCACAGGCAGCAGAGCGGGGCTAATACCTGCGCATCACTCCCGCCTTACCTAACCAACGCCAGCAGCCGCCGAGGTCACTGGTCACTGGCCACCATGCACCCGACCAGCATCTCCCCTACCAGTCAAGTGAACATCCACACAGACATACGTATATACCTGCACACTTACAACACAAATTCACTGCCCCTGAGCCATGACAACATTGCCCTTTTGCTGCTGCTGCTGCACCCCGGGCGTGACTCGTCTGGATGGCAGTGCTGACCGCCTCGTCCCAGCCCAGTCACTTGCTCGGCTCCCATGACCTGGCTACCTGGGTACTTTGACTCATCCCCTCTCTCTCCTTCACTCTCTCCATCTCTCTCGCAAGGCGGCCATCACCATGCACGGTACGGTAATGAAGTACCTCGTCGCCACATCAGAGTCAATTGCTATGTGAAGTAGCCAGCAGCCAGGTGGACGCGTTTGCCGGCGCGTTGGCGGCCATGCCGGCCTAGCATGCCCACCTGTTGCCACTCATAGCGACGTGTCCACCCCAGCACTGGACACCACGAAGCACTAAAAAGTGCTTCTTTCCCATGTGTCCCCAGACGTCATGCAAGCCAACGTCCATCTGCTCCTCCACATCGACAGGCTGGTTGCCAGCTGCCAGCAACGTAGCAGACGCAGACGTTATCTATGATGCAGGACGCCACTCGCCCTTCACTCCCCAAGACCCCCGAGACATGAGCAGTACGCAGGGACTGAGCGCAAGCGTCCGAGCATCGCCGGCCTTATAGTGCTTACACTTGTACTTGTGCCTGCTAGAGACGTGTTTGTCGTGTTTGCATCATGCAGGTACCGATACCGCTAGTACCAAGGAAACTCCACCGAAGGTGCGCCCACCATGGTGTGATTCCCGAGAGGTCAGCACCGAGGTAGACTGCGCTCACAGTTTTTTTTAATATAGCCTAATTCATCCTCTCTTGTGCTGCTTCATGGTCCAACTGTAACTGACCTGCTACCATCCCGCCCCCCGCTATGCGTCCGTTCCGACCCTCGTTCCGCATTTCTCGCGCGCTCGAGCTTCCCCACAACTACACATCACAGCGCACCCTACGCGCAAGTCAGATATGTAGTAGGCAGCTACACTCCTCCCAGAGTCTCCGTATCGATCTCCCTCGAAGCAGCAAACCAGAGAAGCCGGATCCTCTGGAAGAATGGCGCAATCCCGAACCCAGCAAATGGCCAAACCGGATAAGACTACTCTTTGTGCCATTCATCGGGACTCTGGTCTACACTATGGTAGGCCCATGATTCCATACATATCCAATTGAAAAGACTCCTGCTTAACACATTCCACAGTGGACAGATGACACAATCAAGACCGAAGCACCCACCATTGCCGAGAAGGACGCTCTCCTCAAGCGCGAAAATGGCGTATCCGAACAATCCCCCATGCGCCTTCGAATGGAGCAATTCATAAAGCAGCAGCAAAAGCAAATCGTCGCCGAGCTCGAAAAGGTCGACGGCACAAAATTCAAAATTGACACATGGCAGCGCCCCGAAGGCGGCGGCGGCATAACCTGCGTCCTGCAAGACGGCAACGTCTTCGAAAAAGGCGGCGTCAACACCTCCGTCGTCTACGGCCGCCTCCCTCGCGCCGCCATCCAAAAGATGCGCGTAAACCACAAGGCCCTCGACCCCGACGTCGACTCGCTCGCCTTCTTCGCCGCCGGCCTCTCCATGGTCCTGCACCCGCACAACCCCAACGCACCCACCGTACACCTCAACTACCGCTACTTCGAAACCGCCGACGACAACGGCAACACCACTGCATGGTGGTACGGCGGCGGCTGCGACCTCACGCCCTCCTACCTCTACGACGAAGACGCCATCCTCTTCCACAACACCATCAAACACGCCTGCGACAAGCACGACAAAGCCTACTACCCGCGCTTCAAAAAATGGTGCGACGACTACTTCAACAACAAACACCGCGGCGAAACCCGCGGCGTAGGCGGCATCTTCTTCGACGACCTCGACGAAACCGAAAAAGACCAGGAACAGCTCTTCTCATTCGTCCAGGATTGCCTCACTGCCTTCTTGCCCTCCTACATCCCCATCATCAACAGAAGAAAGGATATGCCTTTTACCCCCGACATGAAGCAGTGGCAGCAGATTCGTCGCGGCAGATATGTAGAGTTTAACCTGGTGCATGATAGAGGGACGGCCTTTGGTCTCAATACGCCTGGCTCGAGGGTAGAGAGTATCCTCATGAGCTTGCCGCTTACCGCCCGCTGGCAGTATATGCATGCGCCTGACAAGGGGAGTAGGGAGGAGAGATTGCTGGACGTGTTGAGGAAGCCCAAGGAGTGGGTGTGAGGATTTGTATATTCAAAAAAAGGCTTATATGTGTGTGTGTTGGGGGAGGAAGGAAATGCAAATATACGGACAAGTCCAATGATAATAAATATGACTTTTCTTAAATTTGTTCATTGTTCAGAGCCTGAGCCTATACTTTTTTACACGCTTAATCCAAGTGTACTGTATAGTTTGTTTTTTTGAGGAAAGAAAAAAAGGATAAAAGGATAAAGAGAGATGAACAACAATACACGAGAGGCACAAGTACAAACAACGACTGATTGCACACACACACACACATGACTGTGGAGAAATAAACCACTCATCCATGGACGACGACAACAACAACAAAAACAACAATATCCCCTAACCCCTAGGATCATGTCTCCACCCATGCAGCCCACTCAATCTACTCCCCATACCTCCCAACCCGGCACTCCCTTCTCCACCTCCACCACTTACACCACCACCACCGGTACCTCCAAACCCACCTGTACTCGACGCAAACCCGCTCCTCCCCCCACTCCCATTATTCAGCAACTTATCAAACTGCTCCACACTCACCACCGCCCGTTGCTTAACATCAAGATCCATATCACGACTCAACTGTTTAGCCCCTTCCTCAAAGCCCAACTGGCGCAGACTCAGCGCGCGTTCCCGTGTTGCCGCTTCGTCCGTGTGGTCCTCGACCCAGACAAGGTTATGCAGCATCCACGCGCACGCGACGCGGATGTCACGGCGGGGATGCGTGAAAAGCGGGAGCACGTGTTGCATCAGGTTAGTCTGCGATATGAGTAAAGAGCGGTGCTGGGGACGGCCGTTGGCGAGGTGGATAAGAATGAAGATTGTGGCGAGCATGAGTTCCGAGGCTGGGTAGCTTGTCCAGTTTGGCTGGCCCATGGGAGTTGTCGAGGATAAAAAGGGCGGGCGGTGGGTGCCGCTGGGCCAATAGCTTGGGGTGCTGGGGCTGGCTTGGGTTTGGGAAGATGAGGTTGAGGCCGAGGAGTTTTTGGGGCGGATTTTGGAATCGAGAATCTCGAAGAAGCGGCTGTGGCCAAAGGTTTTGAGGAGGTGGTCGATCATTTCGCCAGAGGCCTTATCCTCGGACACAAAGTTGCGGATAAAGTCGAGTGCTTGTTCTTGGATGCGGATATCGTCGCGCTCACCGTTCAGGCGATGATCTTGTTCATCGTTCTTGATCTGCTGTAGTCGATCTCGAATGTTTGTTGCGCTCGTGTACCGAGGGCCATGGCGTTGATGTCGGCGCATCGATGGTATGCTTTCCGTCATCGCATCATCGTCGTCTTCAGAACCTGATTCATCGTCTACATCCATGTGAGGCTCTTCGACAGCGTTAAGGATATCGACTTGCTCTCCCGCTGCATTCGGTGTACCCATGGCAGGTTTAGATGGCTCTCCGTTGAGCACTTGGACCAGCCAGCCTACTCCGAGTTCCTCTAGACACTGTATCTTCATAGCATGAGGCAATCCAAGACATAGGTGCTTGAGCGCCCAGAGACTACCAAAGCGGAGGTCAAAGTTGGCAGACCTACACTGTTCGCAGAGTGTGCCTAGGACTCCGGATTCAAGAATCTCCTACTCATCGTTAGCTTGGAAGCGAAGGGTGTCGGATTTCGCTTACAGTCCGCATAGGTGACACATCCAACACCAGGTTCGTGATGACTTCTGTAGCTGCAATCTGCACCTTTACATTCGGATGTGTCAAGAGTTCAAAGATCGGCTGTGCAACACCGTGGTCAATGAGACTTGTTCGGAGGACGCTGACCGATCTTGACAATGACCGTGTGAGCTTGCATGCAGCAATCAAAACAGCGTCAGGATTGCCGTCCTTTGGCGACGACGACGCCCCTGGCTCACTGTTCTCGTTGTACGGGACTAGAGCTTCAATGATATGCGTTGCCGCACCCATCTCAATCACCATCTTTCTTAACGAGTCTTGGTCACCTGCCATCGCCGCCAATGCCAACAAAACGCTTTCTCGGTACTTGAACGCATGCAGGATATCGGGGTTAAGCCCAGCTCGACCCAAGGTCGACGAAGCATGATCGATATTTGGATCCATGACTTCGTGAGATATTGGTTTCGGCTGCCAAAGGGGCTTTGACGACGTCGCCGGTATGTCGAATGACTTTTTCAAAATCTGTATCAGAGTTGGCAGAATGCGAGAATGAACCGCGGCCGTCTGAAGTGCCTTGTTTCCAGTAACCAGCTCTGCTAGAACAATTGGTGAGCGTTCTAGCACAAGGCGCAGCTCATCTCTGGCTGCCTGGCTCATGGCACTGGCCTTTTTGGCATGCTCGGATGTAGGGCTCGAGTCCTCAATCATCTTTTCAACAAGCGGAATAATCAGATATGAAAAGTGCTTCTCGCGTGTCGTCTTTGACGGATCATTCAGCGGCCATCGCTCGCCAAACCTTTTGAGCAATGCCAATAGCCAGCAAGCAGACAGGCGCTCTCTGGCTTCACCTCTCCGTGCCACATACATGAGCCATATGAATAGCGGAGATTCGAACTCATCCAAGATGGTGTTCCGGCTCGAAATGTGTTGTAGCGACTCCATGCTTGGTAGCCGAGAATAGTTGTCCGCTGGACCAGAAGAATAGGCACCAAGAGCCGGCCATTGCTTAATGTACGGATCTGATTTGCTTGCCATGGTCTGCACTCGCGGTATCAATCTATCCCATGATGCCGACTGTGACGTGTTGTTTCCATCAAAAGTTCCTGCGGAGCGTTCCTTTGGCCAGCCAAAAAGCTGTTGTATCGGCTGTGAATAGAGGAACTGTGCAGTGTAGAAATGAGAATCCTTGATAATAGCTGAGATTGCTTCCAGGATGTCTGACAGGTAGGCACGAGGAAGCTGCTCGCGATTCGATCGCTTCCTGTCCGATGCAGGGATGCGATCGTCCATGGCTGCGACACTAGCAAGTAGTTCAGCGAGCAAATCTAGTACATCCGCATCTACCAAGATTCTTTTATGGTTGTCTTCTCGACACGTCTTTGTAATCAGCCGTATAGCCGATTCTATCTGCTGGTTGGCCTTCATGGTACCTGCCGTCTGCGCCAAAATCTCAGACAGACTCTCAACAGCCGACTTTGTGTATATGATATCATTCACGGCAGATGCGAGAGATGGCCTCGGCGAGCCTGACATGTCGAGCCATGGCTTTTCTTGCGCAACAGCATCGACAATCTGATTGAGCGTCTTTAGGGTCGCGGTGACGAGTTTGGAGGGTGTTTCGCTTGGTCGTAGTGCTTCGAGTAACGGAGGTAGTACATCGCCAGCCAAGAGTGGCGCAACAAATGCCGGTCCACCTGTACGTATTGTATATCAGCCAAGGTGCTCTTTCGTCTCATGTTCTGCATTGCGCGCTCACCATTCGCCAGGCTGCCGACGACGAGTGTGGCTTGGAACCTCAACTCATCTTCGGTGGTCCACTCTTCCAGCCCAGCTGTGTCACCAAACAGACCCGAGCTGTTCCCGTTCCTGGCATTCCTTCGCCTCTTGCCGCCCTTCCTAGCCTCGGCTCGCAGCAAACTGGCAAGTGGTTTCACAATACCATGCGTAACAGCCAACTCTTTTCTTTGTTCATGCCCCACAAGTTCGTTTTTTAGGCTTTGCAGCGCTGCGACTTGTGCCTCGGGCGTGGTAGGGTTGGAGAGCTCGCTGAGTGCGGAAGGGATCGTTGAACGGCCCATGGCGTCGAGGGCCAGCGAATAGGTAATTGGTAAAGGGGAGGACGCAGATTAACAGTTGTCGTGCAGTCCTACACGAAGAGGCCTAGTCGTGGTCGTACAAGTGTACGTCAAGGATGAGAGAGGCAATGATGAACGCTTCACTGAGAAAGCACAACCTTAGTCGGAGTGTTGCAGAGGGAAGGCGCAACGGACAAGTGGTTATCATTGCCTGCACAGCATTTTATGCAGCAGGGCTCCGATTGCTTTCTAAATGGCGCGAGAAGCTTGCCAAGTCGCATGGGCTTCTTTTGCGCGGCGTAGCAGTACGTGGCTGTGAGCGAAGTTTGATTGACATGAGATAGCCGCGTCCCAGTCCCGCAAACGTCAGCGCGAGGGCGATAACACACCTTATCAGCACGTGACCGTCACATCCCACGAGCATACCTTTCTTGACTATTATTGCACATGCATTCGGCTTGGACAGATGCATACCATGTGTATAGACTATTTCTTTCTGCGAGATAAATCGATCGCTAAAATCAATCTGAATGTCTGAAAAACAGCTGCCTACGTTCACTGGACATGACTATACAATCATAACCATTTACTCCATAATTCCATGAGTTATCATTACAGTCGTTAATGCCACGTCGCAGCGGTCATGCTCATAATACCCGCCTAAGCATTGCACGGTTCTTGCCCGGGCCCTAGACAAAGGAAACATGCATGTGGGTTGCAGGTGTTGTACCAAAGCAAACCCCTCGAATGAGTCCTCGAATATATGCCAAAACACCAGTCCGTAAAGATCCCAATGCCCTCCCTCCAGAATCCTTCCGTTTGCCAACCAGACCCTGCTGTTAGAAATCTTCAAGCACGCTGAGATCAGTATCGTTTTCCTTGACAACACCGCCTTCGGTAAGGATGACGACTGATACACAAGCTGCATATGCCTCTCTGATAGCACAAGCCATGCACGTCTCTTTGATATTCGCAACAATAGCACTGTGTCCATGGTGGGCGCACCAAGCTCTCGCAAATACCTCGTTGTCACTGACACCAAGTGCCTCAATGGCCAGCACGTTCGTAACCTGCTCATGAGCGCTCTTCTTCTGCTCATTCATGAGTGCCAGTGCTTTCTTGCCGGGTGATGACTTGGACGAGGTAGGTCGAGGTGTGCGACCGGATTGCAGACCCCAATCCGTGATGTCTACGAGGCCTTCATCAATTTTGATTGCTTTGTACGAAAAGTCATAGAATAGCACTGACTCAAGTCAGTCATGTTCAATAAATCTGGAAATGCAATTTCTTCTTACCATGAGGCCCTTGGTGGCAAGGGAAGGCATTGATAAAACTGACGTCGTACCGTAGCTTCATCGGCCAGCTCTCGCCACCACAAGCGAATAAGATCGCAGCATCAAAGACCATTGGTGGGCCAGAAGCACCCCGGCCCCCTTCTGGTCGTTCTTTGATAGGTACAAAACGGAGCTTCTCCATTCGTATCAGGTCTGTGACGTCTTCCGTATCCGGCATGGGTATGTCGTAGTCATCGATCGGATAACTGTCCTCTATCGTTCCCAAAGGGTTCGTACGATCATCCATACTTTCAACATCAACCGGTATGAGTACTGGATCTGGAGACTCAAGCTGCCTAATCTTGACACACTCAGTCCGTTTGAGCTCAGGGGTGTAGATGCATGGCCCAATCCAGCCTGCAATTTGCTTCACCCCACGCGCAGCTCCTAGGACTTTACCAACAATGCATTGGGCTGACCAGTAAGTGTTGGCACGGTACTGAAATCCAGATGCCGGGTGCATGTGCGTAAGGTACTTGAGGGCGTCGCCAGTATCCTGGTCGCAGTCGATCAAACTATTCATGATGAGCCACGGCAGTGTGCGACCTGGCAAAATAATGCCCGAAAACCACGACATGGCATCCGCAGACCTGTCTTCGACGGCCTTTTCATTCGGGTCCCGCTCGTCTAGAATGTACTCGATCTCATCCATGTTGGGCCATTTAAGGGTCGCAGCAAAGATCCGCAGAGCTTCTATCTGTCTACTCTTACTCTTGAGATCAAAGCTGAACGTGCTTTGCGTGGACGATGTCCGCGTTTTAGTGATTTCCATATTCTCAAGCCACCGCTGTGCCACAGCCAAATCCCATGTAATCATGGGAGGAAGTTGCGAAATCAGCTTGCGCTTGGACTTTTCGGAATGCCCCTTGGAATGGATGCGGAGGTACAGTTCTACAGAGAGCAACAGTTGATGGAAGAACTCTTGCTTCTTGCGCTGATCGGGCGCGTCAAAGAACTTTGCTACAACCTGGTTTCTAGGCTGTGAAAAGTCTATCCACTGCGGATTGCTCAATACAGTAATGAGGTCTGTAATCTGCTGATCAATCCGGATATGGCGGCGCTCCTCATCGTATCGTTCCGAATCTTCGATGAGCGTGGTATACAGGTAGTGGTACAAGTCCTCCGGGTCCTATTAAGAGCAAAGTTAGGGAGACGAACCAAAACAGAGAAAAGAAAAAAAAAGAACCCGGCGCGTGGCTGTTGACTAACATCTTCATTGAGTCCACTTTCCAGCTTCTGTAGTCTGTCGAGGATTTGCAAGAGCTTAATTTTTCGCGGTTGGGCGTCACCAGCAAACTTGATGGGGGCATGACTTGTTCCAGACTTGCTCACCCAATAGTTGAGCGTTGTAGTACCCGCACTCTTTCCGAACGCATAAGCCATGCACGGGTACTCATGAGACGACCACGGGAATTGATCATCGCGCGTGCCCGTCATGTTGAGCGAAATATCCCGATATGCCTGCTGCTGAAAGTGTGCGCGATCGGTTCGGCTCTGATGCTCAGCTTCCAGAACCGCGTAAAAGCGATTGTATCCATCTGGTGCATTTGCTATGGCATCTCGGTATCCCTTGAAAGTTGATGCGCCTGCACAGATGAGGTCATCTGCTTCAGCTGGGTCCAATGCATCCTCCGATCTGTATCCCTTTGGGGGCCATCGTCTCGACTTGCGAAAGTCTTCCAGGGGCGTCGGGTGGGAATACGACCCAGCGCGACGAGAGGGTGAGAACTTCTGGTAGGGCACCATATGCACCTCGCCCCCACTAGATGAGGGCCGAGTGGGATTTGGCTGGGAGCCATGTCTAGCGATGCGCGTGCGGGTGACGACGGGCGATGTGCGTGTTCTTGAGCTCTTTGTGAGCTGCAGCTGGTTGAAGTCGTCGTTGAGCTGGGGAAACGGCTCAGTAGGGAAGGCATAGGGCAGGGCACAGGGTGCCGAGGGCGGTTCGGGACGGCGCGCCCCCCATTGACTATCATACTGGCGTTTGCTAACCTCGCGGCGAGCGTATTCAGATGTCATCTCTTATGCATAGCACTCTGTGTGAGCAGACTACATCCAACTCTGTTTGCAAGTAAGTGCGTGGTCAAGGACTGGGTGGTGGGTCTAGGAGCATGTCGCGACGCTGTTGGCAGGCCGCCAGGGCACGCGGGGTGGTGTTTCTGGCGATACCGGGGAGGTGAGACTTGACTTGGTAGCAAGCGAGGAACATGGCGAGGGTGGAGATGTGGCGCGCCCGCTGGAACAATCACCAACTGACCTTCATAGTACTAGAGTCGCAATGCTACCGCAGCCGTGTCTCGATCAGGAACAGGACGCGTTTACCACGAGGCGTGATGGAGACGTCTCGGTCGCGAGGCTCTGGAGGTATACGTCGGCACACGACCTCCTTAGGTGTGGTTTCGTGACAGGACACGCGTAGAGGATGTAGTGGGGGTGGGGGGGTGGGTGGGTGGAGGGCGAGAGAGGGTTTCACTTTCAAGACCAGAGGTCAAGTCATGGTCGCTAAGCCGATGAAGTCGCCGGAAGCCGCACATTTCGTCCTGCGAACCCTTCCCTGGCGCCCTTACATCTGTGTGTACTTGTCCGCTGTCAAGAGCGGGCATGTTCGATGGCATGTTCTGACGGCCTTGGAAGATGTGACGGCTAGCCTCACATTGCCGAACCAGGGCGGTCGACTGACTGACTAGGGTGCTGCTTACTCCATCCTCTTATTCGTCCACGTTACTCACGGGATGCTCTTAGCGGCTCGACCACGATGCGCTCACTCAGTGCTCCAACAACACGCCATCGGCGTTCAGCTCGAAAGGAGGGGTTGATTCCACGACTGATGCTATCTACCCAATAGAACCGCTGCTCAATTCCACCACACATGACATGCAGCGTGTACAATCATACATGTCATAGGCCAGGAGCTGATATCACACTGCCTATGTATCCTGCACATGCCACGCTCCATCACTGCCCAGACTCCCAAACTCGTTCCGTGCAGCTTCGGGGACTGCTACCGGCGTCCGCAGCTATGCATGCTGTGACGAACGGTCGGGAAATGGAAGCCATGGGGCCATACACGGCCTGTCCATTGTCTGCCTCGGAGGCATGAGCCTGCGTCCGATGCGGCAATGCGCCCTCCAAAGTCTCATAGGGCTCCACGTGGGTGGGCATTTTACTGTCAGATGCTCTGCTGTCGAGTCATGTCGCCAGCTCATCGTTCGACCCGTCTGTCTTTGAGCCTCCCATACAGACGTGACCACGAGGGCAGTTTCGAGTCCAAAAGGACAGGACAACCCACGAATGTGAGGAACGCCAACTCGCGGGACAGACGGGAGTCTGAACAGCACACACATTGGTAGCGCTGTAGGACCACACAGTGTCAAGAGTGTTGCGCGGCAGTTATACGCACAATCATTATACGCCTGATTCGTTGGTGTGAATACCTGTGGCTGACGATCCGTTAGGAGGAGGGACTTGGGTGGAGCTGGCAGTAGACGCCGACTCGGGCAACTTCTCCATGACGTATCCAGTCCCACGGTCGACCAGGCCTTTGTAGTAGTCTACAAGAACCTCCGGCTTGGGAACTATCCGCCAGTCTAGCTTCCTCAGAAACTCGAGCTCCAGTAGCGCCAATTCGCGAACGCTGACTCCACCGACTCTTGCGTACAGGCTATTTGTCCAAAAACTGTCACTGAGGCCCTTGGCCGCAACCGTCGCAGCTGTTATGAGAAACCGATGTACAGTCAGGCTGCTGATTGTGAAGGCGGGGTACATGGCGCATAGCTTGTCGACGTAGAAGACCATGGAGAGGAGGATTGGTGGAGATAGGGTCGCGTGCACAATGAGGCGGGAGAGATAGTCGCGGACGGATATGCCAGGGGGTGCTCTGTAGGAAGAAGAAGAAAAAGAAAGGGTAAGCAAGAGTTGCCTCAATCAATCGTGGGTAAAACGCACCTTGAATGGAATCTTGTCAAAGTACCGTCCCGCAACGGATAGCCATCGTTCAGGCGCACCAGCTCCATGAGCATGTCGGAAATGAGTACACCAAGATCCTTGACGTCACAAGTCTCATACTGGAGGGGCATTACTTTGAGATTGGGTTCCTCAGGACGGGCTCTTTTGGCTGGCGATGCAGGCACGCGCAAGACGGTGCTTGCATCTGGTGCAATGGACCCAGGCTCTACCACAGGGAGGACACCATCGCGCGATGCGGGACGAGCGGAGGCCAAGGCATTGCGTGCGGGCGCAGCAGACTGCGGAGATTCCCGCAGCTGAGGCTCTGGAGGCTCCGTGACTGCAGGCGCGGCGGGGGCGGTGCCCCGCTGTGTGGGCGGGATTGCAGGTACACTCTGCGAGTCTATAGCAGGAGCAGTAGCGTTGGTTATGGTGTGGTGGTCCTCGGTGGAGGCGATGGTGGCGGTGGTGGTGGTAGTGTTGTTGGTGGTACTGGTGGCCGGCTCGGTGAGAGTTTGGGCGTGGGTGTCAATGGTGGGCGGAGGGCGGTAGGTGGGGGGAAACCCTGGCGGGGTGTACTGGGTGCCGTGGTCCGCGTAGCTTCTCTTGCGGCTCTGGGGTGAGTGCGCAAAGGCTGGTACGGGCGAGGGTTGGCAGCAGGTGGGCTTTGGTGTTTGCGGCGCGTCGAATCGCCGCTGTGCTGAATTGGTCACGGCGAAGCGGGGGGAGTGTGTGTTGGAGGAGATGGAGGTGCGTCGCGAGGCATGCTGGTAGGGGCGGTGGGCGGGGGTGTGAAAGGTGGTGTTGGGCGAGGGAGGTTGCGAGATGGTGGGCGAGGATGTGATCATGTCTGAGTTATGGCGGAAAGCGGGTAGCGGGATGCTAGGGTGGAGGAAGACGACAAGAACGGGCAACTGGTGTGCGCATCATAGCCGGGCCCTGTTGAGACAGGAGAGTATTTTTGGCGGAAAACGTGGAGAAGAAAAAGGGGACCGCAAGGCCAGCACAAGGCAGAGGCAAAGGCAAAGGCTTGATCCGGCATGGCAGACGAGAGGGTAGCGATGCCGCTCCTGTGAGGCCTGGCTTGGCTGGCGTTCAGGCGATAGCTGGGGCGCACGTGTGACGTCTGGGGACTTTAGTAGGCTGCCTGTCTGAGGCCTGGCAACCATGGCTTGCCAGGCCGAATGCGGCGCCCCCGTTTGGTTTGGGTGCAGTCGAGCGAGGTGGCCTAGCAGGCTGGCCAACAAGAAAGTAATTCTCACCGCATGTCTTGGGATCTTCTTGTCCGTCAATTGGCCACGGAGCAGCGTGTTGCCCAATGATACGAGCCTGGGCCGTACCTGCGACATGGAGGGAACATGTCCAGGCCAAAATTTCCGGAAGATGACGACTGTTTGTTAGCTGCCGCTGCCCCTAGCTCCGACTGTGGGCTAGAGAATTTGCTCCCAGCTAGTCATGCTCGCCTGAATGCCACCGACGACCATCTGCTCCTCTCTGCCTGCATGGCGTTTTTCTTTCCTCACTGCCGTTCCGCGGGCCCGTCGACGGCACGCGCCATCACTCGTCGTTGCAGCGGGTGTGGGCGTGAACATGCATCTCCACAGGAGCTTAGTTAGCAAGTAGTGTACATGTGTGTGTGCATGGCAGAGTGCGCGGTGTGCGATTAGATAATCGCTCGTACTACGGTCGTTCCTGCCCTGCGATAAGATGCCGCTAGCCCCGCCCAGCCCACGCTAGCCCGTAGGTAGCCGGAGCACGTTGCCCATTCTCCCCTCCTCACTCGACGACGCTTCGCACGCCCATCCGAACGGGCTACCTCGCTCCCAGAAGGCCCGATCGCCCTTCCGACACTCCAACACGGTTGTGGCAACGGCGACATACTTACTTACATGCGTCCTTACATGTTATTAACATAGTGTTTACGCCCTGCTGCTAGTCCCCTCTTACATAACTACTTACTATCAATCCCAGGCCGACTACTCTACACCGCACGCTTCTTTGCCGCACTATCCGAGGGAGCACACACACATACACATACACCCAACGCGGGCTGCGGGCGGGGAGCATGACAGCCTGCCCACCCAGCCAATCGCCTCGCGTGGCTGCTGTCGTGATCTACCCATGCTCTTCGCTAACATGCAGTACCTTCCCCGTAGTACACAGTAACCTCTTTGTTCCCCCCCCCCCCCATCCCCGTTTCCCATTGCAAATGCCATGCTTACGTACATGCCACTACGCGCAGGAGTCATGTCTCGGCACTAGCTATGCCTGAATGCCCGAATGCCCAGGCAGATGGCCTTGCTATTACCTACTACACACACTACCTCCGTGGTACATCACCGACCCACCCCGGTCTCCACCCACATCAATTACAAACACATCACTCGCAACTCTACCTCTTATTTCCTGTAAAAAAAATCTCAATTGTCACATGGTTGCACTAACGCCCCTTATCCGCCCTTTACCCTTACATGGTGGTATCGCAATAGTCCGCCTGCAAAATAACAATACAAATGACCGCCCCCTTTTCATAGCCCTCCTTTTTTCCCTTCATGTCCTCTTGACTTCCACCGGTGCCTCGAGTTCGGCTGAAAAGCCCTGCTGCCCGATTGGCGGACTATGTAGCTCTGCTGGCGCCGCTTGTGTGCTCGTGTGTGCATACTTCAATTGGTCGAGTCTAAGTGGGAAAGAAAAAAAAAGAGGGACGTCAGCATACATCTGCAATCATAGACTTGGGGGTCTTATAACTTACTGCGCCTGGCTCATGCCGCTCGTACTGCTCATCATGCTCAAGTGTCCTTGGTGCGGTACCGGGCTAGTCCATCCACCCGGGTGCGCTTCTCCCACACCGTGTTGGCCATATTGCGGCGGCGAGCCATATCCATGATCGCCGAGATGACCTGGCGGCGGCGTCGCATATCCAGGTCGGGCCGGTGCGAAGCCGGGCGACGCAAGTCCTCCATCGCCATACCGAGCCCCAGCACTGCCGTATTGGCTCATGTGTGGATCCACACTGTTCGTCGCCTCATGCTGTTTGATGATGTTCTTCTGCGAGTTGGAACGACCAATGAAGAAGAATAGGGCTGCGCACAAGGCCAGGAAAGCAACACCACCTACCGCTATGCCGGCAATGGCTCCAGTCGAGAGTTTATGGCTGCCGTTGTTTCCATTGCTAGCTGGCGGAGGTGTTGCCGACGATGTGGCCTCGGCGGGAATTGGCTCACCAGGCGCTATCTGGAAGTCTGCCGCCGCCGCAGCCTGTACCTGTGACGCCAATGTCTGTGTTGAGTTGGGATTAATGACACCGACCATATGCTCACCAATGCAGCTGTTCGGTGCCGCACAGTAATAGAATATCGGTTCTGTTGAGTTGATGGTGATGTTGAAGTATGTAATCTAGCAAAATGTTAGCCCTTCTCAAGCATCTTCGCATATCTCCAAGAGACAAACCTGGCTTGTGTCGTTGACCCATTGCGTTCCAGACCAGAAGCCTACTTTGTCCTTGCCCGTCTCCTCGTAGGGTACACATGCTGAACCAAACTCTGCTCTTGCAACCGAGTGATCAGGCGGATAGAATTCCCAGCTCACGATATCTCCGACTGATACATTGGAAATTTCTTGCGGCGTGAACTTGAAGCCCCCCGCACCGGCTTTGATCAGGTGAACTGTTGGTTCTCTTGACGGCGTTGATTGTGATGGTGCTGATGATGTAGCTGATGATGGAGGTGCTGATACAGTTGCTGAAGCCACGTCCCCTACTACAGACGAGAGTAAACTCTCGACCTGTGCTACAGCTGGGGAAACGAGCAGTTGGCTAGCAACAATCGCCAGCCTTGCCGTGGATGTGAGCCTCATTTTGAGGGATTATATATTCGCCTAACGAATACAAATATCAGAGTACCCCAGGGTCCCGTTTCTAGTTGTAGGCCTGATTTCAATGGCCAACCGCATTCGACTCGTACTCCTGGCCGTTAGTAGTAAAGCAATATATTTTCAGAAGAGTAAGAGCGTAAAATGAGGCACGNGGGGGGGGGGGGGGAACAATGGGAAAGGAGCCTATACGGCTGACCTCAACCTTAAGGCACGATCCTACCCATCTAGCCCTAGATCCATCACGCCAACCACAGCCCCGCCAGCCACATTATGGCTACTAGTCAAGGCAATAGGTCAGAGCCTTAGGGCCACCACCCTAAGCACTCTTTGTTGTCCACACGTCACCAATCACCAACTCCTTTGGTGATAATCTTGCAGGATTGCCCTTGCCCAGAGCTGTTCGAGGCGCCTTTGAGGCGTGCAGTAACGGCAAGACATGCTGGCCGGCAAGAGCGGGGCTCTCCGTCAGCTGTCAGCAACATACAGGAAGGATGCTTGAAGTGGAGGGTGAACATGTGTAGATGTGGGGAGTGCTGAGGCTAGGTTGAGAGCTATTTCCGGATCCCCTCCCCACCCCCTGCGCGCCGCGCTGGTATTTTGAGAACCTCATTCTTTATTCCTTATTCTGCTTCGAGGGTCTCCCAGCATGTGGCACGGCAATGCCCCCCGACAGGGTTCGCCCATAGCCCGCACCTGTCTCTCCAAGCACAGGCTAGAATAAGGAGAAGGCCTGGGCTGGTTGTGGCTGTCCTGCCGTCCGAGTAGGCTGTCCCTACTTTTGCGTGAGTCGGGTTAGTGGAACGAGCTGAGTTGTCGTCAAGGAATGAGCGTTAAGGATTTTGAGCCGCCAGCACTGAGTAAGCCTAGTCTAACTTTAATCTGCGCCAAGGAAGGTGGACCAATCGCCTTGGCGCATAGGGCGGGCTGAGCTCAGCATCGTGCTCTAGGATGGCGCTGCGAGGCGTATGTATTTATGTATGTATGCGCTGAGAGCACCGAGGCAGTGGTTGAAAGAGAACGCGAAAGCGGGGAGAGCAGATGTAGGGCTGTGGCCGTTCGTGCTGATCATCAGCAAGCGAAGTCCACGCGTCGCAGCGTCGAAACAGGAGTTTACACCACAACTGTCCATCTTATCAACCAACATGAGTGAACGAGAGAGACCCGGTAGTTGGGCGAGGCGGTGAAGTGCATGCCGGTGCCTTCCTCATTAGGTTTAACTATCAGCTGGACGCTTGCTTTCTACCGACTAGTATAGCGCAGTACGTTTACTCAAGAATAGAAGATCGAGCTCAGTTCCATGATACAGATGATACAAATGAATTGGGGTTGGGTATGTCAGAGGTACGACAGCATCCTATGAGAGAAATCAAACGCCATGCCATGCAGAGAACAAAGACAAATCCCGAGCAGCACCATCCGCCAATCAAGTACCGTCTGCTTATGAAGACGGTCTTTTCATGGGACTTCTGGTCCCTGACGTCTTGGGGCTTACAGCGAACAGACCAACCGCTGGCATCTTAGGGCTTTTCAGTGCATTGGTCGAGTTTTCTTGTCTGCCGCCGGGCTCGAATCTCTTCGAATCGTAAGGACCTCTTGGGAGGGGTGAACTCTGCAGTCCTATGGATGTGCTCTGCGGCCCCTCGTCAGTACGGCTTGATATATCATTCATCTCTTCGAACTCGCTCTTCTTCTCCAAAAGCAGTTCCTGAACTTCCTCCAAATGCTGCTCCAGCATGTCATCTAGGGTATCCTGAGACGACTTTATCAGATTTCCGAGCTTCTTGCGCATCTTACGTTGACGGCTCGGGTCCCAAACGAAGTGGCTATTCTTTACAAAGATCATCGAATGCTGCAATTGTCAGACACGATACAGTCTCAAGGCTGTGTGTGTGTGTTGCTCACCGAGTGGTACCAACTAGAGATGGTATCGTCCGTCGCTCGCTTTATCGACTGAATCGTTGTTTCAGCCACAAAACCGATGAGACATTCGACCGGGCTATCGGGATCGGTACAGTTTTCTACAGAATCAGCGGCTGAAGCCTCAATACCATGGAGTAAAGTTTACCGTTGTGGCTAAGCAAATCTACAAGTCCTAGATAGGCATCACCGACGCCCATTAAGAAGACTTGTGTTGCTTCATTAGGCCTAGACTTACGTCAGCAGATATTCGAAACGGTCATAGGGCTGATTTACTCGATATAGTTCTCCCATAGATAGCTCGCGAGCTCACGCGTTTGTTGTGCACGAACCACCGAGTTGTCTGATTTGGTGAAACCAATGTTCGGCTAGCTCACGTTAGCAGGCTTTGATGCTTGAAGACTGTTGAGTACTCACATCCTCGACCGCTACTACTCTGGGAATATTCACGTCAATGACCTGGAAGTCATTTTTGATGGCCCAGTCAATGTACCTCTTGGTAACATCAGTCTTCAGTCCAAAGTCAGCCATTACACAGTACAAGACTGTCGTTGTACTTACGAGCCATGTATTGTGTAGCTCTCTCTTGCCAGACATGGGATCGGAGTGATCTTGGAGACTCGGCGGGTCATGGAATATCACGAGTAGGGGATATTGCTCCATAAACTTCGGTCTGTCATAGGTAAGTACAGATGTTTACGAAAACTGTACAGTACTTACGTAGCGATGATGTTGTGCTCAAAAGTCTGCGCCAAGCCGGCCTTGTTGATTTGAAGGGGAGGAAGGGGAACCATCGAGTGCTCTGCAGCTAGACGTTGACTCTGCCATTCTCGGATAATTTCGTGAAACCGGTATGCATCCTGGTATCCAGGGTCTGTTTTATCTAGGTGTTTTGGATAAAGCGACTTCCAATACTTTGAATGCTGACGTTTGACGTTCTCTACAATGTATATAGCACTGTCCTTTGGTGCTGGAAGATCATCACGCAAGCGATCCGGAGGCTCTAGCATGAGCACTTTGGTTACCGCTAGCGCAGAGCGTGCAATCGAACGCAGATTATATCCACCTTCGAGACACACAACGAGCTTTCCCTTGGCCAAGCTCATGAGCATATGCGTCATGTGACCATAGCATGCAGGCGTAACAAAACACCCACCCAATAAGTCTCCCTCGGCTGCATCAAACCCAGCTGAGATAATGACAAGATCGGGGTTGAATTCTGTAGCGATCGGCATAACAACTTGTTGGAAAGCATAAAGGTATTCCGAATCGCCCATCCCATGCTCTGCCCATGGAATATTCACGTTCTTTCCTTCACCACGGCCTTCACCGCAATAGTCAAGATTGCCGTCAGGTAGATTAGGATAGAAGGTTCCATCCTTGAAGACATGCAGCGATATGTAAAGAACATTAGGGTCATCGTAGAATGCATGCTGAATGCCGTTGCCGTGGTGTACATCCCAGTCCAAAATCAAGACTTTGCGACAAGTTTCTGGATAAGCATTCTGACACACGCGTGCAGCAATCGGGACGTTGTTAAAGATGCAGAACCCTGACGGTTGATCGCTTTCCGCATGGTGTCCGGGAGGGCGGATGATAGCAATGGCGTTGCGTACAGCTCCCTGTACTACCGCTTTACAAGCTTCGATAGCACCGCCAGCCGCGAGCTTAGCGCATTCGTAAGTCGAGTTGTTGAGATAGATTGAATCAAGGCGCTCAGCTTCGTATTTTAACTCGTCCGAGGTCATATCTTGCCAAACGGTTAATTATTGTTCAATCAGACCGAGGATAGTCAAGACTTACTTTGGAATGACTCTACGAGGTCATAATGTTCCTCAGTATGAATGAGCAGTATCTCAGGTCTTGTGGCGAATCGGGCCGCAATTCTCCAACAGTGATCTTCTTGGTCATCTTCTGAGGTGCTAGAAGCCACTAGACCAGCTTGCTTGAGCTCCTCAAAAATCGAATGGATGCGCCGAGGGTCTTCAGGATGAATATCGTCTGGGTTGATGTTCATATCTGGGAGTTCGGCATGAAATCGCATACGAGGGTCGTAAACGAGTCCCGTTTTTGATGTTGGGTAAACAAGTGAGGAACGTGGCTTAGGAGGTATGCGAACTTGTGGACTAGAATGTTGAGCTGGAGTCGGTCTCGACGCATTCATCTTGTCTGACCAGCTACTAGGTGATTTGGTCGTTCGGTGGGACCCGGGGTTACTTCGATGTACATTCGGCTGCAACAATGGACCTTTGGATGGGCTGTGGAAAGGTAGTTGTTCTTGTTTGGACAGCAGTGGGCCTTTACTATTGCCAAAGATTTTAGAAGGAACGACTGTTTCTGGTGCATGGTCACCGTTTGGCTCTGTGGAGATGATTATTGAGTCTTCCCCCATCGGGAAGTCTTCGTCATCCATGACTTGATTTGATGGACGGCGGAGCGGGCTAGTAAGCCTCGCTTCACACTCGCGGGCCGGCAGCTAGGTAGATGCGTTAGTATGAAAACTATACTAAACAAAGGACCGTACGAGCGGAGAGAGTTTGTCGGATGATTTGAACAGGAATTTTCGGAGCAATAATGAGATTCTTGGTCCTTTTTAAGGTCATGTTTAGACAGGGAAACTGAGACATTTTCCGGGAGACTTAAGATAGTAGCTCGAGAAGTGAGTCAAGATGTGTAGCGCTAGTCTTGTCTCTCTAGAACCAGTATTTGGAAGAAGTAGGATGAAGTAAAAGAGATGCTCTGATGCTCAAGAAACATAGACTCACTAGAAGATCTTGCTACCTCATCGAGCTAGAGGCCGCAGCCCACTGTATGGCAAAGTTGCTAACAGTGTTTGTTTCGTAGCAGTTACAGCTTTTGATGGGTGGCGTCTGCAAAATTGTTAGTAAAGTTGATTCGCCGCTGCAGCTCTTGATGGCTGATAATCGTATCGCGTTCAAAGTCGAGCGAGACTCGGGAGCTTCGTATACCAATTTCTGTCTCCGAATAAAGCGGTAATATAGCTGCAACTATCGCAAGTAATACATCGGTTGATTGCAGCTTTCTAGAGCCAGGATTAGGTGATGTCGTTTTTGATAGTAGGGGATAAAGTGGAGCGCTGCATGGCAGGTTCCATAGATGGCCAAGGTTTAATGCGTGACTAAGCGACGCCAAGTTATTTAGCGCCATACGCGAAATGCCCTTTCATTCTGAATAATGGTACTACTACATTATGCTATAGACTTGAGCTTCTGCAAGTTTTGAGTTGGTACTTCAAGCACTACCCATTCATAAAATCATGTGTTTTATACCTATGCTATCAACGCAGGGCTACTATATTTGACTTTCATGAAGGAACGTTTTAGGTATGCAATGTTGCTTTTTAAGGCAAGGATTCTGCAATTAGTCCTTATTCGTCACAGTTTTGAGTTGTGGCTCTGTTGCTCTAGTTTCTCCTTGAAAGTAGCGACGACACTTGATATGCACGTGCTATTAGGATAGTCAACGGACACGGGTCGTGTTTGTTTCCTGGAGACCATACAAGCTGGAGCTAATTGTATCGTGCTGTCTTTCTAACCCATTCAATCCAGATTGAAATCACTTAAAATCACTTGAAATACAAAAGTGTTTTTTCTCAGGCTTCAGACATGACCATATTCGGCAGTAGTATCTAGGTTTGTGGGACTTTGGATAACAATAGCGTACCTTTGCAGGACAAAAAGAAGCCCATTGCGCCAGCTGAGATTGAAGGAGGAATATAGATACACACATATATATATGAACTATTTAGCAGCTGTCGAGTGTTGATTTCAGAGTAGAGCCGGCAGTATCCAGGCTTTCGCCATAGCCGTGTTGGCCACCCGACTTCCCCCGCTTCTTTCTCGCCAAATTTCGGAACCCGGTCCAGAACACATTCCCGAGGCTGAGGATATGAAAATGGAAGGCGGGAAAGAGGATCCGCAAATACATCGTTCGCATGGGGCGAGACGAACTTCTCCGCGTGGTAGCTATACCTCGGGAACTAGCTTGTGAGGGAACGCTAGAAAACGCAGCGCCAGGGGCAGCTCCACTATCTTGCAGCTGGCCGAGGGGAAGATTCAACGTCACCTTGTGTGCATGTGTGTTTGTAGACAGTTGTTGCGGTAATTATTATTCATTGATTTCATGTTTAGCATAACACATTCTCCGCTAAGCCCTTATTTTCATCCCCGCGTAATCCGCGCCTAGCCAGAAGTTCCGAGAATTTGTCGGATCCTTGATGTAATGAAGATTTGTTTCAAAGTTTGGGCGTCGCCCTGCTCTGTCCTGACTCCTAAGCGTTGCCATCAATCTTGGCAATGTAGACCAGGAGGTCGAGGACACGGCGGGAGTAACCCCACTCATTGTCGTACCAGGAGACGAGCTTAACGAAGTTCTTGTTAAGGGAGATACCGGCCTTGGCGTCGAAGATGGAGGAGCGGTTGTCGCCATTCAAGTCAGTGGAAACAATGTCGTCCTCAGTGTAGCCAAGGATACCTGTATTGCATTAGCTTATATACGCGAGGTGCTCATGGGAAAAGACTTACCGTTGAGAGAGCCCTCAGAGGCCTCCTTGACGGCCTGCTTGATCTCATCGTAGGAAGCACCCTTCTCGATACGAACAGTCAAGTCGACAACCGAGACGTTGGCGGTAGGGACACGCATGGCCATACCAGTGAGCTTACCGTTGAGCTCGGGGATGACCTTGCCAACAGCCTTGGCGGCACCAGTGCTGCTGGGAATGATGTTCTGGGCAGCAGTGCGTCCACCACGCCAGTCCTTTGCGGAGGGGCCGTCAACGACCTTCTGGGTGGCAGTGTAGGAGTGGATGGTGGTCATGAGACCCTCAATGATGGTGTACTTGTCGTGGATGACCTTGGCGAGAGGAGCCAAGCAGTTGGTTGTGCAGGAGGCGTTGGAGAGAACCTCAATGTCGGGCTTGTAGGTCTCGTGGTTGACACCCATGACGAACATGGGAGCGTCAGCGGAGGGAGCAGAGATGACAACCTTCTTGGCTCCGCCCTTCAAGTGGGCCTTGGCCTTCTCGGTGGTGGTGAAGACACCGGTAGACTCGACGACGTAGTAAGCGCCAGTCTCGCTCCATGGAATGTTGGCGGGGTCCTTCTCCATGTGGAAACGGATGGTCTTGCCGTTGACGGTCAGGTTGTTGCCGTCAACCTTGATGTCACCCTTGAATTGGCCGTGTGTGCTGTCATACTTGAGCATGTATGCCTATTTATACGTCAGTCTGCATAGTTCCATCAAAGAAATAACATCAGTGCGTCATGCCGAAGCAAACGCTTGCTCTAGTGGAGGATTCTGGGTTGAGGGAGTGCTTACAGCGTAGTGGGGCTCGATGAAAGGGTCGTTTACGGCGACAATGTCGACGTCGTTGTGCTCGATGCTAAGATATGGGGTCAGCTTTGGTATGCGTGAATTGGATTGATCTCAAGGGTACTTACGCATTGCGGAAGACGATGCGGCCAATGCGACCGAAGCCGTTGATACCAACCTGTGAAGATGTGTCAATGGCTTGCGTCTGGGTCCGGCGGGGTACACAACGGAGCATACCTTGACGACCATGTTGAACTGAGAGTGATGCTGTGAGAGAGTTAATAGACTTGAATTGAGGAATGGAAATCGGGCTGGGCTCACTGCTTTATATATGAGATGAGGTGATGAGCAGGTGGTAAGAGGCAGATTTTTGTGGTCGGTGCTGTGTTTTGTTGGGTTTGAGCTAGGTGGGGTGAGGGAGGGGCAAGCTAAATAGCTACCAGCCCACCAGCCCTGAGGACGTCACAGAGTTTTAGTAGTTCTTTTTCTGCAATCGGACATGCAGCGCACGCCTAGACCCAATTACACGCTTTGCGCCCTCCCACACACACCCGGCCGGGTTGGATCATTGTCAGATACGGCAGAGGAATCGCAACCTCGGCCAAGGGTAGTCACGATTCGAGGCCGCGGAGTACACCGGAGGGCGTGAAGGTCAGCCTGAGTACCTTTTGGTCAAGTGGTACACTAGTCAATGCTACATGAACCACCTCGCAACATGCTCGTGGCTCGACGCCAAGTACCTTGATGCCGTCGTGAAACTCACAGCCTCATGCATATGCCGCGTAGCAATATACCGGCCTGTGGCTAGACGCCGGTGAAGGCACGCCACGCCGCGCTGCGCAATCATTGAAGCGAAACGCTTACGAAAGAAGTGTACGTGGGTCTGGTAATCAGAGCGAGTGGTCAAAAGCGCGTCTACGCGGCATAGCTGGCCGCCGCCGCCGTCATGGGCAAAAGCTTTTGTTGGTCATTCGATAAGGCAAAACCAAGAGTGCACCACGGCCACAGCGGATCACTGGTTCGTGGGGAGGCGAGACGAGGCGAACATTATGTGTGACCACCGACACTCTCCCCACCAGCCAAAGCCGACCTTGGGTTAGGATGAGGCGTGGCGTATCCGCGGCCGGGACGGGGTTCGACACGCATATTGCATTATGTTTTAGGGGTCTTGAAGCCCGCCACGCTGCCGCAGTCCGGTGTGATGGTGATTCGCTGCAAATTCGAGTTACTGCATTCAAGAGCTGGGGTGCGAAAGCATATTGGCGCTCGAGTTGGAGCTTTGTTTGAAGCTGGAGCTTTAAGCTTGAGCTCGGAGCTTTTGTGGTATGCCATACTACTAGTAGCGCTTGTCCCGCCTCTGCTCCGATCACGGGATTGCTATCTGGTCATGCTCCTCTATACGACGTTGCCGTCGTTGGGATTTTTCAAATACAAAGGCTAGATGGCTTGAGTACAGTTTTCAGTAGTAACCATGAACGCTCAATAACACTTTGAAGGCGGTGGACCAATTCAATGCGCCTCGACTACTTACTCCTATCATTGGTACCATATAGGATCTGCGACGCTTGCATACAGGCAGAAACGTTGACTGCAATGCTTTCCGGTAAAAGGTAAAAGCTTATCGAAAGACTCTAGCTTGTACCCACAATGCTCCGTGCTGTTATTTTGAAGGAAGTACAGGGCTGCTCAGTCTTTTATCTCGTCTTACTACTACCCCGCCATTGAGCGAATTTGCGAGCGTTTCGTACACATGTTATATGCTCATTGAGGTACCCAGCAACGAGGTAAAGGTGAAGGGAATATATGAGTCCCATGCAAGTTACAATACATAAATCGCTTTGCCCCTACATATCTTGGACGAGTGAATGGTTGTCTCATGCCTTATCGCCTTGTAAAGCGAAGCTGCGGCATGTCTCGCTTGGTCCATTGTCAAATCGAAAACTGCTCGGCAATCACGGTAAGGGCTCGCAACGCAAGCCCTTGAGAGCCCATGGTCTCTCTCACCTCGTGTTCATGTACATTTGAGCATCATTACGATGCGCAAAAGCCGTTGCAATGATATATGGTGAAGCTGGGGCAAGTCGCTCGGAAAGCTAACACTGAAACCCTCATTGGTCCATGGGGGCGCTCGGGCCACAGCGAAATGATCGTTCCACCACCTTGGCGTTCCTCTCGCAAACCGCATTTTGCAAGACAGCTCTCCTGGCCCACCTTCGACTCCATCACCACCACGATCCATTGGCACCTCTAGGTCCCTCGACGGGAATCTCCCTCCCTTCTTTTGCATCTTCCGACACTCTCCACTCCACCCGCCGCCATGTTTCGCTCGTCCATCGCCCGCGCTTCGAGGAGCTCCACCATCGTCATTCCGTCCGCCGCGACACGCACAGCTCTCCCCAGAGCTGCCCCGGTAGCTTGCCAGCTTCAGCAATCCCGCCAGGCACATGCCATCTCCAACCCGACGCTCGCCAACATTGAGAAGCGATGGGAAGATATGCCCCCTCAGGAGCAGGCCGATCTGTGGATGACGCTTAGGGACCGCATGAAGACTGACTGGAAGGAGTTGACCATGCAAGAAAAGAAGGCTGGTATGTACCTCGCCATTTCGCGTAACTGGATGCTGCATGGCCTTGTATGACGTATCTCGTGTTTTTGGTCGAGATAGCCGAACTTGGCCCGCGGCATTTGGTGTGCCCAACCTGAAGTCATCCCAAAACATTGGAAAGCATCATGGAGGCATTGTGCTAACTGCGCTTTTTTTTTACAGCCTACTACATTGCTTTTGGCCCCCACGGTCCCCGCCGACCCCCGCCTCCGGATGAGGGCCGCAACGTCTTCCTCCTCTCTTCCGCAGTCATTGCCGGTGCCATCTCCATCTTTGCCGTGACCCGCATGTTTGCCAACCCTGTCCGACCCCGTACCATGACCAAGGAGTGGCAAGAGGCCTCTGAGGAGTACCTGAAGGTACGTAACTCTGCTACTTTGAGAGCCTCAATTCGTCTGCGACAGTACTGACACGTTTACAGGCTCAAGGAAGTGAGCCCATTACTGGTTACAAGGGAATGCTGATCCAGAGCAAGTCTGAGAAGGACGTGCCAACTAACCAGAAGATCAATGATGAGTAAATAACCTGATTAGGTGCTTCACAGCAATCATACCAATACCGATACTACATTTTCCTTTGGTCAAATTCCCGCTTGGTACTGTCTGTGTCACACATCACAAGATTGAAAGCCATCCGAGCGGCAGTCGCTATCATAATAGTCCTCCCTGTATCCAATCTAGAGGCTTTCAAAGTTTATATGATGATTTCCACTTTGTTCCCACATGCAGAATTGGTGTTGTGAGCAGCAGATTGGCCGAATGAACAGTGACATCATTTGATTGAAGTTGGAGAAATCGCTACTACACGTTTGAATGAGATTGTTCAGGCAAGTTAAGATGGCTGTTGGAGGCGTCCCGACTAGAGTCTAGCAGTGTTGCTCAAAATCAACCTTGTCGAGTGCACTTTAGATAGGGCTTCAATGCAACCAAGAATTACCGACAACGTGTGCTAGTCAGCTCTTCGAAGACTAGATGGTGTCTACAATCTCACTGACATGATGCTTAATTTTGATGGAATTCCCAGAAGAGGCGCATTGTGAAAGGCGTGAAGTCAAGCAAAAGGAATATTACAACTTATAGATAGGAAGCCCGAGGGTACGCTGAGTAGCTGGAAGTGGTTAGAGAGACGATAAGTATACCGGTCTGAGAGAACACTAGTGAGGGTTTTCCGAATACAAGAAATTACATGGCGTATTCCTCTTGATTGGAGACTTGCGATATCCTATATCTGTACCAGCAAGTAAAACGTCTGAATCTCTCTCTTTCACTTGTGATACACAGCCTCCAATCCTCACACACCACATCCCAACCCACTCAAGAAATTTTTTCTTTTACCAAATCGTTTCTTTAATAAGAGAAAAAAGAGTACCAGCTACATCTTGTGTAACACGACACGAAATAATCTCATCTCACCCACTTTTCCGCGGCCGAGCTGAGTATCATCGCCACCACTGACTAAGAGTAACATCAGTCATCTTCGTTTTTTTGAGTGATATACGGCTGATTTATTTCTCGTGTTGTTTGGATACAAACCGCGGCCGTTTGGATTTATCTCCACGGGCGGGAAAGAAGTGAGGGTTGTGGCTTGGATGAGAAAGAGGAAGGGAAGGGAGGTGGGTGAGACAATTCTTCTTCTTCTTCTTCTTGTTCTTCTTCTTGAGAAAATGTTTGTATACACACGATTGTGTGTGATGATTTCTGCCTAGCTATGAAATGGACTACCAAAGAGAAGGCCGTGCTAGTGCACTCAGTAGATAGAAGAGTGGCATAAGCCTTTCGCTGAGTATCTTGTTCTTCTAGTCAAAACATGTTCGATTGTACTGTAACGGAATTTATAATAAACACGCGAGGCCTTGTTACAAAGGCATTTCGTATGATGTTATTTCTCTCGGTATATCACGCTGAGATGTTGTGATGTAGAAAAATAGTACAGTATAGGATTACATATTCAATTCGAGATCTGATAATATTGCTAAGTTCGTATCTCTAATCTTCCATCCATCCATTTCCTCCATCTCCCTCATACAAAGTCTCTCTAATGATCAGGATTATAATACTTGCGCCAGTCATGTTCTTCCTTGAACCCCAACACCTCCTTAATCTTGCGATTACTCAACGGAGCTTCCCACTCACCCATCTCCCGCGTGATAGGCGTATTGGGCGCATACTGCTCGAGAAATTGTTTTGTGGGGAAGGTAGCAGTAATGGTATCATTCGTCGCATTGAAAATCTGGAATCCCAGCCCATCTTTCTGAACGCACAAATGGCAAATCTGGCCGAGGTCTCGAGCGTCAATGTAGGCCCAGGCGTTTCGCTTGCGTGTCTCCGGGTGCTGGATGTATTTTGGAAAGTCGCGGGCGTACTCGTGGGGCTCAATGACGTTGCCGATGCGTAGGGCGTAGATGTCAGCGTCGAAGCGGCGGGCGAAACCGCGGGCTACGCGTTCGCCGCAGAGCTTGGAGATGGCGTAGGTATCCATTGGGTTTACGTCTGCATCTTCGACCAAGGGGAAGGCGGTGTAGTCGAGGTTGCCTTGGCCGAAACAGACTTCGTAGGTTGTTTCGCTGCTGGCGATGATGATCTTGCGGACGCCGAGTTTGCAGGCTGCTTCGATGACATTGTAGGTTGAACGCACGTTGCCGGCGTAGCACTCGTTGTCTGGAACGAGCATGTTGCGGGCGTAGGCAGCGAAGTGGATGACAGCGTCGGGCGGGCCTGGGACATGTGGTGCTTCGTAGCCGGCGAAGTTGAAGTGCGTGGTTAGGGCGTTGAAGACTTGACCGCTGTCTGTGAGGTCGGTTTTGAGGGTGAAGACGCCGGCGTCCGGGTCGGGAAAGTCAATTAGGTCGAGGTTGAGGACTGAATAGCCTTGCTGAAGGAGATAAGGGATTACATGGCGTCCGGCCTTTCCTGAGCCGCCTGTGAAGACGATGCGTTTGCCCAAGGAGGACATAATGAGGATATTGGGAATTGGGTGGCTCGGATTTTGTCTTGAAAGAGACCTCTAGCCTACGATATGATTCGTTAGTGGAGGCAGTTGGTCAATTGCGGGGTTGCATATCTACCTTTATGGTTCATGGGATTGAGGGGTGGTTTAGTTGGCTGTGTAAAAGTATCTTGAGAGTCTCGAATCGAGAAAACCACAAGAGACTAGCCCTCATCTTTATAAACGTCATGTGCGGGTGCATGTAGAATAGCCTATCCCACCGGGACACGGGCGTGCGAAGTTGCATGTGGCGAGCACGGTAAGCCATAACGGGAAATACGTTTTGGGGCATGGGGAGAGTCGCGCTAGCGCTACGTCACGACCGAATACCCCGGCCTTTGGTGGTGCAACTGCAGTCAACTAGCGTCATGCCAGCGACCGATTCCTCCGCAATCCGTATTTGGCCGAACGACAGAGATATTTCTAGACGCCTACGCTTGTCCCTACACATGGTTGCATATTTCCATTCACACACATGACCAGCGGTCTGATGCGGCGCTTCTTCTCGACGTTTGCCCGCACGCAACTTGAAGCCACGACGACTGCGACTTCACTTACGGCGCCCCGAATACTAGGGCTCAGGCAATACAAGAGGACTCTTAGCGATGTCGGTTCGAGACGAGCGTCGGTGTCGAGGCATTGGTTCACGAGCTCGTCGCCATACTCGAATGCAGAGCCCGATGAGTGCGAGAAGAAGCGCATGAGCGAGCGCGACCTGAAGTTGGGAAACAGTATGTTTGCTACACTAGTAGAGGAATAGGATGCATTGCTAATAGAGGCGACAGCCATTAGGGTCCTACATGATCGCCTACCGACGCTCTTGATATCACCACTTCCCCAGGACATTCTTTCCCCGCATATCAGCCTCCACCTATTTCCCTCGACGCACCCACACCTGCCTACTGTAAGCGGGAGGTTCTCGTATGCCGCAGCACTATGGACAGCGCCGGTCGCATGGGGCCAGGTTCCGGTACTAGGCAACGTTAAGCTCAAGATATTGTCTGAGCGCATGGTGAAGAATGGAGGGTGCTCGACAGCAAGCAATGTGCGCAACGAGAAACTCATTGTCAAATGGCAGACATGCGGCAAGTCGGACAAGAAAGAGAGCGGGCAGGTTAGCGATGTTGTGGAGAAAATCACCAGCATTGTTGCTGGATCCAAGCGGCCACAACAGGAATTCACAGGCTTGTTCAAATTTGAGTTTGACGAGGAGGGACGGATTCTGAACCACATCATTGAGCATACAGATGAGGGCCAACATTGGGATCGGACTGCCAAGATGATTAGCGTCACGGATTGGCTTCTGGGACGGGCGTGGGGGATGCGAGATGAAGGCAGTCCTAGCCTGGCGTTTGCCAAATGCAGCAGGGGAAAGGATGGCCGTGGTCAGAGCGAGCGGCGATGAAATGCTGCTGTTCTGCTTCCACGTCAATGTTGGGCTGTTATTTCTGTCCTTGTCATCGTCGTCGTCATCATCATCATCATCGTTGTCGTCGCACTTTTATTTCTTCACCACTCCACCTGTACAAAACCTGTAACCACGAAGTCATGAGATGGCGTCTGTCGTATAGAGTAGCGAAGACCAATTGATACCCTAGTAGCACAAGGACCAGGATGTTGCATGCACACCCGCTTGTTCCGATACGGATGGCAGCATGTGCGTGTAAGTGGGTTCGCAGACTGGGTAGACGAGATGCAAGTGGCTGGTTGGCGGTGCAGCGAGCTTTTCACATCGCAGCTGCAAATGTGACTGTATGTGGCCCCTCCCGTTGCTGTGCGGAGGGCGGTCATGTGCGGCGACGTGATAGGATGAAGGGGAGCTGACAGCTGCTGTGGCCGCCCAATGGGTGAGTTGGCGGGCGAGGGCGCGCATCAACCACGGCACTAGGCCAGGTAGCTTCCGCCTAGCACTTCACCCTGCCAGCATACTATAGTCGCAACATTGCTGCCCTCGCATCCCACGCCTACCACGCCGTTCCGGCTTTTCCCCCTCCACCTCCATCCTACGCCATCCCTCATTGTTTCTCGGCAGCTCCCCGTGCATAGCTGCCATTGCTACACCCGCCGCCCCCGCCGCTTGCCAGCCCCCCGACTTTCCCACGCCCGGCCGCCTGTTGCCTGTTTCCCCGCGCCTATTCCACCACAGCGCTGGGAACTTGCAGCCTCGTCAGCCATAGGCTTCCGCCTCCCTCCCCACCAGAGCCATTGCCTGACCGCGCACAATCATGGCGGACATGTCACAGAGCGGAGAATTGAGTATGTCGACTGTTCTCCTTGGCACATGTTCATGTATCGCGAAGCTCCTGCTAATGCGGCGCAGATCAACCCATCCTCAACCTGACGCCAGAGGAAAAGCGCGTCTTCCAGTATCTCTTCCAGCAAGCCGACACAGAGAAGCTCGGCGTCATAACAGGCGAGATTGCCGTCAAGTTCTTCGAGCGCACCAAATTAGCACCAGCCGTCCTTGGTGAAATATGGCAGATTGCAGACACGGAAAACCGCGGTCTCTTGACCATGGCTGGCTTCTGCCAGGTCCTGCGCCTCATTGGACACTACCAGGCAGGACGAGACCCTACTCCCGAGCTTGCCTTTAGACGTACGACTCCTGCGACTCCTCTTGTGTCTAGTTGATCACATGCGCTGACGTTCAAGTAGCTGCCCCCCTGCCAAAGTTCGAGGGTCTAACACCACCATCGGCTCCTCCCGCCGCCCCTGGCTTCTCCCCACAACCAACCGGCTCCATCCAGCCTCAAGTCAGTGGCAACGGCCCAATCCGCGTCCCTCCGCTTGTCCCTGCCAAAGCCGCCGAGTACGCAGGCTTGTTTGAGAAGTCTGGCGCAGTCAATGGCATCCTTTCAGGTACAACCCTGCTTCATACCCCGACCTGACTCTTGGCTAACAACTCCCAGGCGAGAACGCAAAAGAAATCTTTGAAAAGGCGCGGTTACCAAATGAAGTTCTTGGTCGGATATGGAACCTTTCAGACACGGAGCAGCGCGGAGCCCTCAATGTTACAGAATTCATCATCGCCATGCATCTACTCGCATCGTATCGCACAGGAAACATGAAGGCTCTCCCGAACACGCTGCCTCCGGGCCTGTACGAGGCCGCTTCTCGACGTGGAGGACTTCCGCCGCCACCGGGACGTCCAGACCAGAGCATGGCTATCCCACGCCAATTCAGCGGCCAGCAATCTGCACCACGGCAGCCAAGCCCACTCGGCCGGCAACCCTTTGGAGCGGCTCCCCCACCTGCACCGCCTGCTGGAAGTGACTGGCTGATCAGCCCGCAGGAGAAGGCATCGTATGACAACTTGTTCAAGGGTGTAGATACCATGGGCCGCGGCTTCATCACCGGAGACCAGGCAGTGCGCTTCTTTAGTGACTCAGGTCTGCCCGAGGATGTTCTTGCAGGTATATGGGATCTTGCAGACATCAACTCTGAAGGACAGCTATCAAAGGACGAGTTCGCAGTAGCCATGTACCTCATCCGGCAACAACGGAAAGGAGATCAACTCCCTACAACTTTGCCGCCCAACTTGATTCCACCAAGTCTGCGCACCCCCGCGAACCAAGCTGCACAAATCCCCCTACCTCAAGTGGCACCCCCACCTCCACCACCCCCTGCTCCCAAATCTGCTGCTGATGATCTCTTCGGCCTGGATGCCTTCACAGCACCGGTTCCTGCTCCTCCTCAGCAGCCACAATCAACCGGCGGATCAGCCACATTCAGCAAGCCTTTCGAGAGCGATCCTTTTGGTAGCAAAGCTGCTTCACCCACTTCCCCACATCATTTCCAGCCTCAGCCGCGAAACCCAGCCTCCACCTTCAAGCCGTTCATGCCAAGCTCTTCTTTTGGTCAAACTCTAACGGCACACTCCACAGGCCAATCTGGAATCTCTGGCGCGCCACAACACTCGACCCCATCTGTTATGGACGATCTGTTAGGCGGAGAGGCCGATCCTGAGATCAACAAGAAGTTGACGCAAGATTCCACTGACTTGGCCAACATGTCCAACCAAATGACCACCCTGCGCAACCAGATGCAAGAGGTTCAGAACAAGAAGACTGCAACTGAAAGCGATCTCAACAGTGTCAACACTCAGAAACGTGACCTTGAACTTCGTCTCTCACAGTTTAAGACGCAATACGACCAAGAAGTCAAGGCAGTCAAAGCTCTGGAGGATCGCCTGGCTAGCTCCCGCAACGAGACGCGAAAGCTGCAGCAGGATCTTGCGATGATTGAGGCATCCTACCAGGATCTTCAAAACCAGCACCGTCAAGTTGGAGGCCAACTTGAGGCTGATCAGCGCGAGAACAACAGCTTGAAAGAGCGCATCCGTCAGCTCAATGCTGAGATTGCGCAGCTTCGCCCCCAGCTTGACAAGATGAGGAACGATGCCCGGCAACAAAAGGGCATGGTGGCAATCAACAAGAAGCAGTTGGCGACTAACGAGAGCGAACGCGACAAGATCAAGAACGAAATGAGTGATTTGAGCAGGTCCCAGGAGGAGACCTCCCGCGGCTCGCCAATACAGCAACCCGCTGTTGTCAGCCCTGCAGCTTCCACAACAAGCCAGAGTACCAACCCCTTCTTCCGAAAGTCACCTCAGCCCGCTGAGAACACCATGTCGCCCTCTGGCTTTGCTCGTGATGGACCTCACAAGGATTTTGATAGTGTCTTCGGCTCATTCGGTACTCCTCAGAGCAGTGCGCCTCCAGTATCGTTCCGTCCTGACAACCAGAGTCTTGGACCTAGTTTCTCTGCTCCATCTGGTCAGTCAGTACGCTCTTCGGAGGGTCCAGATGTTCCCACACCCTCCACGTCGCCTCCTCTGTCTTCTTACCAGGAATCTCCCCGTGTTGCCGATCCACCAGCCCCTCCTGAGTCACGTCAGTTTGGCTCTGCATTCTTGCCATTGAGAGAAGGCGCGCCGCGGTCAGACTCTTTCAGCTCTTCTGTGCGTGCGCCTGCCTCTGCCAGCAGATATGGTCACCATGCCCCTGGAAATGAGACACCTACTATCTCGCAGGCTTCACCTGCTGGTACCCCGATTGCTGAGAAGCCCACTGTTGAGCGTACCGATACCAACAGGACAGAAACCGACAACTTCAACCCAGCTCTGTTCAATCGCACTTTCTCGGCTTCTCCAGTAACCAGCGTTACCAGCGATACTCAGCGCTCAATAGCCAAGCCTGAAGATCGTAAGGATACTTTCAACTTTGGGACACAAGATCTTCCCGGGGCGTTCCCACGGGACTCTGGCACACCACTGCAGCAGAACAAGACTGGTGAGAGCAGCATGAGTGCTCCGCAGAGAACCAACAACACCGACCCCTTTGGCAGCACCTCTGGCGAACAGCCCCGCGGAGGCAAGGACGACTTTGACGCGGCTTTTGCAGGCTTCGGTCCTAGCCGCCAGACCGCCGCTACCGCGTCAAACGCAAGTGCGCCAACAGGCGATTCTAACAGATTCAACAAGGAGTTCCCGCCAATTGAGGATCTTGCGCATGACGACGACAGCGACAGCAACGATGGAAGAGGATTTGACGACAATTTCACATCCGCATCACCAAACCAGAAGCGTACCAGCTTTGGACCGGAGCAGCGCTCTCAGCAACAGCAACGTCCTGGTACTGCCTCAAGCGACGAGCTCTACCGAGCTCCGCCACCAACCACTCGTCTGGACTCCAATCTTAGCGGCCTGCCCTCTCCCAGTGCGCAAAAGTCTCCACCTACCTATGATTCCGCTGTGAATACGACGAGAAGTGGCTCGAACCAGTTCCCTCCGGAATTTGGTGGCCTTCTTCCTGCTCGTGAGAATCCAACATCTGCTGGTTCTCCTGACAACGCGCAGGGTCCCGAGAGGTCATTCAACCCACCGGGTGGCCATGGAGCTGCTCTCTTTGGCGGACCTTCCAAGTCTGCCACAACTTCACCAGCTCCTCTCGATACTCCTGTTTCCACTGTTCCCTCTGACCAGTACCACTCTGCTTTGACATATGGTGCCAACGAGAATAACAAGGGCCCATCACCATCCAGCAATGTTCCTCAGCTCGGAAAATCTGCCTTCAACGACGACTTTGACGCTGGCTTTGACGATCTTGCCGATGCTAAAGAAGACGACAAGGCTGATGATGACTTCATGTTCTCTTCGCAACATCGTGAGGGACTTGATGAGTTCAACCCTGTCTTTGATTCGCCAGCTGCCTCCAAGTCGAACACTATGGCTTCGCAGCAAACGCCTACTGGAAAGCCTCGTGGAGATGACAGCTTCAGCGACTTCGAGCACCTGTCCCAGACTTTTGGTGGACAATCCCAGCAGCCTCAGCCGGGCTCCTCATCCCAGGATTGGGACGCCATTTTCTCCAACCTCGAATCTTCGCAGACTGACAAGGGCGCGCACTCGCAACAAGCCTCAACCGACTTTGGCAAGTCAGTATTTGACACGCTTGACAAGGAGGAGGCTGCCGCATCGACGTCCAAGTCGCAGCAATTGTCACCTCAGATGCCTCCACTTGGCCGTGCCATCAGTACTGGAACCGAACACGACGACCCTATTCTCAAGAAGCTGACCGGTATGGGCTACGCACGCAACGACGCTCTTTCTGCGCTCGAGAAATTCGACTATGACATCAACAAGGTAAGCACTACAGCATCTCACTATACATACAAGAAACTCGACTAACGCCATGGTAGGCTGCTGACCACTTGGCCTCTGGTGGAAACTAAGAAGTGGGAAATTGCAAGTCCGTAAACGCATCATGATCATTGCAACAAAAGATCTTGAATCGCTCTTTCTTGCCTTGTATGAGTACATGTTTAGCATGGCGCCGCCCCTAGTCTTTGTACCTTTGAGCGTTTGATTCTCATTCTCTCTCTGTCTCTGTCTCTGTCTGTCTGTCTGTCTGTCTGTCTGTCTGTCTGTCTGTCTGTCTGTCTGTCTGTCTGTCTCTCAGTGTTTAACCAACATTTTCTCCGCAGCGCATGCATGCCTCTTTTTTCTTTCCTTTGTTCAAACATTCTCTCTTCTTGTAGTGAAGCATTCGCTTGGTGTGGTGGGAAGCTACGGTATGTTAGTCCTTTGGGTTCCCGTCGCTTTGTGGGTGCGCACGCTTTTGGAGGGGAACGGCAAAGGAAATATTTGCTTTGAGACGCATGTATTTTGCAACTTAATCTAATTTGTTTGCTTGTGATATTTGGTCCGTTTGGATAACCCCTTTTGTTACCTCGTTGTCTAAACGTATATGCGGCAGTTTGCTATAAGAAAGAAAGTCCGTTCGTGTGTTGATAGAGAACAGATGTGATAGATGAAATTGATGCACAAGGATTTAAGTGTGGTATTAAGATAGAGCTAGGAATATACAGATGTCCCGATTTCATCTCATCATACATTCATATAGAACCTGGGGAAAAAAAACAAACATCAACGCAGCAGTTACATCATTGGTATCCCAGAAAAAAAATGTTTTCCCTCCCAACCTTTCCGTATCAATCAAGCAGTCCCCTAAAACAAATCAAACGTCATTAAACTTTGATCAACATTAAGCAGTAACAGACTCGGTTCTCACAGCAGCATCGACTTTCTCCTCGTACTTGTCAAAGACGGCAGTGCCCTCGATATGGCTATCTTCAAAGACGTCGACATGGGTGGATGCGAACTTGCGGGCGCTGACTTTCTTCTCGAAGAGGAGGTCGAGTTCGGCGAAGGAGCGGCCGCGGGGCTCGGGGAGGCGGAAGTAGGTGTACACTATGCTGAGGAAGCAGGAGCCGCCCCAGAAGAAGCCGGCGTAGTTGCCCCTGGTTTGAGAGGTTAGTCGTATACTTGGTAAGAACGGTTCAGGGGGAGAAAGAAGAAAAGAACTTACCAGTTCCATGCTCCGGGGTTGAGCATGTAAGGGGTGAGGACGGATGTTATGATGCCGATTACATTGTACAAGTTACGTCCGAGGACGACGGTCTTGATGGCCAGACGGCGGGTAGACAGTTCGGCGACGAGCGAGTAGCAGACGGTGCCGACGGTGAGTTGGTAGAACATGGCCCAGACAATCATCATGGCGCCTGTTGCCATGGCGCCGGTTTGGCGCTCGGAGCTAGGTACGAGGCCGAGGAAGCCCATGACGAAGAGCATAATGCAGAGGCCGCAGAGACCGCCGAGGTAGAGCGTGCGACGACCGATGCCGACTTTCATCAAGTACCAGGCGCCGAAGACACCGGCCATGTTGATGCCGTATTGGCCCATGGCGAAGTCGTAGGAGGTGGAGGGTGAGAGACCGGCTTGCTGGAGGAAGTAGGACGAATATCCGGAAAAGGCGTTACCACTGAGGTTTTGCATTGCCCATGCCATGCAGACGATTTCAGTGCGGCGTAGATCAGTTCCCTTGAAGCAGTCCCAGTAGCTTGCACCTTGGGTGATTTTCTCTTCGAGCGCGGTTGTGTGGACCATCATGGCAATCGTTTCTTCAGCGTCAAAGTCGGTCTCGCGGTTGAGGCTGGTAAGACGGAGAAGCGATTTCTTTGCATCTTCAAGTCGGCCTTTGCGGACGAGCCACCATGGGGATTCGGGGGCGAGGAAGACACCGATTAAGAGGGGAACTGGCCACATCCATTGCAGAGCATAGGGAATACGGTAGGACCATTCATCTGGGCGGTCGACGAGAGATCGGATGACTCCGATACCAATGAGCTGACCTAGACCCCAGCAGAAGTTGACATATGTTGTTACTACCAGCTCGTAAGTATATTGTCTGGATATAAATCTTGAGGGAGTTGAACTTACAGTATCCACGCAGAGCAACGGGACAGACCTCGCAAGCATACGTAATAGTAAGAGTCTGGAAGACACCCCATGGAATACCACAGAGAATCTCAGCAACCAACAGATGCACGACCGTCTGGGCAGTGAAGAAGATAGCCGTGAAGCCGATAATCAAAGTCAAACATCCCATAACCGTATAGCGGTAACCAATCCACTCGCTGATCCATCCGTTCAAGAAAAGTCCAATGATCTCGCCCACAATGACTCCATTGGACAATCCAGCTTGCCATGGTGCTGGGATCTCCCACGTACCATCTGCAAGTTGCTCACCGTACTTTTGCTTGAACTGCGGGAAACCGAAAAAGTTGTTAAGCAGACAGACGTCGTAGCCTTCCATGACAATACACGTGCTGATAAGGACCGACCAGCCAATGGCTTTGGGATAGAGCTTGATGCCCTGCATGAGGGTCATCTTGCGCTCCTTGTCTGAAGCCAGGCGTGCGTCATTGATGACCTTGTTGGCAGCGAGCTTGTGATGGTCGTCGATATCATGTTCCAGCTTGGGAGCCGCAGTGGGCTCGATATCCTTCTCGACAGACATATCTGTAAGGGCTTGTAGTATCAACCAGGCAGTCGGACCGAGGAGAAGGTGCTATTGACCTGGTTCAGGATAGCAACGAGGGTGGGGAAAAGAGAGGGGGGGGGGAGGATCCTGCAACACCGCTCCACGCTCTCTCACGATACTAAACGAAGGAGAGAGAACCTGGGGAAGCTGCTGCTGCTACCGTGACATTGGGATGGTAAGGATATGCGGCGACCTTTAAGCATAAAAATTCTGCGGGGTCTACTAGTGCATGGTTTGGGCCAAGCGCAAGTACACGCGGTGGTCGCCCTGGGTCTCGGTCGCGTGCAGAGAAGTGGATCTTTCTCTTGTGCCGGTTGACATGTTGTGTGATTGGACAGACTGACATGTGACCAATCTAGGAGTAGTTAGACTGAGATAGGACATTATCGGCATGTCTTTTGCGCATCTGTCTTTGCTTGGCTCCAAAGCAAAAGCCGATGGAAGCGGAGAAGCACCCGCAGAAGGTCAACCGTTCAATTGGTGTCTAGCGAACGGCAAGTATATCTGGGGTATCCGCTAAGTCTGGGGGATGTGGAGGATGGGGTAGACAAAAGATGGAAAATGCGGCGAACAAGTACGCATTCGAGTCGGAGAGAATTGCCGCCAAGAAACACGATAGCGTGTTCAGGCGTCCAACCGCCATGCCAAGGCGTTGACCGAGGTAGAGCCTCACCAGCCTTCACGCCAACCTCCTGTGGAATCTTCTAGCCAGCCCGAGAGCGGAGGGTTCTTCGGGGCACATAACCTGGTTGCAAGCGGAGAAGAGTGGAGTAAGACGACTTGGCTGACTTGTTTTCAATTGTCTTTTCACTAGCTAAGAGGCGCATTCGTAAACACTTCACTATCAATGGTCCATATTCACCTTGGGCACTGTGGCTGTCAGTCAGCAGACACCTGCTCTCCACATCCAAGATTGTGTCATGAACAATCAAGCCGACCTCTGCACATCGGTCCGTTCCCCAGACGGATTGACCTCCACGTCTCCGACTTCGTCTGCCCTGTTCCCAGCTTGCTCGCTCTCATGTCTCCGTGATTCTACTCTGCCTCCAAAAAACGCCAGCAACAGTAGATCGTATACTGCCTTCAAGCAACCTGCCGTCACAAAAGCCACCCAGAAATGACCATTGCCAGCAAGAAGGCCCGTAAAGGTTGGACCAGCGCTCTGACTCAGTATCTTTAAAATGTTGACCACGCCCATGACGGCTGTGCGCTCTCCTGGTAGCACAACAATGGAGAGAAAGGCTGTCCTCGGTGCTTGATCCATCGAGTTGAGCACAGAGCGAGAAACAAGCAAGAAGATAGTCGGAGCGAGACCAGATGGGACCGGGAGAAGAGCTAGGAAGATGGATGACGGGAGGTGAGTGGCTACCATGGCTTGAATCAAGCCGAGGCGCTTGGCTAGACTAGAGGCAAAGACATTGCCAATAGTTGAAACGAACCTGAACATTAATTAATCAGACGAAGAGAATATGTATGGGACTGATACTTACCAAGTCGCTGACATGATGCCCCCAAGTTTCCCTTTTGGCAAGTTGAACTTCTGGTCCATGTAGTAGTTGATCAGACTGAACGGAGCCATTCCCGAGCCCAGAGAATCAAGGAAGAACAAGCTACAAAGCTTGACTAGTACCACACGGCTAGGCTTTGATATTGTGCTAATGGAGTGCCAAAACCTTCTCTTCTTCTCAGGTTCCGCAGGGCGTTCCTCTTGTGCCGGCACATTCACACTTCCAGTATCTTGACCTTCACCCAGCAATGGCTCCGTCTCCGCAGATACAGAGTCGACATTCTGCTTGTCAACTGCGTCATTCTGCTCACACCGCTGGCTCATACACAGCGCCATAAGCGCCTTGACGCACCCAACGCCCGTATAAATCCAGAACATGGCACGATACGCGTCCAAAGCCGTCCACCCTTCCAACCCTTGCAACCGTTCAACCGCAACACCCCCAACCGCCAACCCTGTCGATGTCCCTAGCACAGCAAGAACAACATACCAGGTATACACATCCGCCCTCTTCCCCTCCTCCACCAAATGCGCAAGCGTCGACTCTTCCACCGCCCGAAACGGCCCAATCTCATTGCCCGTCGGACTAATCACCCCGACAATCGCCGCGAGAAGCAACGCAAGATAATGACTCGTACTCGCGAATACAGCACCAGATACCGCCATCGACACCGCACCCAGCAAAAGCGTCCTTCGGCGTCCCAAGGAATCCGCAACAAGCGTCAACAGCAAACTAATCACCACATCCCCGAGTAGAGTGAGTGTCATAAACAGCCCAATCTGCTCGTCTGAAAACCCTTGCTCTTGAAAGAACAGCGCGAGGATAAGCGCAATGGCACCGTAGGCAAAGAGGCGTAGGTACCGCGCTAGAATGATAATGTAGACATCTTTTCCTGTCTTCCGCATCGTTGCAAGTCCGAATTCGTGGGCCAGCCATTGTATTACAGTAACAAGGGCATGTCGGGCTGACATTATTTTTGGAGTGGAAATTGTAGATGGTTTGACGCGGCAAAAAAAGGCCGTAAAATCAACTACGTAGTTCCACCGAAAAGCGGCGAGAAGCAAAAGGAAGAAAAGAACGACCGCTGTGATTGTTAGAGATAAATCTGTGTGTGTGTGTGTGGCGGAAAAGTGCCGTGGACGACACTGCGAGGTTGTCAATACAGTGTCAAACCCGACAGAGAGAGAGGATGAAGGGAAAGGAAAGGATGAGATTGAGTGCAAAAAAGTCATTGTTTAGGCGCGATGCTCAGATGTGGATGCCTGAAGGAATACGCAATAGGGCGGGCGCCAACTTTGACTATTTTACCCGAAGCGGCATAGGGGGCGAGCGAATACACCGCATAGTTCATAGCACATCACCAAAGCATCTCCGAGGCTGTGTTGATGGTGCTGGAAAAAAGTAGTGGCATAGGGGCAATTACAGGGGTTAGAAATCACAATCACTAAGTACTTCTCCGTGTATTCATCCTAGGTTATGTTGAGCGGTAAGAGAGCGTCCAAAAGGCGTCAGCACCTAATTGGACACTCAATAAGAAAAGGAAAAACGACTAAGCACAACTACCACACATCTGCTTTTGACAGGTCAAATATAGAAGGTGGAGGGTCTTTGTGGTACCAAGGGAAGGAAAAAGAAATATATACCGTGAATTGCTTTTTGGGGGGCCCATGGCAGGGATGCTCAACATCATGTCAGTACGTCATTCCACATCTACATTGCCAAGCAAAATCACTTTCTGGGATAAAGTATGATTGTCCATATTAAGAACACCTAGAACGCACCGAAGGAAACAGAGGACCTAGCGGCCATCACAAATTGCAATGCAGAAACCAGCATATCCCGGAAATCCAAACGAGAGCCCCCATTCTATGCGATCCGCGTCGCCATGCTAGCACAAAGCTCGAGACGGAGAGGGAGAGACGGTGACGAAGGGGAGATCATGGCCGTCTTTGTATCAGTGCTCACTAGTGTAGTGGTACCACTTTGCTTCTCGCAATCGCCATGTAGAGACCGGAAATCAGGCATCCACGTCGTATCTCGCTCCTCATTGAACGCTTATACGTTTCTCCGACATATTTGAACTCTTCTCTTTCCTTCTCTAGCAGCAGCCGCCTCCGGATCCGCTTTGCACACCCTGGCCTTGCCCGATGGGGACTGTGGGCTTGGTGTTGGCGGTTGTGGTACCCATGCGCTCCTTGATCTGGCGGGCCATGGTCAAGAAAGCTTGCTCAACGTTGGTGGCGCTCTTTGCGGAGGTCTCGAGGAATGGAATGCCAAGGCTGTCTGCGAATTCCTAGTAATGCTGTTAGATACCAGAGCTACATGGAAACGACGAAACAAACATACCTTTGCTACGGTGTACTCAACAACCTTCTTGTCCGCCATATCGGACTTGTTACCGACCAACAGCTTGTTGACGCCCTCGGTAGCATATCGGTCAATCTCCTGCAGCCACTGCTTGACGTTGTTGAATGAGTCCATGTCGGTGACATCGTAGACGACGCAGATGCCGTGAGCGCCACGGTAGTAGGAGGAAGTAATGGTTCGGAAACGCTCTTGACCAGCGGTATCCCACTAAAGCACCATCAGTACTCGCAGCCAAAAAGACACTGGATCCAACAAGAGTACGCACAATCTGTAGCTTCACAGTCTTGCCATCGAGCTCGATCGTTCGGATTTTCTAGCACATGTTAGTCTGTCGTAGGCACCAGCACCAGGTACCGAGGCAGACGCACGAAGTCGACACCGATGGTCGAAATGTAGCTCTCAGTGTATGTGTCGTCGGCAAAACGGAGCAGCAAGCAGGACTTTCCGACACCAGAGTCACCGATGAGGAGGAGCTTGAAGAGGTAGTCGTATCTATTGTGCAGAGAGAAGCGTCAGTGGCCAGTCTGCAGAAGGCGGGGGAACGGCAGCTCCGAAGCTGTGCTATGCTGCAGGTGCAAGGCATGGAGGTCACTCTGTAGGCATTCAGGTCAGCATGGCTTTGTTCGCAAATACATCGTCATTACTCGTCGGCCTGTGGCGGTGGGCTTCGCGCGGAGGTTACGTACCACTCAGGATTCATGTTTGCGGCGTTACAGGGGTATGGGAAAAGTAAGGACTAGAAGGTGTTGGTTGAGAAAGAAAAAAAAGGCTGGCTGGAGGCTGAATCGTGGGGTATCGCGCGTCGTCGGGGGTGGACGAGGTGGAAGCGGAGGACGATGAGGTGCCCTGCGTGGATACTAGGTGTGAAGGAGCTTGGCACTCAGCCCCAAATCCGTGGTCACAGGTTGCCGGATCCCGTCCGCACCAGCGAACATCACATTCACAGCAGTCTGACCACCGCCTAACCTACCCTAGCGAAACTACCGGCCTCACTGGCAGCGCTGTCTAACATGTGACTTGAAAGCTGCAACCTTGTTATCGCTCAACCAGCGTTTGGCACTGCCGTTCCCATGATGAGCCACGGCAGTGCGCCGTGTGGGCGCGTGCACGTGACAAGGCATGCATCACCGGCGCTGTTTCACAAGTGTACCAATCTGCAACCGAGTCTCTGAATGAATGGAGAATGTATAGTTCGCTTGCAAAAGTGCGCAGTCTATCGTACGTCGTTACATTCGACGCAGCCCGGTCTGTCAGCCCCAGGCAACCAAAGCCCCGCGCTTCCCATATAGTACAGACATCAGATCACGGCCAGCTTACAAATTACATTATCTTGCCAAACGCGGGGATCAGCGTTTGCGCCAACCAGAAGGAGAATACGAGCTTAGGCCCCGTCATGAGCAGCTTGGGTGTCAGTCCCTTGAAGAAGGAAGTGAAACCTTCGTGCTTAATCATGTTGGACACGATTCTGAAGCCACTCTCTGGGTTCTCAAAGTTCCTGTTCTGAATGCGCGTCTTGATAACGTCAAGAGGAGCAGACACTACTAGCGAAGCGCTAGCACCTGCAATGGATGCGACAAAGTTTTGCATCCACGACGCAGAGTTGTAGTCTGAAAGCTTGTAGAGGTACTCCTTGGCAACCGCCGAACCACCAAACAACTATGCCGGCGTTAGTCTTTGCACTCGTCTTTCCACGGAACACAAACATACCGCAAACGAGCCAGGTGCGTTACGTGCTGCCGTCCATCCCCAACCACGGTAAAGTCCAAAGCCCTCGTCAGAGACAATCTTGACTAGTCCTCGGCCCCGGAAAGCCTCTGGGTTTGTTTGTCGCTTGATCTTGAGCACGTCCAACGGAAGGAGAACAATTTCACCAATACCGATGATCGAACCTGCCGTCGCGTGCATGATTGCCTTGCCGTTGCCCTTGCCAAATGTACGGTCAAAGCTGCCACCGTGGTTCTGCGCGAGGTAGTCCCTGACGAAAGGCTGGCCACCGAACTTGTACACTCGTTGAAGTACCTGACATTGTCAATTAAGGCTCCTACATATTTCTGAGTATCCCATCTACCTTGTATGCTGCGGCGTATCCGAGACCGGGGAACAAAGACAGGAATCGACTGGAGGCGGAGGCGGAGGCCATGTCCCTGAAGACGACCTTGTTGAGGTGCGATGCGGATTCAATCTGTATGCGCAGGGTCAGACATGGTCGTCGTGCACATGGTGACATTCTAGCGCACCTTGCCAATGTTGCTCATCAATCGCTTCGCCGTTGTGTCGACTGGGTGGAACACCATGAGCTCTGCAATTCCCGCACATCCTGCAACTGTTAGACCTAGTTTCTCAATTGCGGAGAGATTCTTGTGTACCTGCACCCAGAACTCTGGCTGTGTTAGACTCCCTCTTGTATACCTTGGCCGACGAGTCGGTGCCCGACGCCGCTTGCGCAACTTTCGCTACGGCTTCTGAAGGTGATGGCGTCATTGTGAAGAGAAAATGTGTGAAAAAGGAACACGCAAAGACTGCCTAAGGGAGAAGAGGGAATTTGCAGCGCAGAGCAATTGGGTGGGCGAGCAGTGAGAAACTGGAGCTACCGATAAGATTCTCAAAAAAAGTCGAGTCGTCGGGGAAGCAAGCGAAGTTCCAAAGTCCGGTGTCGCCCCGCTAAGCCCTGCTAGCAAGGAAGGACCCCGGGGGTTCTTACACACTGACACGAACACATGCGATATGCATTGATTAATTCTAGTAGCATTTCTACCGTGTCATTGCTGTTTAGTCTTTCTCTCAATGAGGAAATAATAGGGCGCGGCTGACAAGATCGCCAATTCCTTGCAGTGCGTTAACAGCTACAACCAGGAAGGTGGGGTCAAATGGGCCGAAAACACCAAAATACAAACATTCCTGAAGGATTATTACCCAATACAGCATGGTGCAAATCCAACTAAAGAGCACAGCCCTGTGGAACATGTGATGGCGATGATCGTCACTACTGAATAACAAGACATCAGGCGTTCAGTTCTTGTCCATTGAAATATAAACCCCCGCATCAGCACAACCCCTTGCCCTCAAACTTACTACTCTACTCCAGCAGAACTTAATTCCCAGGTTATCAACCACCAATCGATCAACCACAATGTTTGACAAAATCCGCGAGAAATCGCCATCAGGTCATTCAAAACACGACTCCAGCGATATCCACCAAGGCAGTCCTCTTTCCATCCCCGGGCCACCCTCCTATGCAGCCTCCTCCTCCACCCCAGTACCTCCCTTCCAAACCCGTTTCGCATCTCTCTCCCTCCATATGGAAGACCGTATCCGCTTCCTACGCTTCCCCGAGCCCGTCATCTCCGCCTGCCGAAGTGCCATACTCTCAAACTGGCCCCAGGGCATCTCCTCCGAGCGGCCCTATGCAAACTCGCATGAAATAAAGCTCGACGGCTACCCCTGGCGCGGCTTTGGCAAAGACGCAGCGCAAGCACGGCGGCTCGTTAAAGGCGTACTATCAACGCTGCACGCGAACGGCTGGATACTAACGCTTACCACGGACGTCAGTAAGACGGCAGCGGACAAAGATACATTGCTATTCCGGTACCAGGCCCCGCCACCAGCACGCCACGAGTGGTGCAGTATAGCGTTTTCGCGGCAGAGTCGGCTAAGGTTCATTGATTGTCCGCCTGAGTTGTATGCGAGTTTGCCGCAGAGGATAGGGAGTGAGTGGCTCAAAGGACAGAGCGAGTATGCGCCTGGCATTTGGGAGTTTGAACTGCATGGTTATCCGTGGTCGCCGACAGGCAAGACGACTATGCAGGTTAGGGAATTGCTCATGGCGCTGGTGGAGATGCTGGAGGAGGAGGGGTGGAGCGTGTATGCGAGCATTGATCAGAAGAGTAGTGGGGGGCAGGGGACGAGCGAGACAGATACCTGGTATTGTTGTAGAGTCAAGGGGTGGGAGAGGGGAATGCCGGTCTACTGGAGGTGAAAAGATTTTTTGAAACATTTTACAGATTTGCGAGCAAGTCTAATACTTTTAAACATAGTAATTAACGTACATCCCATTTGGAACGGAACAACCGATATGACGAACAGAATTTACAAATACCTCGGTTCTATAGCAGTACAATAGCCTCTAGCCATTGTAACAATTATGTTTGTCTCCTCAGATACATATTTGGGTCGATTATGAGTTGGTGTAAATACCTTTCCCTTTAGGTACCTGAAGACATTTGTTTTATATCAATAAGGAATCTGGCAATTTATAACTTAAATTAGCGTATCTGTCCAGCATAAGGTTTATCAGATTATTTCTCTCAGAAAAGAACAGCATGTCACACCGAAACCTGCCGGAGGCGGATATCAAAAAAAAGACTTCGTAGTTAGAGCCATAGTTTAAATAAAAGGCCTGTACAGAAACCTAAGAGCTTCAGCCTAGATTTACGTATGCAAGCGAGACCTTGCTTTGAAACCTAAAAAGGGTCATCGAGCAATACATAGTAATATTAGTAACTTTTCAGTAGACATACGACTACTGGGCGCGAAAACTAGGTCAAGTGTGGTTGCAACGAAGGCAACAGAACAGCGAACTACGGTTGCGACGAAAGCAGCAGCACAACGAACCATTGTTGTAATAAAGACGGCAACGCAGCGCAGCGCACTGATGCCTATAAATTCACCATATTTCGCCTCTTGTTCGTCTCTCTTATCTCATCGCCGCCGCGCATTTATGTGAACTTGACCTCTCATCACCACCACGAATTCATTTGGACTCGACCTCTCATCAATGTAATATTGAGCTTTATTTTATAGCTCTTGTCTTAATTATTCCAACCCAATACAGTAAAACAGAGATGAGAGCTATAAAACGAAACTTGATATTGCGTTGATGAGAGTTCGAGTTCAAATGAATGCGAGACGGTCATGAGATGGGAGAGTTGAATAGTATTATACATGTACGTAACAGTCGCCAGACTATAGATTTCTCACAATAACTAGCGATATAGGAAATGGAATTGAAGTGTCCAAGAAGACTGGACTCAGGTATCACTGTGTGAAGCCAAAACAGTACGAAGTCACAACAACTTCGCTCGTGTGCGGCGGCGAGGAGAGAAAAGGGGGGAAGGAAGGTGCAAAGCAAATGGCCATGCCTCTATGAATAGGTATTTTCGCTCCGAACAGGATAAATAGTCACTCGGTAATAAATACCAATCGCGTTCTTGACAAAGAAACTGTCTAATGATCACCACAAATCGCTACCTAGCATTCTACAAAAAGGGGATGGGACTGCAGTACCCAGAGAGTTTCTCGATATATCTGACAAGCAAAATTTTAGAGTAGATTACCTACGCATGCCGGGGTACTAGCTGGGGTTGTGAACTGTCACTGTTGGCGTATAAACGACTCATAGTCAGATTATTGCATAATTTCCCATCCAAGCATCACTTACACACACACAATACCCTGTATGCGGATGGAAACAATAAAAGCATGTGAAATATCTGCGAGTACATTTTCCATACCTCCCAACTACATGCATCAAGAAATGCTGTTCCGCTACACCCGCCGCCCCGGTACAAAAAAGCTTAACGCACATGACTTGATTTCAAACCATAATCTTTCAATTGTTTCAATAACTGTTTGAAACGCCGCCCATGCAATCTTTTTTATCAATCAAATGGGTATACACAAGGATTTTTTTTACACTGCCCCTCCAACTAAATCGCGCATTCTCATGCTGCTTCACTTACTTACGAGGGAGGGCTGCCGATTTCCTTCTTGACCCAGTTCTCTAGGCCACCGAGAGCAATGATTTCTTGGACGTTGGGTGGGAGTTCGCCGACCTTGACGTTCCATTTGGCGCCATTGGGGCCTTCCTGGACAGAAACAGTGCTCCTTCGGACGTCCCACTCCAGGGTCCATCCGGTTCGGCGCGTTAGCTGTTTAGCTTGGCTGGGCTGGGTTGCAGCCGCTGGCGGTGGCGAGTCGAGCGATTCGCTGTTGTTTGAAGGTTCCTTGACTGCTTGTTGCGACGACGAAGCGTCCTTTGATGAAAAGACTTCACGGAGGCGGTTGGCTAGCTTGGGCACCTCAACACCCATCAAAGCGTTGTTGATACTGTTCCTGCTGAAAATGTTGCCAAAGCTACCAGCAACAACCAGTGGAATGCCCTTGGCCAGGATGGCAGTTGCGGCTTGTTCCCGACTGCTGCCGCAGCCAAAGTTGAAGCCTGAAACCAAGACATCACCAGCCTTAGCCACCTGGCCAAAACTGGGGTCATAATTCTCCATGCAGACCTCTGCCATTTTTTCGCGCGTCACATCATCCTGGTATGTGTACTTACCAGGGTAGATACCGTCTGTGTTAATGTTGTCGGCGTCGCAGAAGACAATCTCGCCGCTAATCTTTTCGGGGAACCCTGGTAGGATTTCGGTCAAAGTTTCAGCCTCCGAGCCTGCCGCTGCAGGTGGGTTGACAGACTGCGTGTCAGACTCGGTAGTGCTGAAGGTGTCGATAGCGGCCTCAGCGTCTTTGATGGCCTTCTCAAGCATGTCTTCAATGGTCATCATTCGCTCTTCGGCGGGAATGCCATCGCCTTCTCCTCGTCGAACACCCTCGTAGCCTTCAGGAGCTTGGTACCACCCGGGGCCAGAAATCTTGCCAGACAGAGCGCTTGCTGCAACGACTTCGGGGCTTGCCAAGTATGCCTTTGCATCGGGAGAGCCCATGCGACCCTTAAAGTTGCGGTTGCTTGCACTGATGCCAACCTCGCCAGGTTCAAGAAGACCAGTACCCAGACCGATGCAGGGACCACAACCTGAAGGCAAGGGCTGAGCACCTGCTTCTAGAAGAGCCTGCCAATCACCTGCCTCTTCTGCAGCTTTTTGTTCTGGGATAGAAGCAGCAGCTATGTAGAACTTGACGTTATCTGGAATCTTGGGAATCTTGCCACCGTTCAGAACAGCTGCATCCTTGAAGACGTTTGCTGCTGCAGCAAGATCAGAGGCACGGGAGTTCGTGCAGGAAACGAGATAAGCCTTGTTAATGGGAATGTTCTGGCTCTGCAGTTCAGGTAAAGGAGTAGCAACCTTGACGGAGTTAGGGCCTGAGACGTATGGTGACAAGGTGGAGAGATCCAAGAAGAGCTCTTTGGCGTATACAGCGCCCTTGTCCGCGGCCAACGCAGGCTTGAAGATGTGGCCTAGCTGCTGGCCGACAATACCCGTGGCAGTAAATAGTTTGTCGATGCGCTCATGAAGGAATTGCTGACGGTGATGGTCCTTGGCCTGGCCTTCTCCCATAGCTGCTAATGTGGCCCTGGCCCTTAGCCAGCCATGAAGCGTAGCATCGATAGGAAACAGCCCAGTGAGAGCGCCCCACTCTGTAGTCATATTGGCAATGGTAAGGCGGTCGTCGATAGGAATGCTGCCCAGGGTCTCATCGGTTCCAGTAAACTCGATAGCGTGATTGAGAACCTCGTCCTTGTTGAACAATCCAGCCAGCGCGACAATTACGTCCTTGCCAGTCACGCCCGCAGGCATTTTGCCATTGAGCGTGACCTTTGCGACAGGTGGAATCTGCCACCAGGTTTTTCCGGTAGCCCAAATGCTTGCAGCGTCAGTTCGCACTACTGGAGTGCCCAGGCATCCAATGCCTCCGTACATGTTGGAGTGACTGTCGGAGGCCACGGCCAGGGTGCCTGGCCAGGCGTAGCCCTCCTCGACCATAATCTGGTGACCAATGCCACGCCCAGCAGGGTAGAAAACGACATTGTGGGTCTTGGCAAACTCCTCAATCTGGCTATACTTTTTGAGGTTCTTCTCCGACTTGTTCTGGACATCGTGATCGAGCGTCATGACAATCTGGCCGGGGTCGCTAATCTTAGTGGCCCCGATGCCCATGAACTTGAGCGCCACCGGCCACGAGTTGTCGTGGGTCATACACTTGTGTGGCTGCAGCGTCACGTAGTCACCAGAGCGAAGGACCTTGCCCGGGGCCACGCCGACGGCATGCCGTTGAACAATCTTTTCCGTAAGGGTCTGGGGCGTCTTGGGTGTTTCGCTGAGCGAAGAGAGGAAGCTAGCGGCAGGGCTCTCCTTCATTGAGGGAAACACATCCTGAGCATCACGTCGGCTGGCCAGTGCAGAGAAGGCTCGCGGGGCGGCATGGAATCGAGGCAATTGCGAAGAGGCGCGGAAAGCAACGCTGACCCGTGGCTGTATGTGCGGTTAGATGGTGAAGCCAAAGGCGCCGTTTGGGAAAAACGTACTGTTGCTATCTGCCTGCGGCCCAGCAGGCGCGCTGCCCGTAATGACATTGCCATTGCTTGTGCTGGAGAGGGACGGAAACAGCGGCGGCGATTTGCAGGCGATACACGAGTTTCTATGTAGTATGCCGCCTCTTCCCCAGAGTTTGGGCCAAAAATTGCGACCCACCCGCTCACCACCGAAACCGGCCGCAGTCATCGGATCCCCTGCACCTATCATTGGACGGCTGCAGGCTTTCGACGCCGACACAGTAATACATGCTCCCACGCCGGATGTGTGATGCGGCATCCAGGGCCGACTAACGACTACATAGACGGTCTGCGAGATCGGCTGTCTCCATGGTGAGTCTGGCTGGCTAGAATGGGAGTCATCCGTATGACGCGACGCACGATGCAAGATAAAACTTTACTATATACCAACCCCTCTTTGCCCAGCATTCTATAAACTTGCTCATTTCCAGTCATTCACACAACACCACAAACTCTGTCGTACCTTTGCTTGCCGACATGGTCAACCGTTCAGATGTCACCTACTTTGGGGCTGGCCCCGCTCCTCTCCCCACCGAGGTGCTCGAGAGAGCCTCACAGGCGCTGCTGAATTACAGAGACAAGGGCATTGGTCTCTGCGAAATCTCCCATCGCTCGCCCGAGGCCAACGAGATTCTCGCAGAGGCGAAGCAGGCCCTCACGCAACTGCTCGAGATACCCGACGATTACGAAATCCTCTTCCTTCAGAGCGGCGGTACCGGCGAGTTCAGTGCGGCTGTCTACAATCTTGTCTCGATATGGGTAGAGAAGAAGCGAGCAAAGATTGCCCAAGAGGTGGGCGATAACAAGGACGAGGTGCTCAAAAGACTTCGCAAGGTAGTGGATGAAGAGCTCAAGCTTGACTATCTCGTCACGGGCTCGTGGTCGCTCAAGGCATCGCAAGAAGCCGCCCGCCTTGTAGGAGCCAAGCACGTCAATGTAGCCGTCGATGCGCGTACAGCCAACAATGGCAAATTCGGGAAGATCCCCTCCGAGGACCAGTGGGCCCTTACGTCGCGCTCAACGGGCGGGCCGGCCTTTGTATATTACTGCGACAACGAGACTGTCGACGGAGTCGAGTTCCCCTCGTTCCCACAGAGCCTAGAGGGCGATGACGCGCCCCTGGTCTGTGCCGACATGTCCTCCAACTTCATTTCCCGCAAGGTCGACGTGAGTAAGTATGCAGTCATCTTTGGTGGCGCGCAAAAGAACATTGGCAATACCGGTATCGCTATCGTCATCATGCGGAAGTCACTTCTTCCGCCTCACTCGACGCCGGCCTCGCCCGACCTGCTAAGAGAACTTAACTTGGCTGTGGGCCCAATTGTACTCGACTACCCTACGATTGCAAAAAACAACTCTCTGTACAACACTTTACCCATCTTTGATGTTTGGGTGGCTGGTCAGGTCATGTCTGGACTTGTCAACTCGTACGGAGCTAAGCGTATTGGCGGCCAGGAGGAAATCTCAAACGAAAAGGCCAGCCTTATCTATGGGACGCTCGATAAGTATCCAGACATCTATCAAGTTGTCCCAGACAAGTCTGCGCGCAGTAGGATGAACATTTGCTTTAGGGTTCATGGCGGAGCTGAAGACAAAGAAAAGGCTTTCCTCTCAGGCGCAGAGAAGAAAGGTCTACTTGGTCTGAAGGGACACAGGAGCGTCGGTGGTATTCGTGCTAGTAATTGTAAGTGCCCCCGTGTTTTTTTCTCCGGCATTGATCACACTGCCAGTCATGCATTGGGCAGTAGTCTTGTGGAGATGTGCTCCCCTGTCTGGTTCGCATCCGAATGCGGTCGAATGTGCGGATATCCCTCAGCCGGGATTTGCCTACCCCAAAAAACTCGAGCTAACCCGACTTGTCCACCAGATAATGCGGTCTCGCTAGACGGTGCGAAGCTACTTGTCTCATATCTCGAAGAATACGCAAAGTCGACCTAAGCCAGGCTTTGCGCAAGACCGAGTGAAAAGAAAAGTTTGCATATCATTCCACATAAGCAGAGTCCTGACATATGAACAAATACCTTTTTATTACATCCGAAGCACTCAACAAAACACTGACCTACTACGAAAAGAAAATATACTTAATTTGTCTAATCGCGATGTCTACATGACCACGACTACGAAACCCCTCTGTAGAGCTGTGGACTATGGAGTGCATCAGCGGAGAATAACCTGAGGCAAGCCTGTACGCCACAGCCCACTTTGCTGTGTAGTGGCTGAATTAAGTTTGGTAGGCGTGTAGTGGTGTTGAAGTGGCGCTGTCAGGTATGCCATGTCCACAACGCGCTCCTGTGTACTTCATGCACTAGTTTGTGTCTCGAGACCAACGAACCAATCTCGATGTCTGCTTCCTTTAGGATGATTCCCTGCCCAAATTGTAGGTACACGGCGGCTGCGGGACAATGGTCTCTTGCGGTAAGAAGAAGGTAGTGATGAAACCGTGTAGACACCTTCTATGAGCCAGCCGACCAGCGAATGAGTCGCAAGGAGGCTGTTTACAACGCTCATAGCGATGGATCTGTGACGATAACTGACAGTCAATCAGTCTTGAGGTTCTCGTTTCCCAGACCCGCAATCCGAATTTGAGTATTGTTCACCACGCCCTTCTGGAACCGTCTAGTGTAGAGGTCATTCATACCGCATATCGCAATGGTGGGTGTCGACGCACCAGCTGATTCGCCCACACAGCCTCTTCCACTCTTGATGCGGGGCGACTTCTCCGCAATCCTGTAATCTAAGGTTTTTGAATGTTTGGTAGAGGCTGTGCGGTTAATCACGTCGACGACTAGATTCAATGCAGCATGGACGCTGACGGCCTAGTCTATCCCACGAGGTTCTGGTCAAGTATTGCTTGTCCGTTTTGGCCAACCTCACTCGCTGCGCACCGTGTCATGTTCTGGCAGGCCTGCCCTGGTAGCCGTTGAGCCGACCAGGGTTCTGGAGGTCTTGTTGTCTCGGACAGGGCACAAGCGAGGATCTGCGGCACAACCTAAACCCAGCAAGCATCAGAACTCTAGTCTGACCTCAACCACCTTACCACCACGACTGCCCATGGGCGGTTTGTCCACCCCCAGCGCTTCCACACGTTGAAAATAGCTCTGTACAGAGACCAATTATAGAAATATGCGCCAGAAGACAGTGTGGTCATTACAGTAACCGCTGGAGTTGACAGACGACAGTTGCACCAGCATCCACAATGTGCAGCACCCGTGTACTATGATACTACATACTTGTACTTGCACGGATCCTGCGGGACCGGCCACCACGGCAACGTCAAGCCATGACGTCTGACTAAGAGCCATCAGCTTGGTGGACTTGACAGAAAAGACCAGGGTCTAGTCAACTCCACAGCATCTTTTTCCCATGTTGGCCAACGAGGGCCAGGGGGTACAACTTCTGCACGGGTCTCGCTACTTCCGCTGCCATGGCTACCTAGCACACGTGGCTCGCATGAGGGTGAAACCCCCCCTCAATCAGCGAGCGCGCGGGAATGGGCGGCCTGTGATATGGCAAGACTCAGCCACTGCCAATGTGGGCCCTTCCAAGTAAGTGACCGAACAGACGCCTTAGGGCCGCCACCCCGAAACCGTGCGTTGCTGGTACCACCCAGTGGTTTTGTCATATACCGTTTGGAGTCTCATGCCCGTCTCTCGTCTCTTACGTCTAATGCTCACGCTCTTTCCCCTTCTTTTGTTGCTCTGCTGGCAGGCTTAGGCAGTTCCTTTCTTTTTTTTCCCCGAGCTGGTTTCTCTTTCGTTAACGACGTTAGTCACGCAGTCTCCATGAATACCTAGTCTATTTCCTTTCTTTAGCCGCTGCTGGTTACCAGCGAGACCACCTATTTCCTACTAACACCTGTTGTAACTGGAGTTGGCAAGATGGGATCATGGGCGGATTACTTTCCCCAGCTCGAGGCCCGGTCGCACTTCAACTTGACTCTGAATACTTCTGCTGCTCGACAAGTTCCCTGGACCCAAAACAACTCGACTAGGACCTTGATCGCGTCGCTACAGCTGCAGCAAGTCCAGACGCTCCGCACAACCCATCTGACCCTCGGAGCCTTCAGTCTTGCATTGGCATTGTTGACGGTCCATCGAATCATCTCAGATGCACGACGAGCAGCAGCTCTCCAGGTCCTACCAAGGAAGAAGTCAGTACGGCGCTCGAGGAACGTGGACCATTACTGACCAAGTTGCAGGAGATTCAACGCCCTCCACAATGTTCACCCCGCCGAAACCTTTCCACTCGCGTTGGCCTCTGGTGCCGTCATACAACAAATTATCTTCGTCTCAGTGCAGGGCACGACCCTTCAAAGTGTATTCTCTAGGAGTTGTCGAAGCCTAGCAATGATCACATTTCCTAGTAGGTTTCATCTTCTTTAGCCCACCAAAGTACTATCTGACCATCACAGCCATCTTCCTAGTCGGATTCATCACACTCGTCTTCGGTATTGAGACGCTTATCCGAGGATTTCGACAAGAACGTTTTGCTCCGCGCGGCAACTGGAACACAACGATATGTATCGCTGTTGTATCGCTCTTGCTTATGCTCACATGGATACCGACTGTTGTGTGGCCAATGTCTAACGTTTGCTTTGGCAGCCTCATCTGGTTCCCTATGAGATACGACCGCCTGATGCTATCCATTCTTTCTGTCCTTGTCTTCTCCTTGTTGTCTGTGGCAGCACTCGTCAGTATCCAATTAATGAGAACGCCGGGTCTGGATCACAATGAGCGTATCTCAGCCTCACGTATGACCTACTTCTTGATAGTGACTGCGTTAATCTATGTGAGTGTTTACCGCTATTTCACACCTGTCTCATCTAACGTGCATAGGCGCTTGTAATTCCAGTCGAAGTTCAATCTCTTCGAAGAGAGTTTATGCAGGCACTCGCAGCTTCTCGCATCGCCGAAATATCACTCTTCTCCTCAGGCATGGTCATCACCTTCTTCCATCTCTTCCTCCGTACAAACGCAACCCGCATGGTCATCCGTCCCATGGATGAGCTGAAAGGCCCCGCAAGGCACCAACGTCCCAAGATACGATTCTTTGGCCCGAGCGATTTGGAGATGCAGATCAGTGGGCCAATGGGACTCCACACAACTCAGCGTCTGGATAGCCGACAGGGTTTGATCGATGTTGGGCCTGAGAAGAACCGCTCGGATATCGACCCTGAGTACTTTGAACGACCGGAACGCGCTTTGACACCATCGTCGGCCAGATCAGGAAGCAGAATCGACCCTACCGAGTGGCCTCTCCCCCCGATGCTTGAGAAGGATACCATGAATTCGCATGAACGCAAACTGAGCTACTCCTTGTTTCCTACACGAGCTGAAGAAGTACCGCGCCTTCCAGCGACAGTCTACGACCCCAATGCAACACAAGACCCAGCTTCGGTCTCCAAACTCGCCATGAGGCGCTTCACCCGACGAGGCTCAGTCACCAACGTCAGCGATGCGTTTGACTTCCCTGGCATGCCGAAGCTACCTTTCGCTGAGCGACACAAGCGCATGGCTAGTACTGATAGCAGTGCAACTGTGCAGATTGGCCTCCGTTTCTCCGTTGCACCTGCCACACTTGCAGCGGGCAAATGCACCCGAGTAGAACGCGATGTTCCTCCACTACAGCGATCTGCCACCCAGGGCAGTGGAGAGCCTCTGAGCCTCATAATCCCGGTCAACTCAACCACTGTATCACCGGCAGAGGAGTCATTCAGACCTAGGGCAAACAGCCCCAACCGAGCACCAGCATTTCCTCTGGCGCCCGTAGCCAACTCAAGTGAATACCTCAGGGCCCAACGCGAAAAGGTACTACAATCCCCGCCACCTCAGTCAGCGGATCCCCTCCTCCACTCTGCACCCCCTACCCAGCCTGCCGTTCCCCCACCAGTTTGTGTAAGCGGGCTCCGGATGAACCCCATCACGCCTACCTCATCTGTCGGCTCACCTACAACGGCATCACTACCAAGCACACCTGGATCCGCCACCCTGCTCACAAGGACAATGAGCGGCAACAGCGCGGCGCCATCACCTACGGCACGCATCCCACTTGGCGCAGGCACAATGCAACGAGGAGCCTCACCCACCAAGGGCTGGATCTGACCGCTTCGGCCTGAGCGCTGAATGAAACATGAGGAGGAGCATTCTTTTTCCTTTCTATCTCTAGACCGGAATTTCGGCGACTGCGCCGCTGTATGATTACTAGGATGTATGCAAAGTCTTGGGTCGGATATTTCTTTCTATTTCTTCTTCTTTTCGATTTTTTTCATCTCTCTATCTCTCGCACAAACTTTTCAGGAAGAGAAGGTTGGGTCCAGAGGGGGGTTCGCCACGCCTCTTGGTATTGTCTTGGGCCTGACTCCACAGGCGTTACGGGTTCGGTTTCATGTGGAAACCCATGTTCATGCCTCCGCGACACACGGGCGTCTCGCACAGGCCACTTTGCGTCACTGCACTGCCTGGGGCATTGTATCACAGCTCTGGATTCTTACACTTGGGCGCTTTCTCCCTCTGGCGGGTATAGAAGCTTGGGCTCCCTTACTACTCCTCATTACGTCGGCTCACGATACGGACATTCCTTTACGATATCGACATCTTGTTTTTTTCCTACACACACACACACCTGGTGCTGCGCACTATGATCCTACCTCCCCCCTATTTCATCTCCTACGGATTGGCACAGTACATCCACTCGTTTTGTTTGTTGTTTTCCGCGCAATCACCGACTGAATCTTGAGCGAGTCCTCCCTTCCTCCTATCCCCCCTAAACCCTATCTTACTTTTCTACATGTCTCATTTTTTCTTCTCATCTATCTTGCCCCTTTCCTCCTTGTCTCCTTTTGAAGCTCTTCATTGAGTTCCCTTAATCCATCCCCTATCGCTGAGAAGAGAGATAGAAGAAAAAAAGACTCCAAGGGTCCCGCCCTTGTTTGGTACATACCAAGTCTTTTTTGTGTAGCTATATACTAGTCAAGTGTTATTCTTTCTATTTGCAAAACAAAACTTAGAAGCAAGAATAAACTTGCCCACTTCAGCCTTGTCATATAGCTCAAAATCCACACAGAATATAGAATGGAAAAGAAAGAAACTCATATCTTCGTACTCTCTTACAATACGAATACGCAGTGTACCATACGCGCTTTTTTTTACTTCTCGAAAACCGACGAGTCAGCCTTGAACTGATTCAGGGTGACTTCTTATCGCATCTAACACGGTCAAAAAAGAAACAAGTCTACTTATGCAGCACGACTCGAGTCCCCCCCCCCCTCCACCTTCCGTTCCCTCCAACTGACTCCAACTAGCCACCCCATCAACATTGCCAATGCAAGTTTGAAGCAAAGCAAAGTAAAGCGAGCAAAAAAAACGGACCGACTTGCCTCGACTCGATATCATCTGCCCTGAAACAAGGAGGATGCTGCAGCGTGAAGAAAAGAGGAAGGTAGAACGGAAGGGTCGGGTGTTTGGGTAGCTACCATGCGATTTCATGCATAGGAGAATATGCATAGTGCTTTGAAGATGGAAGGAAGGTAGTAGTAGTAGATACGTCCGTAACTTTGGGTGGAGCAAAAAGGGAAAGAAAGAAAAAATACACGAGTTCTAGAAAAAAGAAAAAAAGAAAAAAGTGAGGAGAAAAGGAGATTTGTCATTTCTTCATTTCAAACAAAAGTAGTGTGTATCGAAACATGCACCCAATATGTCTCAAGAAATGGTGAAAGGGCAAAGAAAAAAGTGTACCCCAAAAAAATGGGGATAAAAACCATCGTATACATCGTTACTATAGCCCCTTTATAACGCTATAAAAACAATAGTCATAAACATATGATAAACGTACATTTTTTTCATCTTCTCCATCGCTGCCAAAACTTCCACCCGATCTTCTCACTCCCCTCATCCGGCATACGAAATTTGGTGTTTTCCTTGCCCCTCCGGCGCCCCACCCATGCAAACCAAATGATGAGCCCGACAACCATGAATGCGACGACGAGGAGGGTTTGAAGGGGCTCGGCGAAGACGGCTCTGCTGAGGAGGAAGAGGCTGACGCAGCAGAAGATGATGGGCGTGGTGATCCATGTTTTGTACGGTCTTTCTAGATCTGGTTCGCGGACGCGCAGGACGATGAGGCCGAGGACGGTTTGGAAGTAGAAGGCATAGCCTGCAACACCGTAGAAAGTGACTAGTGTATCGAAGGAGCCGACGATGATGTAGATGGTTGTGAGAAAGGCGTTGAGTAGCATTGCGGAAATGGGGGTGAAGAAGAAACCTGCATCTTCGTCTGCGAACCAGTTTACGAATTTCTGGGATATTTTGCTCTTGTTTTGGTTTGCGTTGAGGGAGTGTAAGCGGATGGCGCGGTGGTTCTTGCCGAGGCCTATGTTGCCGAACATGGAGGGGAGATAGCCCTCCTTGCCTGCCGCGTAAACGAGGCGACCGGATGTAAATGTTGTGGCGTTGAGCGCGCCGAAACATGAGCCGGAGACGAATAAGGCGAGGATCAGGGCGCCGACGGGACCGAAGACTTGCGAACCAAAGGCTACAGCGACAGTATTGGAGGACTCGATGACGGAGGCGGGGAGGACGAGGAAGTAGGAGATGTTGGCGAGGATATAGCAGAGTATGACGAGCGGAAGGGACGTATGGATGACGCGGGGAAGGTCGCGGGTGGGATTCTTGAATTCTCCTGTGACATAGTTGACCTGGGAGTGTTAGTGTACATGAGCAGATGCGCGGAGGTGGTGGTGAATCTACATTGTCCCAGCCATCAAATGCCCACAGCCCGGCGTATAGCGCGACGGCCCAATTACTGACATTCTCGCTCGTGTCTTCAAACCAGCCATGGTGTTTCCAGTCGTCATTGGCCTTGCCTTTGTACGACAGACCTGTTGCTGCCACCACGATGCCAATTACTGTGACTCCTAATAGGGCGAAGAACTTCAAGAACATGAAGACGTCAGCGCTCCGTGTACCTAGTTTTGTGGAGATACAATTGAGCAGTGTGACAGTCACAAGTCCCACCAGAGCCACAGCCTTGTTTAACCATGTGCCTGCATCTACAGCCTCGGCTCCAATGACGGCGCGCACAACGTATTCACCAAAGATGATCGCGATGATGGCTGCCGAGCCCGGCTTCAGCACCATGACTGCGCACCATGTGAACAAGAAACCCGCCCACTCGCCAAAGATTTTTGACAGGTAGACTTGAGCGCCACCATTGAGGGGTATAGCGCCTCCTAGCTCAGCGTAGCTCGCCGCGCCCGTCCATGCCAATATTCCAGCAACGAGCCAGACCAGCAGCGATGCGCCAGGCGATCCTGCATTCTTGTTGACCTGAGAAGGAGAGGAGAAAATCCCACTCCCTATTATAAGACCGATGACCAGCGACAGTCCATTAAGGTATGTCAAGCTCTTGTTCTTCTCTAATGAGCCGCCATTAAGAGCATTTGAGGGATCCAAGGCCGGATTCGCAGGCGCGCCTAAAGCCGTGTATCCCTGTGCCGTGCTGGACAGAGGAAACAGATTCGGGGCAAAGTCAAAGGCAGAGGACACGCTGTAGGTGCGAGTGCGCCGAGGTCGGCTCGGGTCATGGCCGGCAGGGTTCAGTTCGGACAAGGGATCCTCGTCGTCAAAGGACAGTCTGCGCGAAGAGGGCGCGCCCGAGGAAGAAGATTCGTGAGAGGAACGGGGAGAGGCATGCGAGGACGAGGCGAGCGAGGCCAGTTCGAGTGAATCGCGAGTCGGGGGTGGCAGGTTGGAATAGCGGCCGGCCATGTTGCGGAAGGAAGGTAGAGGGATTGGGAGGGGAAAATGCGCACGTCTACGTGCTCGCCATGGAGAGTTCGGGATAATCAGCAAGGGGCAGTGACCAGCAGCCGGTTGTCCAATACTGTAGCTCGCTGGCGAAGCTGCGGTGTATGAATGGCGAGGCGTGCATGCGCAGTCGAAACGACGGAGCTCCTTATGCCGTCATGGGACTAGTTTCCGTGCAGGGCTAGTGGCCCAGGTCCCGAAAAATGCGGGAACTCTTTGCAACTCGGGTGCTGCCGCGCATCTTTTGTATATGGACGGGCAGACCATGTATTCCACGCCCGTATCAAATGCCCAGGTGCCGAGCCGGTAGGAGATGCAAGGCCGACTTTTGCAATCTGTGGGCTGGCAGCGTGCCCTCCGTCGCCCCGCCCTTCACCATCACACGCGTATAACGTCGTCGCGATGGGTGGGCACGCGCAACACCAAGAACAGGGCCGACGATGTACGGTTGGAGTCGTTGACGGCAAAGTGGCAACCGCGTTGGGATGAGCTGTCTTCCAAGTGGCACAAGCTACGCACTTCTGACCGCGGCAATGCTTATGTGCTGCCAATGTTTCCGTATCCTTCGGGCACCCTTCACCTCGGCCATCTACGAGTATACACCATTTCCGATGTCCTGGCCCGCTTCAAGCACATGCAGGGCTACAAGGTCCTGCATCCCATCGGGTGGGACGCCTTTGGTCTGCCTGCAGAAAATGCAGCAATCGAGCGGGGAGTCCATCCCGAGAAATGGACGCTGCTCAACATTGAAGCCATGAAGACTCAGATGAAGCAAATGGGCGGTCGATGGGACTGGGACGCAGTATGCAACATCCCTTGGGTAGACAGTACAGGAGCTGATCCAGTTGTACATAGGAAATACGAACATGCGATCCTGCCTTTTACAAGCACACTCAGCGCATCTTCCTCATGCTCCACGACCGCGGCCTCGCATATCAAGCAGAGTCTCTTGTCAACTACGATCCTGTTGACAAGACTGTCCTCGCCAATGAACAGGTAGATGCCAATGGCTGTTCCTGGCGGTCTGGTGCAAAAGTAGAAAAAGTCATGCTGAAGCAATGGTTCTTGAAGATCAAGGAGTTTCAAGAATCTCTACTAAAAGACTTGGATGCTCTTGCAACACATGACAGATGGCCAGAAAAGGTGCTGGCCATGCAAAGAAACTGGATCGGCAAGTCAGAAGGTGCAAAACTATGGTTCGACATCATCTCAACGGGAGGCGATGTGTCTTTCGAGCCCATCGATGTATTCACAACCAGGGCCGATACCTTGTTTGGGGTACAGTACATTGCTTTGTCTTTGAGTCATCCCGTCGTTCAAAAACTAGCTGCCCAAGATGAGTCCCTTCACGCATTCATCGAACGAGCAAAAGACCTACCTCCAGACACAAAAGAAGGCTTCCTACTTCAGAGCATCGTAGCCAGGAATCCATTGGCTCACGTTCGCGGCTGTACCGGTCCTACCGTTCCCGTCTATGTGGCTCCGTATGTTCTAGATGACTATGGTTCTGGCGCTGTCATGGGCGTACCTGGCCATGATACGCGAGATCACGCATTCTGGCGAACCAATGCTGGCGATGATCCCATAAAGCTAGTTGTGTCTACAAAGAAGGATGATTTGCTTCTTCCAATTGTACCACGAAGCGGGCAAGATGTACCTGTGACTGAAAGAGGATTCGTTGTTGCTGACATTGAGAACTTCGGTGGCATGCCTTCCAAGCAAGCTGCCCGCGAAGTCATCCAGGCCATCGTGAACGCTGGCAAACAAGCTGAAACAACAGCAAACTGGCGTCTCCGAGACTGGCTCATAAGTCGCCAACGGTACTGGGGCGCTCCTATTCCCATTATCCATTGTGACTCCTGCGGTGCGGTGCCAGTCCCCGAAAAGGACCTTCCTGTCCAACTACCGGATTTGCCTGATAGCTTCTTTCAAGGTCGTAAGGGAAACCCACTAGCGGAAGATGAGACTTGGAAAAAGACCACGTGCCCGAAATGTGGCTCCGCTGCTGAACGCGAAACCGATACCATGGACACTTTTATGGATTCATCCTGGTACTTTTTCAGATTCTTAGACCCTGAGAATGAAGACGCTCTGGTTGATCCGGTGAAAGCCAACAGCAGTATGCCAGTGGACCTATATATTGGTGGAGTGGAACATGCCATCCTGCATCTTCTGTACGCCCGCTTCATTTCGAAGTTTCTTGCTACGACTCCAACGTGGCCGAAAGGCTATTTGACGAATGGTGAACCATTCACTCATCTCATCACTCAAGGCATGGTACATGGGGAGACCTTTACTGACCCTGAAAATGGGCGCTTCCTTCGACCAGATGAAGTAGACTTGACGAATTCTTCTAAACCTCTTATCAAAGCCACCGGCCAAACGCCAAACGTCAGCTACGAGAAGATGTCTAAGAGCAAGTACAATGGCGTAGATCCCGGCGCTACAATTGCCAAGTACGGCGCAGATGCAACGCGCGCCCACATGCTCTTCCAAGCACCGGTCGGCGATGTGCTGGAATATGACGAAGAGAAGATTGCCGGTGTGCAACGCTGGTTGCATCGAGTCGTGAAGCTTGCGGCCGCTTCATGGCTACCCGATGACCAAGTCGAAAGTTTTGTCATCCCAAGCAACATTGATGAGAACCTCCTAGTTATCCTGCAAAACCTCTCAGGACTAGAGAATCCAAAAACCGCCTCGAGAGAGACTTTGATCTCCACACTCAAACCAGACGAAGCCCAACTCTGGATCAAAACCCAGCAAACTATAGCCAGCGTCACAGAGTCCTATTCGCAAACCTACTCCCTCAACACCATCGTCAGCGACCTAATGACGCTCACGAACACCATTTGGGACACCCCTCACGCCTCTCCAACTACATCCTATCTCAAATGGTACTCCATCGCACACCTCATCCGCATGCTCGCCCCCATCGCACCAGGCGTAGCAGAAGAATCCTGGCACCTCCTCACCACCTGCACAGCCTCTCAAGAGTCCAGCGTCGACACCCTCACAGTCTTCGCAACAGGGTTCCCGCAAGCAAATCTTGCTATCATACCACTCCTAACCACAACCCGCAAATGCGTAGTACAAGTCGACGGCAAGCGCAAATTCGAAGTTGATATTGCAAAGCTCCCATCTTCCGTCAATTCCAAGGATGGCAAGGCTGTAGCACAGTTTGTACTAGGCGAGCTATTGAAAACGGAACAAGGGAAAGAGTGGTTCGATAGAGAAACTGGTAAGATTTGGAAGACTAGTCCTTCGCATGAAGCCAGTGATGAGTTTGATGGTGCAGTACCACAGGGCTGGAAGGTTATTACTGTAAAAGGCGGTGATCTTTGCAATTTTGTGGCGCCGAGGAAGCCAAAGATGGAGAAGACGGGGTAGGCGTGTATGATAAGTGAATGTTCGAGTGTAGGTTAGGTGTATAGTATGTTTGTGTTTGAGTGGTGTTTTCAAGAAGGAGAAAAGTGATTAACTGAGTCTATCAGTAGAAGCTCTTGTGCGTACGTGCTATGCTGACATATTCGAGTTTCCCTTGCTTGGGAAGTGACTGGTAATATGCAGATCCCCGTATCGTAGGGAAAACTATTCGCTTATTAAAGAAACTGGGTTTCAATACATTTAGTGGACATGCCCGCCTCCTTTGCGTCTGCTCTCTCGCACCGCTACGATACGGCATCTTGCATGAACCATGTCGTCCCTCGCTCGCCTTGCTCCTGGACATACCCTTGTAGGAGCCCGTTGGGACTACCAAATCGTCCATGCTCTCAAAGGAGACAACACCCACCGATTTGCCGTCTACATGGCTAAGATCGAGATGCCACTGCAACTGAGGGAACTCCTTAGTTTAATGTTCGTCACCCACCCTGATAAAAGATCATCTACTTCAGCTGTGCTAGCATCGAAAGAGTTTCAGGCGCTCGATAAGTTTGAAGGCATGCAACAGGTGAACATTGTATCTAGCTATGGCTAAGTAAACATCCATGGTTACAGTATACTTGGCTAGCGAGAAATCACCATCGTGAGAAGGCTTGATATTTCCTCCTATTGGGTTTCCATGAACTAAATTCAGCTGAGGCCAACAAGGTAGATGTGCTACGGCACACGAGGCTAGCAGCCAGAACAAAGACCAAAGACCCGATACGCTGAACTTCACACTACTTAACCAGTGCACTGGTAGTCATAGTTCATACGAGATGCCTCCGTATCCTTTGGAACCCAAATCGTAACCTTTTGTCCACTCGACTCAAGCGTGCCTTCATACTCGTCAAAGAACGGGCGCCAGTACACTTGACCCGTGCCACCCTCACAATCGATATTGATCGTGACAGCTACAGTGTTGGTCATAGTAGTCTCATAGCTAGCCGAAACGCCAATCTCTGCACTGATAGCGTCCCACGCGCTTGCACCCAAACTCAAGGATGCAGTGATGGAGAAGGTCTCTGACTTGGAAGTTGTGACTTCGTAAGCACCAGCGTTGGGGACTTGGGCAACGAAGACGGCTGAGCCGGGCTTGTAGACATTGATTCGCGTGACTACGTCGGAGAAGCGGTCGGCTTGCTGCGTTTTATGTGGTTAGCTCTGTGGACAGAAAAGATATGTTATAGGGAAATACGTACTCGAGTTTCCAAGCCATTCGCCTCTCCATCTAAAGTTTGTATTTGAACTTTGTTCTCTTCAGTAGACATCTCTTCATAAATGAGGCTTTCAGGCAGGCGGCGCCAATCCGTGTTGAGCCTGATAGCAACCTCGGACCAGGGTTCAGGAGGTGGAGTAGATTGGTAGCCGCCGGTGTTGGAGCTCTTGCACTCAGATTCAATATTTCTGGCTCGACCGCCCCAAGTCGAGGCAGGACTGCAAATCTCGAAATTCTCGTTGTTGCAGAAGGAAATGCGGCAGTTGCCCTCAGTCCACACACGACAGGCTCTTGGGTTAACGCAGACGCTCCGGTTTGGATCAACTTCGCCAAAGTATGAGTTGCCATCCATGATGATGCTGCCTGTGAAACAAAACAAGATTGATTAGGCTCCGTTCGAGCGGTAATAGGGTTTGGGAATTAGAAAGGGGGGCAGGGGCTTACAGTCACCCCAGTTGGGCTGCAGCCTTGACTCGCAAAAGATGCCGCCAGTTTGTTCTCCATCCCAGTCCTCCTGGCGAGCCATGAGGCGGGAGGGCGCTGCCATAGCTGGACGAGAGGTCATGGCCGCAAGCAGCGGCAAGAGAGTAAGGTACTGCATCTTCTGATATTCGAAGAGAAGTTTGGCTTGGTGGCGAGGGAGTTGACTGAATAACTGGATTACTTGCTGTGATGATGGTGACTGAACAAACCCATTCGACTCTTTATACCTTCGGACCTACACTCTGTTTTCTCACAGGCGTCGTATCAAGACCACTTGTTAACCCTACTATCCGTGCTTTCCGATCAATTGTGTGGCTTATTGACTGTCTCAAACAGCATCGTCGTTCTGAATGGCTAGCAGAGCTAGGAATCATGTTCGACGTCACTGTTGAGTTTGGTCGATGGCTGAGATTAATCCTTCGTTTCCTGTCAGGCCAGCACCCAAGCTTTCTGGTGCTACCGAACAACTGAACGGGGAATGGTAAAGGGGCCAATTGAGCATCTAATGTGTACTGTCTGACAACTGGGCTCAGTCACGCAGACAGTGCTTAAGCATCTATTCCTGCCTCTCTTGTTAGAGAGCCAAATGTATTTTCCAAACGGATTTCAAGAAGAGATGGAGAACAGATCAAGCGGTACTAACTACAGGCAGATCACAGAAGTTCCCTGCTGTATTTGCGCCTGTGAAGGAGGAACACTGAATGAACCAGACAGCGTTACTCTCACCTTCACAGATCCATAACCATAACAACACACAGTATCAAGGCACTGCATCAGCTAACACGGTAGCATGCTGCAGATCCGACAACAATTCTCACGATCTCGATGATACAATACGTAAAAGGTCAACAAAGGACTTTTCCTACGTCATGGGGGCCTAATTCAGAGTGAAATCTGCCAAGGGCCAAGGGCCAAGTGTCTCAATCTGTACATAACGAGCCACATTGCCAAGTTAGGCTGCCTACTGTATCCCATTCACATCCTTCATTATGGTAGATCTGTGGAGTAGTACGCCAAAGTGTACTCTTTTAGTAACATGCAAGCTCATTGTGACCATTCACATTTGTTCGCTAGTTCGGGTAACGGCACCTCCCGTGCACCTTGATGGACAGCTAGGGCGTAAGCGAGGCGCCTCATGATGGAGCCTAACTAAACAGCACCATTCACTGGTTCTCGCAGACTGTAGTATGCTTCGCCTCTTCGCCAACCCCGATGGAGCACTTCCACGTCATATGGCATCTGCTATGTGGCTAAGATATACAACAGCATGAACGCCCCGTAAGCAGGGAGGAATCCCACTGCGGTGTTCTAGTGCTTCATACTTTACTACTCCTTGTCTCCATCATGTTTTTTAGTATGTCCAACGTCGTTTTGCTATTCGTAGCACACCTGCTATTTCCCACATCGGCTCATGCCCAAGTCTTCAACGACTCATCAGTACGAAGCTGCAGTGGCCCTATCCAAGTCATAGCCCGTAATGAATTTCCTATCAACTCAACTGGTACAGCTCGTCTGGCTCATGGGTTGGCACGTGAGCCCTGGTATGTCAGTCTTACCATAACCGATAGGCGCGAGCCTGGCGTCGTTTATGGCGACAGTATAACCTGGCAACAGCTGGAAGGCTTCCTCAGCGTTCCAAATTCGTTGGCGGGAAGTCAGCAAGACAATCAGACGGAATACTGTATGTTCATGCTTCCACCGCGGGACCCTTCCTCGCAGGAGGAAGCTGGAGATTGTACCAGCGTGTTGAGCGACGAGTGCATGAGATCTTTGATACATACCACCCCGTTAATGTGGGATGGTCGTTGCCACAAGCCGAACGATGTGGAAAAGGCATGTGGAACACATGTTCCGTTGGTATCACGTACGTCTTTTCTCTCTATTTTCTTTCTTCCAAGGCATCCTGTTCCAAACTATCGGGGTTTTGTATACAAACTCTTTCTAACAATGCAAAAGGCTCCCCATCAAATTTCTCCAACACGAACTGCACCTTGACCGGGATTCCCCATATTGATTTGCCAGAAGATTACCGAACTTACGGTGACTTACCCGTGGCTGTATACGGCGGTGGAAATGATCGCGAGAATTTCGACTTGTATGATAAGAACGTTCGTCAAGTGGTACCCATGCTCTTCACAATCAAGTCTTCAGACGGTACTGTTGAGAACAAGGCCGTTTGCCTGGCTCCAGACAACGTGCTTGAGGGTAGCCGTGTTCCAGAATCTAGTGCAGCCCGCTCGAGCTCTGCGCATGCACTTGAGGCAGCACTTATGGTCATGGCTATTGTGTTTCTTTTGTCCATAGTTTAGCAGCCGAATAGTATAACGTTGCCCCATGATATACGATGTACATTCTATCTACCACAATAATAATGAACTTTGTTACTTTTTGAGCAAAATCGATGTTGTTTATCAATGATACGTAGAAGTGTCTTCGCAGAACTCAATCAAAGCCGACCCAAGCTCCGCTATCTCCAAGCCCTCTATCGTCATCGCTGCGGAACCGATTCCGAGCCCTGCATCATAATCTCCCGAAGCCCATTTCTCCAAGCACAAAAACACTCAACATCCCAGAATCCTTCAGCCCCAAAAATGCCGCTCGCACGGCTCCCCCGGGCGCTGACCCCACGCATCATCAGCACCTTTTCAACCACACGCCTGCGCTTCCAATCCTCGTCCATACCATATACACCAACATGTCCTTCGCCAACCTGCGAATGCGCCTCTGCGCCAAAAGACCTGGACATCGATCGCAAGACACCACTGCTGAACACAATGGCTCCGTATTCGGAGCAAGTCGTTTTCTGCACAGGAAAAGACGATTGGGCCAGCAATATTGAGCAAGAAGGAGGCGATACGGGCGATTTTGTCAAAGGGTTAAAAAATGTAATAGGAAAAGGTGCACCAGGATTCGATGTAGGTCCGTTTTGGCCATCCCAAACCTTCCCTTTCAAACCACCTCTCTCTCCAAAAAAAAAGATTTCGAATAAGACGGCTAATAACATACCCACAGCCCTTCACAAACATCCTCATAACCGCCTCCTCCCTCCCCAAATCCTCCACACCAAACACAACATCCCTACTCCTCTTCCCTAGCTTCAAACGCATCCAAAACCTCCCACACACGCCATCTTCCCTCTCCGACTTCGCAACCACATACCTAAAAGCAAAAACCCTCCACCCCATGCACGCCAACCTCTCCGCAGCCCAAAAAGCCAATCTAACCCGCGACGAATCAAAAGCAGCTTTCCTCCCAGAGGCACACGATATAACAACCCCTACAATACTCATCTGCGGCCACGGCGGCCGCGACCAACGCTGCGGCATCCTCGGCCCACTCTTACAATCCGCATTTCGCACAGAATTCCACCGGAGAGGCTTGGATGCGCATGTAGGGCTGATAAGTCACATCGGCGGTCACAAGTATGCGGGCAACGTCATCATGTATGTTCCGCCGAGTATAAAAGGGAATAATGAGCTTGGTGGCGCGGGGGTGTGGTATGGACGGGTGGGACCGGAGCATGTGGAGGGGTTGGTGGAGGAGACGTTTGTCAAGGGGAGGGTTGTCACGGAGTTGCTGAGGGGTGGTGTTATGCAGGATGGACGGAATATTGGGAGGGTGGTTGAGGCGCAGATGAAGAGGGATAGTGGGGGGGAAGATAGTGGTGTGTTGAAGTTGAAGGCTAGAGCAAGGGGATAGATGTGTGTATATGAATGATGTAGACGATTGTCAGATTATTATATAGAGACGACACGCTCTAAAGAGCATCAAAATAGAGACTTATACATGTATCGAGAGTTTCTTGAACATCCATGCCTTAGTCAAATGTTCCAAAAAAATTAATTTTCTCCTCTCTTCAATCACTCTGAAAGCAGTTTTCGATCTGTAGATACAACCAACAAAAAAACCATTTCGCTGCAAACACGCAAGAGAGGGGATGAATGCACCAGAGCAAGAAAAAAAAGAAAACGGACAAGCCCGACGTGGGGGTCGAACCCACAACCTTGAGATGTACTGAGTAATCGTGTCTGTTAGACCGTGAAAGACTAAGAGTCTCACGCTCTACCGATTGAGCTAGCCGGGCTATTGCTGTTTCGATGCAAGAATTTGGAATTATAATGGTGATGACCATATAGATTTTTACTGCATGGTTCATGCGATGCTCTGGTTCGCCCACTATCCAATGTCAAATGACACCGGTATTTGTGGGAGAGAATTTTTTCGTTCCGCGGTTCAACTAAGTGTTAGCCCCGCCGACTCACGTCACCCGACATCCACGTAAAACATAGCGTGAACCAGCACAATGGTACGCTTTCTATGCCGACATTATGCGCATTGCTTTCCACTGCATCACACCCAAGAATGCGTTCCTGAAAAGAGCTGGTATCATTTCGACGCATATCTATTCGCTCTAAAGTAAATGCCGCTAATCATTCTGGCTGGTATCGCTTATCTATCATCAAGCAGTCTACAAAGTGCTCTCAAGCGCAAGGACCTGGTTATTCGTTAGCATGATGTATTTGCAGCGAGATAAGTGTAACTTACAATGGCGGTCCTGCTGGGAATGTAAACTTGCAAAAAGTTCTTTCTGTTGTTCCAGGCGAAAGGAGTGGTGAAGAACCTGGTTGATTCATCCACATTTCCGTGGCCACCATAGATCTTGCTGTCAGTGCTCAGTACAATCCTGTAGGTGCCCTCCTGCTCAACACCAACACGGTAGTCGGTGAAGCTGTTCTGAGGGTGGAAGTTGAAGATCCACAGCAGGCCAGCGCGCTCAAACACGATGACCTTGTCGCCTTCGTGCTTCAGACTGACGTAGGCTTGCGGCGAGTGGAGCCAGCCGTACTTCTCCTCAGTCCACTGCATCTTGCTGTCAAAGTCGTTCAGGAACTTGTAGCGGAGTAGCTCGTCATCAGGGAGGTTAAATTGACGACGAGCGTAGTGGAAGCTGTTGTTGTTGCCCTCACGGGGGAAGTCTAGCCATTCTGGATGACCGAACTCATTACCCTCAAAGTTGAGATAACCTTCACCTCCGAGACCATGAGTGATCAATCGGATCATCTTGTGCAGCGACAGACCCCTGTCAATCACAGGTGTCAGCTCTGTGAGCGTTGACATGTTGGTATACATCTGCGCATCACAGAGCCAGAAGAGAAGAGTCTTGTCTCCTACAAGTCTATGTTGTGTTAGCATACATTTGTGAATATGTTGAAGTTGACTTACGCTTGGTCGTGACTCTCGGCATAGGCAATTGTCTTCTCGCCATGGCGTCGGTTTGTCAGAGTGAAGACAAGGGCGCCCATATCCCAGTCGATGTCCTGCTTCTCCTTCAGCCACTTGATGTAAAGGTCTGGTACCGCCATGGCTAATCTGTAGTCGAACCCTATGCCACCCAGAGAGAGTGACACACAGAGACCAGGCATACCAGAGACATCTTCAGCAATCGTGATGGAGTCAGGGTAAAGGGTATGCAATAGCTCGTTGGCAAGCATCAGATACACGACTGCTTCTTCGTCTACTGAGTCACCAAAGTACTCGTGGTAGCCGCCAGAGAAGCCCCTGTAAGAGTGTTAGTATACGCAGGCATAGGAGCATTGTCAATACTCACGTTCCAATACCGTGGTGGGTGTACAGCATACTGGTGACTCCGTCGAATCGGAAGCCATCAAAACGGTACTCCTCCATCCAGAAGCGCAAGTTGCTGAGAAGGAAGCGCAGCACCTCATGGTGGCCATAGTTGAACAGCCTGCTGTCCCATAGGTCATGTCGTCCCTTTGGACCGGAATGGAAATAAAGATGGTCGCTGCCATCAAACATGTTCAGGCCATCAAGTACGTTCTTGGATGCGTGGCTGTGCACCATATCTAGCAACACTGTAATGCCCATGCCGTGCGCAGTGTCAATGAGCTCCTTGAGGTCGTCTGGGAGGCCATATCGACTGCTTGCAGCAAAGAAGCTGTTGATCTGGTATCCGAAACTGGCATAGTAGGCATGCTCCATGACTGCCATCAACTGTATAGTGTTGTATCCCAGGCGCTGGATGCGTGGGAGGATATTTTGTGTGAACTCCTTGTATGTAGCAACCTTTGGCTCAGGCGAGGATATACCAACGTGAGCCTCGTAGATTCGCGCGCTCTTGGGCTTTGGCGGGCGCTGGTTCTTCCACACATACTTCTGGGGAGGATTCCAGAAGCGCGCATCGTATACGGGGGAGACGCTCAGGTCTTGGGTTACTCGGGTGATCCAGGCAGGGAGGCGCTCCTGGCGGGCGTGGTCGTTGGGGGTTACAAAGGAGACCTAGTAGTTTTTTTTTCTGTCAGTTGTGCGTTGGGCTGAGGATGCATAACCAATGTACCTTGATCTTGGAATCGTGGGGGATGGCAGGCTGGCCGTCCTTGTTAGGGACCGTCACCTCGAAGACACCAAAGTCATTCTTGGTCATGGGCGTCGCATCGCGGTCCCAGTTGTTGAAGTCACCGATAAGGTAGGCACGGAGGGCATTGGGAGCCCATTCTCGGTATACGACATCGCCATTGGGCTGGACATTGAAGCCGAATCGTTCGAAACCCTGCAAGCGCTGTCAGTGACTGCGTGGCAGCGAGATGAACAAGCTACGTGCCCGCGAGAACTTTTCGAGGCCGCCCTCTGTCTCGTCAATTGTCTTGATCCATTTCTGGGCCTTTGAAAAGCGGCTCTTGAGGGAGTCTTTGAAGGGCTCTAGATAGCCGTCGAGTTGGATGATGCCTGTGGACAGCAGCGAGATCAGTCAATTGCGCGGGGCAATGGTACGGGGAGCGCGTACCGGTTCCGTCATTGGGTATCTTGCCCGGTGCATCGCTCGTCGTCGAGTTTGCTGCAGCTTGGTTGAGCTCCATCGTGTGTGAGGTGGGATGGGGCGTTGTCAGGCGCGCAAAGGATACAGAGAGGGGTTTGCTGTGAAGGGCAAGACAGCGACAACAGATTGTGCAATTGCGCAGCTATTTAAAAGAGCAATGGCAAAAAAACGAGGCTCATAGGCTATCTGCAGGAGAAATCATTTCCTTTTTGCGGGGTCATTAACCCGCTTCCAGCGCAGGGCAGGACTCAACGAAAGGGCGTTGACCCAACGACACAACGTCATAGCTCGCTGGCGGCTGGATGGGGCATCGCGCCCCCGCCACCTGTCCCAACAGTGGGCATAATAGCAATAGCACAATGCCCAGGGAGATTTGCGCACAATTCTCCGCTACTCCTACTGAGGCTACGGAGGCTACGGAGGCTGCGAAGGCTACGGAGGCGGGCGAGGGGCGAGGAGGGCTAACTGCAACAGGCGTCGCGGAGGGCTTTGGCGGCTATGCTTCCACTGCGCGGCAACGAGTCCCTTATCGGCATCGGCTGCCGTGGGGAGTGGGAGCTTCCCCCGCATCTCAGCTCGACGTGGGGACACAAGCTCGCGGCTCAACCACGGTAACTGTCGCAGCCCGCCTTGAGGCTATTGAATAGCGCTCGTGACTTCTGCCCTCTGTTCCAGCTATATATATATATATAGGCTCTTGTCATGTGAAGCCCTCGGCATGCCCTTCTCAGTCACCATGCTACTTTCCAGGCCGCTCCAGCGCGCCCTCCCCGCTGCTGTCTCGCCACAGGCACGCGCCTCCTACCTTGCCCTCTACAGCATCTCGCGCGCCACCCGCCTGCCACTGGCCCTGCCGCTGTCACACACGCGCAAGTCGTCGAGGTTCCATCGATCCGACTTTAGCGGCCAGGGCTTCTCTTCCTTCTATGAGCCAGACCAGCCAACCCGGGGCCCGCTGGGCGGCGCAAGCAGTGTGGGTGCTGGGGTCATCACGCCCAAGGTCCTCCGCCAGCATCTCGACCAATTCGTTGTCGACCAAGATCGCGCAAAGATAGTCCTGAGCGTGGCAGTCCATGAGCACCATCTGCGCATACAGGAGCTCAAGCGACAGCAGCAGGAGCAGGCGAGATTGGAGGCACAGGCCCAGAGGAGGGCATCCGTCTTCCGCCATCCTGTAGAAGGTACACCACCCAGCTCTCACCTTGGCTCAGCCCCCAACCTCATCACGCGACTAACAAATACAGTAGACGAGTTTCCAGGCCAGCAGTCTACCGTAGAATTGCACAACCACAATGACCCCCAATCGTTCAGCGAAGCCCCAGCATATCGGCCGGCATCAGACTCCCCGGCAGACCCTGACTCGTTACTTGACACCAGCGACCACCAGCTGCTGATAGAAAAATCCAATGTGCTCATACTCGGCCCAACAGGTGTAGGCAAAACACTCATGTGCAAGACACTGGCAAAGACACTGGGCCTGCCCATCTCCATGTCTGACTGCACAACCTTTACCCAAGCTGGATACATTGGTGATGATGTGGAATCATGTGTAGCTCGTTTGTTCTCTGCTGCAAACTATGACATTGAAGCGACCGAGCATGGCATCATAGTGCTGGATGAGATTGACAAGATTGCCGGCACAAAGATATCATACGGCAAGGACGTTGGTGGAGAGGGTGTCCAACAGGCCCTCCTCAAGATCATCGAGGGTACTACTGTGCAGGTGCAAGCCAAGCCAGAGAAGAGCGCCAACAGACCCGGCGGCACTGGTAGAATGGACACGCCTCAACCTCCCGGCCCAGGAGCAAGCAAAGGCGAGGTCTTCAACATTCGAACTGACAACATCCTCTTCATATGTACCGGCGCATTCTCGAATCTCCACAAGATCATCCTCGACCGGAAATCTAAAAGTGGCATGGGATTCGGAGCGTCAATACGGTCATCTAGCGCACACGCAGCCGCTGACGGTACCATGTTGAGAGGTCCAGAGGCCGAGTTGTTCAAAAAGGACGCTCCCTTCTTTGTCCCACCAAAGTCAGACGTGCCAAACCCCTTTGGCATTAGACAGGTCGTAAAGGAAGACAAGGTCAATGTTCTCGACCATGTGCAGCCAGAAGACTTACAGAAATTCGGCATGATTCCTGAGCTCATTGGCAGGATACCCACTGTTTGTGCAGTGGCAGCTCTAGACGAAGACGCCCTGGTTCGCGTACTCACTGAGCCCAAGGACAGCCTCATTCGACAGGAGGAGCACAAGTCGTATCTTAGGAACATTGAGCTGCGCTTCACAACTGGAGCTCTGCGGGAAATTGCACGCAAAGCCAGCAAGATGGGTACTGGTGCTCGTGGGCTACGACACATTGTCGACCAGCTTCTCCTACAAGCCAAGTACGAGACACCTGGTATGTATTGCTGCTAAACTGAGGATTAAAAGCATATGGTTAACGAGACAATAGGATCAAGCGTCAAGCACATCCTCGTAACGCAAGACGTCGCCCTCCTCAAGCGCGCACCACTCTACTTCCACCGAGGCCAATCCGCCGCCTTCGAAGCCACACACGCACAAGAAGAAGAGAAATGGGAGGAAGAGCTTCGTCGCCACGAAGACCCATCCATCCTCATGGTCAACAACTTCCAGGAGTACAGGAAAGCTGGTGCTGCAGGCTTTTAGCCTATGCGAATCCACATGGGCTTTGTGTCGCCTACCCACCCGTTTGCATCTGCCGTGCATGGCGCATACTTGGAACCATGCATGCTGTTATAGTCGATCTGTCCTTCCCTCGGACACGACCCAAGCGGCTTCGGCCCGTTGCCAGCGCTCCGGGTAAGGAAAGGCTAAGCGTTTCGGCTTTGCGAGTGGTGTGAGGTGTGGTGAGTCGTTGTAGTTAGTCGCCAGACCTTCTCCATTACGGTTCTTAGGTTCTTTAGCATGGGTTCACACTGTTTTTTTGTCTTTTTGTTCATGTTTATTTTCTTGTCGATTTTTTCTCATTGGCTGGGTGTTTTTCTTGCAAAGCTTGTTTTTTCACGCCGTTATGTATCAACGAGTCCCCTTGTTTTGCATTTGGTGGATACCGAAATCGTTTTGGAATTCAGCTACTAGGAGTTACTGTATTCTCTGCCCGGTCAGATATGAGTTATGGGAAAGTTCATCACATGAATATATGGAGATATATATATATATATATCACCCATACCAGTCCCCTCCTCTGTGCCACCCAAATCTTGAACCTCCTCCCCCCCTTCCCCCCGTTCTACATACTCTTCATTTAACTCCTCCACCGCTCCTCCCTCCCTTCCTTCCGCCTCACCCTCTTCCACCCTTATCTATACTCGCCGTCCCTCCCGTCTTACCCTCTCAGCCAACCCTCCCCCCTTCCTACACCCGCTCGTCTCGATCCCACCCAGTCAAAGTTCCAAACTCAATCAAATCCGGCAACCATATCCTTATATCTCACTTCCCCCCCCCCCCCCTAAAAACTTACGTCACTCACGCATATATGTGCCATACTTACCGTAATCGCAAACCCTAGCCTTTTCTTTCTCTCTCCCCCCCTCCCCCGCAAAGAAAAAACCCCCCATCCCCATCAGGTACAAATCTCCGGTCATACATACCTACATGCATACATGCATATACAAGGCTACGGTCATTCATGCATACGCACATACATGTACACCAGCTGCAGCAGTCTATGTAAGTAACTTACAACCGCGACCGAACCGGTACTTTTCCCCCCTTGTTCACCTTTTCAAACCCTAATTCGCATTTCGTATTTCCCATTTCCCTTTAGGCCCCCGCCCCCCTCCTTACCCCGGGTTTGCGTCTCCACCCAATCAACTGATTTTCCAAACGTCTAAGATTGGGGGAAGGCAAGGGGGGGGGGGGGGGGGGAGTGGGAGGGGCCTTAACGTGCACGAACAGCATACGCGCCAAAAGTGCGCGCGTATAGGTGATGAGAAAGCAATAATGCCCTCCTCCCCAGGTTTAGTCAGATCATGTGATAAGAATATACATGAAAGGGGCGGGGAAAAGGTCACAGAGAGGGGTAAAGGGGGGAGGGGAGGGGAAAGCGAAGTAAACGACGCTTATGTAGCTAGGGGTAGCTAGGAAGACTAGAGTTTGCACGTGTATTCTATGTGGTCTTCGGTGGATAAAGGAAGGAAGAGGCCGGGGGGAGAGAAGGGGGATATCAAGTGGTAGAGTTAGTTTTCGGGTGTTCAATAAGTTGATGTGCTTACTTCGCTCTTTTCCTTGTTCTTCTTCTTCTTCTCTCATCAGGGTGGAGAGGCGTGCGGAGAGCAAGAGAGATAAGAAGTGAGGCAAACATCCTTACCTACAGAGAACGATTAGTAAAGATCGACCTTGTTTGCTGATAGTAGGTAACGAACAGAAGAGTCCGGGAAGGGGAAAAGAAAAAGAATGGGGCACGTCGTCTTACTGAATCGACTGACTAAACGCCCGCTTCATGGGGAGGGGGGAGGGGGGGTGGAAGGGAAGGAAGGGAGCGGACGCAGACGGACTGAGCTGATGCAGACAGATTGGATTGCGCAGGCGCGAGAAGAGAGTGCGCGGATGATGTGACTGACCTACTATGGACAGACAATGCACAGACAAGGGTGTGTGTGTTGTGTTGGGCCCCACGAAACGAAGCCGCTCGCTCTTCGGCGAAACATGTATGCGCACCGCCTGCATGTGGGACGGAGGTGCAGTCGTGGGGGACTGGGAAGGGAAGGTGCGACGGACGGTGGACAAGCTGAAGGGGGCAAGCGCTCTCACACTCACTCACTCACACCCTACATGACAATATATATCAAATCTTGTCATTGTCCCTGCGAAGGGAAACCAATAACCAATGTATAGAATTTGGTACATAAAAAAAAAGGGTGTTAGTCTAAAAATTAAAGTCGTAGTATCCACCAGGTTGAAAAAAAAGACCGCGACAATTCTATGGCTTCTCAATCCGTAAAAGCCTCTCCCAAATCCAAAGAGAAAAAAACGAGCATTCTGGGCTTTCATGTTGAAAACGTAAGTGTGACGGACCTCATTGGTCAAAAACACATCTTCCCAGGGCCAATTTGGCCGAAGCCCATGGTGCCACAAGTGCCGATGAATAGAAGCGTGCCAAAGAATACACGCGGAGCCGTTCCGTAATGACCCAATGCTCCTCCCAAATTCGTCACCCACTATTACAATACATGCCTTGAACGCCGCTCATAATGCCCGCTATGCATGTTGCTAGGTTTTTTTTTTTAGGTGTGTTCATAATTCGTACTTTCGTGTCATGGAGATTTCACTCTTCGAAATCCTCATACAACATGAATCCCGGCTGGGCACGCATCTTTTTGGCGCCCCTTCCTTGATCCCATGTCGGCGATGCTGGTCGCGACGTGGCCCGAGATGGTGGCTGGGACGAGTACATTTGTGGGTATGATGGTTGTGCCGGGAACTGAAAGTTGAACGTCTGGGGGAAGCTATCCAACGAGTGAGGACGCTGAAGCGCGTAGCCGTTCTGGCTAGGTACCTGTTCTCCTGTCGGACTCAGCATGGTCGGTGGGAAGTAGCTTTGTCCCCGTTGGTGGTTGGCGTATTGCTGCGTCGGTGGGGGTGCAGGCATGCCAGTGCCGTAGAAACCCATACCAGTCTGGTTGGATGCCTGGGCGGCCATAGTAGAGCCCATCATTCGAGAGTATTGTGCTTCTCGTGGAAAGAAAACACTCTGCGAGTGGGGCAAGCCTGGTGTCTGAGGAACAATGGGGGTAGTGGGTAGCGAATACTGGCTACTGCAGACGGTAGGAGAGTATTCTGAAATGGGAACCGCATACTGCATAGGCATAGCCTCATGGGGGCCCGCGGGGATGGTCAGAGCACTCAGAGTCTCTGATGGGTTCTCTTTGTTCTTGTGGTCGTCTGTGATTTGAACAATCTCGGAAATCTCTTGGGCGAGCAAGTGATCATTGGCGTCCTTGAAGGTAAAAATAACGCGGTAGCCAACCGGCGACTTGTCTTCTTGATGCCTGCAGTAGCATGTAATTCGCATAACGAACTCAACCTTTTTCGCAGCAGAAGAGAAGTCTGGGCTATCGTTATCCTGCCACCTCTTGAACTCCTTCTCGTTGATCATGATGATGCGGTCATCTTCGTAGCTCGACCACTCCTTCTCGTCGTCTGCTTCCCGCTTCTTCTTGCGGTTGAACCTCTTGGCCTCACGCTCTTTGCAGCCCTCGCAGATGATGACTGCGCCGCCATTCTGAGGGTGGCATCGGTCTTCTTTGGCAATGTCGGTAATGGCGACTCCACGCGGGCGACGCGGGGTTGGCTCATCGCCCCGTGCACGACGGAAAGCACGCTCCAAGCCCTCTGGCTTGTCAACGGCAGTTGCCAAGACCAGAGTGAGCTGCAAGCGGGTGGTGCTGTTGTTCTTTTCGTTTGCCTCGACTTCTTCTGTGCTGGCCATTTGCTTTGGCTTTGCGAGGTTCTGGCGAGGGAAGCGTATCCATTGGTAGTGAGGGGAGAGGGGATCCATGGTGACGGTAGTCTTGATTTGTGTTTCAGCACGGTTCTTGTTCTTATCGAGAGCAATAGAGACTGCCGACTGCTTGATTGGCTGAGGAATGTGGATAGCAGACCAGGTGTCAGTGGGCAGGGAGTCAGCACACGTTTCGGGTGAGCTCGTCTGACTCTGTTCCCGATTGAAGTCACCGGGCGAATTGGCATTGCTGAAGATGAAGGTCTCGTGGGGCGAGGGCGTGTTGGAGGTTGGTGTTGATTGGGCCGTGTTGACAAAGGTGGTGAAGTCGTCTTCTGGGCGGATGCATGGGTAGGTCTGGTTGGAGAAGGAGGTGAGGTCAAGGGCCGAGTCCTGTTTCCTGCTGGTGCGGTCGGCGGTCGAGGTCATGACGGCGGCATCGTAGGGCTGGGCGAAGCCATTGTCAGGGTGGTCGAGGCGCATCTGCCAGAACGAGTCCTGGAAGTCGCCGGCGCCGTGGTTCTCCAGGTCCTGGGGGTTGACGAAGGAGGTGAAGGAGTTCATTGTGTCCATTGCCGGTAGGGCAGGGCAGAGCAGGACAGGGCAGGACAGAGCAGAGAGGCGTGGTGGGAAATAGTGGGCCGGATGAGGGTCCCGCGGGGATCGACGGAGATAAACGAAGGTGGACAGGTGCAGTTGAGCAAGATGCAAAGTCAGAGACACCCGTGGGTCAAGAGAAGCGACAGTGAGGGACTATAAGGTGCGGGTGGGCGAATCCTGGTCGCCAATGGGCGGTGGCCTCTGCTGGTGAGGGGTCTGGGAGCAGAACCAAGGGAGAGCAGGCCAGCAGGCAGAGAGTAGGAGGGTGATGGGGCCCGTCCGGCTATCGGCCAATCAGGCGAGGGCGCGAGCCAAGCTGCGCACCGCTGTTGTCGGCAGGCGGGGGATGCGTCAGGGGCAGGACTGAGCGTCGTCGAGGGACAGAGGGTGGTGATGCACGTTCGAGACGGCGGCACGAGAGATGGGGTGTGGTGGATGGGGGAGGGGGGAAGAGGGTGAGCAGTGTCGGGGTTGGTAGGTGGTAGGTGGTAGGTGGTAGGTGTTGGCGGGGTGTGGAGGAGGGCGAGGGCGAGAGCGACGGGCGAGGGAAAAGAGTGGATTATGATGGAGTGAAGGCTACTAATTATTTCTCTTAGCAGCGCAGCACCCCAACCCCACTGATGTTCGCCGCAGTAGAGCCAACGTCAGCAATCCCTGCGCTGCGAACGACACCACCAAGAGCTGGCCACGGCCGTATGTGTGTAGTATAGCGACATGGAATCACCGTCTGCAGCGTGGCCGCCCGGTTTGCCTGTGCCGGTCCACCGCGCGCCGGCGCGCCAGAGGATTGGGCCCCGCGCCGTGTCCAGTCCATTGACCCATCCGGCCATCCACCCCATCCAGCCAGACAGACAGACACACACTCACACACACATACTTACATACATTCATATCCATACAATCCATACATGCTACCTACATACAGGCGTACGTACATGCACCCATTCGTACATGGTACATACAATCAAACGCCATATTATTATGCCTCGACTACTTTTTTTCTCTCACCTCGACCCGCACGCCAGCGCCAACGCCAGCAACGCCCACCACCACCACCTAAACACCTACACGCCATCACACACACGCCATCACATCACCAACACCAGCGGCCGCAGCCTCCCCCAAAGGGGCCCAGCGCCATGCTCCTCTGTCGACTCGCACTTGTTTGATTGCGAAACTCATGCGCTCCACCGCGGGAGACGTACCTGAACCTCTGTGCCCACGGCCCCCCGACCACCCCCGCCCATGGGCTGCTAGCTGCAGATTCTTCCTTGTTCCCTGCCCTGCCCGCCCACCTCCATGCTAGGGAACGGGCGCGCGACAACGAGGCAGAGGCAAGGCAAGCCTAGGGCGGCTGCTGTCGGCTGCCCGTGTCACTGTGCCTCTCGGCGCCCGCAATCAAGACACTGCGTCGCCTCTGCAGGCCCTGCACACCCACCCCGGCATGCGAATCATGGCATGCCATTGCGTCGAGGCCGGCCGGCCATGCACGCCTCCGATCCACGCCAGCCTACGACTTGGCTGAGCGCGGAGGCCCATCCGGCAAACCGAGCCAAGCCAAGGCCTCTCTGCCACCTGCCCGCCTGTCCACACGGCTCCAGTCGCCCTCGCCCTCGTATTGCCTGCCATGGTGGCAGTCGCAGTCGCAGTCGCAGACACTCTCCACGCCTGCCCATGCCATGCCATGTGACGCGACAGGACAGCAGAATAGACATGGACACATCCGCCCACACCCATTGTCCCGTCCGTTCCCTCCTTCCCCCCCTCCCCTTCCTAGTAGCATAAGCCTCGCCTGTCCCGTCCTGTGCCGCCAGCGTCCCTCCTGCACGCTTCCCGTCCTATGCCTGCTTGTCGGCCTGATAAACTTTGCATCGCGACCCTCTGGTTTCAATGTGTCTTGCGCCCTCAATCCCATTCGTAACAGCAACTTACTCTCTGTCCGTCCATCGGCGCCTATGCCCAATCCTCCAGATCCAATCCCCGCTTCCGCTCGCCTGTCGACGCTCACCGCTGGGATTTTCGGAATCCCAGCAGTCGACTCGATTCCATCTCTTGGGTCATGCTTTTTTGATCGACCGTGCCTTGTGCGGCCAAATGCTCATTGGGCCCTTGTCGGCGTCTACCACCGACCGACTGCTACTTCAAGACATGGATTCCCTTTGCGGCATGCTGCTCAGGCGCCGCAAACTATGACTTGCTCCAGCACTTTGGCCAGCGTAGAGGCCCGATTAAAAAAGTCAAGCTATAGCAAGAGGCAATTATACGTCGAGCAATTGCACTATGCCGCCTATGGGCATAATCAACCGCCCTCGTACGTGTTTTGCAAAGCGGGCCACACGACTACCACCATGCTCGCTTCTGCGTGAACATGTCCCAAAGTCTGATTCGCCTGCCTCCACATGGTGAGATATCCCGTGCGTGTGCAGACCAAGATTGGAGGCCTCGTTGACCTCTAGATAGTGGGTCAACGTCGGTAGCTAGTATCCTACTATCGCTGCCAAGCTTTGCCGTCGCGTAGATAGTTCATTGATAACATGGCGCTTCGAGTATTCCTGCCTTGACCGGCCAACCATGGCTCATTGCAAAATTGCAATCTACGAAACTGCAAACCACACAATGTCGACGACGACAACGACGACGACGACGGCGACCGTGGTCGCATGAACCATCCATGGATACAAAATATGCACATATGCACAGTCAGCCACACACGATGCCGCGCGACAATTGACCTGTCTATGCGGCTGTGGAAGGATGACACGCAGTACAGCAGCGATTGTCTCGCACTCCGACCTGGTAGCTTTCCATCACACATGGTCTTTGTTTGATTCGACATGATACCACTTCATCATCCTGCCACTCCGGAAGCCTTCAACCGGCTGCTGCAAGTCATTCACAAGGACAGCGCCAACCCGACAAATGACAGCTGTCTCGGAGAATTTCCTATGGGCACGCAGCGGTATGCCGTATACGAAACTATAACTCACCTATCTACTTATATACCTATGCCCATGTTGCGTACATATGTACATACATACATACATTTAGAGCCGTCGAGGATTTTGCATGCCTAGCGTACTTGGGTATACCGATCAGTCTTGGGGTGGCAACGTGATGGGGAGGGGGGGGGGGGGGAGACACTGGCACAAACAGCCAAAACAGTTTCACCAAAGCTGGTGGCCTGCGTACCAACTGGGCAGGAACATACTGTGCCATGGACTGTGACATGTTGTGAAGCATGCCAGTAGTCGACAAAATATCCATTGGGCAACTCCATCCAGGCCATGCTCAAGACCGTTGACAGGGCGTTGTAACGTGCCGCACATGTCCTCAGATGCGTGACACGCTCCATTGCAGAACGCCCCCTTCTGACCCCTACCATGTGGATAGACATCAGATCAGAGACTCGGCAAATGGAATGCTAAAGCACCAGCCCGCTTACGTGTTGCTGCAGAGTAGTGCATGCTTCATGACAGCGCGCTCTACCCCCCTAGATTGACAGCACAGAGTAAACAATCTTAGGCAGGCAAGTATGTTTTGGGTTTTGCTATTATTCTACGTATACATGACAATGAATGCAAGAGTACTAACAAAAAAACAACACCCAGACGCAACAGAAACCGTTGTGTGCACGGTACTCCCAGTGGCTCGCTATTGTAGGCCCGCGAATAGGCTTGCGTCCCGCGGCACCACTTGTCGACCCGTACAAACCCCCCTCAGCTGTAACACGCAGCCTGCGCCTACGGCTCGTTAGCAAGTGGCGTACCCGATCTGGCCCTTTGGCCCCCCTGCACGCCATCGTCACGAAGCGGGACCGTCGTGGCCTACCAGTCTGTTTTGAGACGGACACTTTTACTCAATCCAGCACGCCGATGGTGTGATTGTAGACTCAACGGCATGAGAACCAGTGTAACGGGCCTAAGAGACGGGCACATGAGTGGTTCTGGTATAAAGTGGTCGCTGAATGTACTTGGTACATAGGATTCGACCCCTCTCTCTCTCGCTCTCGCTCTCGCCCGCGAACTGCATCCTCCCTGTTGCTGACCGTCTGCAGCATTTTTTTTCGAGGACTTGCTACCGCTCGTAAACAGCAAGCCACTCATGTGATCTGGGCCCTAGGCCTGCGCCTCTTACGTTTCGCCGCAAAGTTTGGACGCACAAAGCCATCTAGTGCTTTTGCGGAAAAGATTTCTGCAGTACGCATACGTTTGTGCGTGGAGCTGGCCTGGCAATGTCTCGAGCACTTGCACAGCAGCGACGGCACATGAATAGCCACTTCTCCACTTGCGACTTTCTCTCGCCTCACACTTCTCGTTTTGTGGCGTTATGGAGCCGCGGACATGAGCGCCCTGCCAAGTTTGGTTGCAGCCGTCTTCCAGTGCATGCATTATGTGATTGCGGCATACCCGTTGTGGGAAGAGAAACCATGACGCTTAATCCGACCATCCGCTATCCGGCTTCTCGCAATGCCTCATTCCGGCGCGCCGACTCAATCGTCAGCCTGCTAAGTATCCTGACCGATTCACTATCGTTCCATCATGCCACATTTCCTCTCAAGCAATAGGTGCACGTCAGAAATCTCGACGCAGGCGTGAGCGAAGCCACTAGCATCGCGTATGCGAGAGCAGCGCCATGGACGTGGCGCTAAGCCGATCCCGCCAAGTTAGCCGCCACGGCCGCGACTCCGGCACCAGCGAATGGCAAACTATGCGTCACCGACAACGGATGCCGCATCTTTACTGTACATACATACTATGCCCGCATCCGACATTTTTTTTGCCATTTTGCCCAGACTTGAAACCCAATAGTATTCTATCTGTGGCTCAAGATGCATCAACCCCACGTCCGTCTTTGCAGAAATTTGCACCCGGCCCTTCGCCTCGAACCTGAGTCGGCTTTTGAAGGCTTCGGGAACTGAGATCGGCGTGGGGTGGTTTAGCAACCAGACCGTCCCGAGTGGGATACTATCTTAAGCCGATGTACACTATCTAGATTCAAGGGCTTCCACACTGCGGGAATAGCAGGATCGAGCCTCGCTTGGCGATGCAGCGGTAATCCTACGGGAGGATGTATGTACATGTGTATATATGTGCATACGGGTAGTCGAAGGCAGTACAGTTAGCGGCCGCGGACGCCCAATGGCGCCCCGTGCAGGGCCTCATGCTGACTGTTTTCGACCGTCGTTCAGTACATACACAGGAACAGGTTTTGGAGGTTGGAGTACGATGTCACCAGCAAATGGCCATTGCGATTGTCTGGTGTTGGCTTGCACATGGTATGAAGTAGTTCTACCAAGGTGTGTTGCTGGCAGAGTAGGTCTTGTCTACTTGGATGTTGCAATGATAGTGGGACTTGCATTTCCAGGGAAGCCTGGTATACAAGTGACTGTTTCTCGACTCGATTAATGGCGCATGGATAGTTCCGTGGCCCGATACCACATGATCGCTTGTCATTGTTTAATTGCAAGGAAGCCTAGTATGCCATGTCTGAACTAAGTTTTTGGACTAAAAATCTTGGTCATCACGGATACAACCTGTGATCAGGGTGACATGGACAGCATCTCCGCCGATTTTCGGAATAGACCAAGGTCTGTGTAAACAAGTACAGTCAGCTATCAGAAAATACGCATACCTGTTCGTTCACTAGATGCACCAAGGGGCTCAGCTAGATGTCCAATCAGCACAGCGGTACATGACTCTGGTGTTTCTTTGCCTCATCCGGTGGTCCCGTCACTTAGTAACTACTGAAATCTACGTACTTGATTACATTACAACAATGTCCCTGTGGAGCCATGATAGTGTAGCATTTCCAAGGCCTTGCGATAAAAGAAGTAAAACTAATCTATTTGGATAGTCGCGTTCCATCCTCCCATCCCAATTCCCCATCCCAATTCCCCGACCCATGGTCCTCGGAGCCCATATGCTTGGGCTAAGAAAAGAAGCATGATGACAAGCTGATCTGCCGCCATGATAGAGATCGGATATTACCGCAGAGAAGAATAGAAGAAGCATGTAGAACACTCATGGACACAGACGACAGGCGTACGACATATCGGATCTCTCCCTTTGCCAAAAAGGACCAATAGATACTTTGCTGTTTAAGCTTATACAGTATGGACCATCATACGCGTCACGCGCCAATGCATATTGCCATAGCTTCGTCCCTCTTCCTGCTCTCTTAGACCCCAATTTCCGGAATGTATTCCCGCAGCCAGACATACGCTGTAGTTACGACGTCCAAACACTCTGCACAGATCTCACATCTGCCTCTGCAACTCGGCGACCTGGTCCCCCTTCCTTTTTCGTCCTTTCTCTCTGCCCAAACCCCCTATACCGCTCATCCGCATAATCTCGTCTCAGCATCTGACACCCGCGTCAGCACTGGCACACACACAAACTTGCCCTTTTCCATGCATCCGCAGTCCGGGCCCGTGATTCAATGAGGCACTCAGAGACACCGGATGTCGTGATAGAATTCAAAAAAACAATGGTAAATATGATGTAAAACAAACCGCAAACCAAACCCAAACCCAGAAAAGTAACAACCTGCCTGCCCATTCCCCCCCGTTAAAACAAAGAAAAGAAGAGGGAAAAACAAGACAAAAAAACCGGTACAACGAAGAATACCCTCCCAGACCGACTTCTAGAAGAACCAAATCAGTTCAGCAACATCTTCACAAAACAAATACCTGAACCCAGAACATCAGAAACAAGAAAGGGCGCATAGATGTGGCGGTGTGATACAACCTCCGACTTTTCTTTTCTTCTTTTCCCCTTCCCGCCTTTACTGAAAGAACAAAAAACATTTGCTTTTTTTTCCCATGCTAGTCAAATCGACAAACCCAAACTATTCCCCCCTCCCTCCCTACCCCCATTTAGCCCACGGAACGAAAATAAATCGCCTACCCTTCCTCACGTGAAG